TGAAATGGCCATGATAATCCTTCTCCTCCCTTCTCCAGTGGCATCTGGGATGGCAGTGCCCACCCAGCTCTTGCAGCTGTGCCAGCAGCAGCGTGCTGCTATCTGCAGAGGCACAGCCAGCCCTCGTGTGGCACCGAGATAGGACAGCACAGCCAGGGGCTGCACAGGGCACAGGCTGCCAGCTCGGATGTGCTGGAATCCTGTCATTCCTCCCCTGCCTGAGACCAAGGAGGCACAGGGGACTCCACACAGCATCTCCTCTGCTCTTTGGGGCAGGGCAGGAGATAAAGCTGCTGTGCTGTAAGAGAAAGAGGGGTCCAGACAGCGCTGAGGGACCCCCTTCTCCAGAAAGGGACAGAGGTGACACCACTGGGGAAATCTGGAGTGCACATGTAAAAGAGCAAAGCCTGAAGGAAGAGATTAAAGCACCCAAGGGCAAAGGAGCTTTGTCCTGCCAACCTTTCTTGCCTTCAGCACAAAGGGATGTTGCCCCAACACAGATAACCAGGTAAGAAGGGACAAGAGCTCTGTGCTGGAAGCAGTTTCTAAAGGGGAGCCAAGTACTTGGAGTCAAATCTTTGCTTCCTTACACAGCTTCTTTGTCCTTATCATGCCTCGCTCTCTCAGTGTAGCCTTTTCTGTCCCAAGCCTATTTCACTATTTTTAGTATTGGAGTTTTCCAGGTGGTTTCTGTTTCTGGCCAGCAAAATGCTGGAGATGGCCAGGCAGCTCCAAGTGCTTCCCCTGACATTACTGGCAGAGCAGATCTTCCTGTGTCAGCTACAGGTGAATTAAATAAAATTTGTGAGGTCCAGGAACACCTGTGGAGCTGCAGGCAGGAGGGCAGATGAGAATAATTGCACACAACAGGAAGAAATTTGGTTTGATGTCTGCTAGCTTTGCACCAAGAGGTGGATTCAGCTTTTGAAGACAGAGGTAAGAAGCAGACATCACTGTTCCATTCCTGCTCTTTTCCAAGCTACAGTTCCACTTGGAAGAAAATGAGAGAGCCAGGTAATGTTCTCTGAAAAACGATGGTACAACTAAAGTGGCATTTCAATGGAGGACTACTAAACAAAGGGATTTGTCTCCCAGCTCTTTTTACTCCTTGCCTTTCCCATTACAGAACCAGCTCTCAGAGATCATCATTAAAAGAACAACAACAACAACCCGGCCTCATCAGTTCTTGTGAATTCTGAAGGTCACCAATGTCACCATCAGTTATAATGACACACATCACTCCCCTCTTCACACAAATGGATTTACAACCTGTTTAAAGGCTGATGTCTCTCGAAGCACTTCACCCCTTCTGCCACCCCCTCTCTGCACACACTCACTCTACTCCAGCAATAGCTGCTGGAAGAAATGATGAATTTCATTACTTTTCATCCAAAACAGCTTTGCAGTATATGGGAGAAGCACCGAAGGCTGCAGGCTCGTTAGCACAGGATTTGTATTGCCACATTTTACTTTATTCACCTTCCCAAATTAGGTGAAGCACGCCTGGCCCAAACCTGTGATTTCTGTTTAATTAAAATGCAGGTAGTGGAGTCTCCCGAACTCCAGAGCCCCCCACACAATCAGGTGGTGACAGCAACCTGGTAGAATAATGCTCTTGATATAGTGGCTGCTCTAACAGAGTCTTAATTTCAGTGGAGCAGAACAGCACCTCTGGTAGCAGCTGTGTTTGGGGCTGGGATGAATATCAGTAGCCAGCCTCTGCTGAACACTCACTGCCTCCCCAATCAGAGCCAGCATCCCTGACAGCTGAACTGTTAAATGAATTAACAAGGCGAAAAGGGGGCTTGCCAGCGGGGCTGCGACTCCCTTCCTAATTTCTGCAAGTGGTGGCTTTCAATTTTTCTGTCATTTGTCAGGAGATGCACATGGTTCTCTAATGAGCAGGGCAGAGCTGCAGCCAGCTCTAAAAAGGCAGAGTTAGAGGATCTTCTGGGCCTTGGAGGAGAGGGATGCAGATGCTTGAGGCAGGTGGGGGAAGGACACGGGCTCTGCTCAGGCTGAACAGGCAGCACATCCTTCCCAGCTGTGCTCAGCTCAAGGACTCCCAGCCCACTCTCCCATCTTGGGGAAGAACTGCTCTCCACACCAGCGAGTTTTGCCAATATCCAGGCAGAACCCAAAAGGAAGCCTTTGATCTTATGGGCTACCCAAAAAAGGGAAAGCATTTCCTCCACCTGTAGAATAAAATAAAAAAACCACCACCAAAAAAAGATACAAACCACTGGCATCCAGCTTTCCTGTTCACCATGCAAGCTGGGCTACAGAGGCCTTTTACTCATGGCTGGCCCATTGTTCTCCCCCAGAGTTTCCACCTGCCCATCAGTGAGAGGCAGGGAAGACCTGCTCAGGCTGCCCAAGGGGGCAGTTGGCTGCAGCACAGCTCAAGAGCACTCCAGGGCTGGAGAGAAACTCCCCATTTGGGTATATTTGCTCATTTAATTGGCAAAACTTGAAGAAGGTTGGTTTTAGTAGCTTTTTTCCCCCCAAGCTTTTCAGGTGGTTCCATTACCTGCTGGAACTTTCACTGTAAAAATCCAGGTCTGAATATAGGGAAAATTTCAAATCTATCAGGGGAGAGCACAAGAGGGAAGGAAGGAATCACAGACACTCCTCCTTCTGCATCACTGTAGAAGCTGAACAGCACAACCACCAGCAACATGAACACCCAACAGAAATGGGTGTTTTGACTGAGCTGGCCTAAGCCCAGCACATTTCCCAAAGGCACAAAGGCCATTTTTATCCCTTTTTACGAGCCAGAGAGGAATGGTCTCCCCTCTCCCAGAGTTACTGCAATGCTTAGGGCAGAACCAGGCCCCATTTAACAGCACAGAGACAAGAGTTACCTGAGAGCTTCAGCCCAGGGACTGGCCACCTTCACTCACGCTGTGCCCAGTGCTGTGCCTGTGTCAGCACTTGTTTATTGGGAAGCTTTTCTCTGTTTTTAACCTGAGTGCCCCATTGCTGGAGCTCAGCAGACTCATTTTTTTCCAGCTTGCTGCTTAACTGCCTTTACCGTGGGTAAGAACATTGAGCAAACAATAACAGCAAAAACCTTGTATTTCCACAGCACACTTTAACTCAAAGGTGTCACAAATCAATTTAAAACTTAAATTGCAATACCATCTCCAATCACTTTACTCACAGTATAAATCACAGCCAGTTCTGGAGGTGGAAGAGGCAGTTATATAACAAAGTGTAATAACTTCACACAACAAGAGTGAAAATCGGCAGGAAGATCCTACATTCATCATCTCTGCTGTGTGAACCTGGATGGTCCCTTTCCAGAGGTAAATCCAGGAACTCTAACACAACAGCCAAGTCACACACTGCAACTTCAGACACAGCAGCCCTGCCTGGGAAAGGAGGCCTCCTGGATAGCACAGAATCACGGAATGGTTTGAGTTGGAAGGGATCTTAAAGCTCATCTAATTCCAGCCCCGCTTCCTTCAGACACTCAGGGGTCCTGTAATTATCTCAGTGTCCTCCCAAGTCTGTCTCCTTCCATTGCCTTGTTCCCTGAGTTATGATAGCAAGATCTGGACTGTGGGATTAAAAGACACAACGTAACAGCATTTCCTTGTTTTCCCCAGCTGATTTCCCATGCTGTGTACATGTGTATAAGTGCATGTGCTGGCTCCATTTGCAGCAGGGAGATACTTAGCTCAGAAACAAAAATGTATTTTGAAGCCAGATACAGTTGGCTCCACCTGGGACTTTCTTTGCTGCAGTTGCAGAAGTAAGCTGGAGCAGAAGCAAACTAGAAAAAAATGTAAATATTGCCAGCTGTCTCTCCAGGACAACGCTGCTCTGATTAATTTATGATGTTTTCAAAGAAAGATGGTGAATGTTGCACCATATTTGAAAAGAAAAGGTTAAGCAGAGTTTAAAAAAATGCACAGCAGAGTTCTTAAAAAAATGTGCTTTGCTTAGTTTTGAGCAATAGAATGTTAAATGAGCAATAATGAAATGAATTAGTGCTGGCTTTGATAGCTCCTCCATCCCACAGCCCCGAGACACAGAACAAAGTGCAATCAGCTCCAGTGCTGGGCCAGGCAATGGGAGGGTCGAGCTGCCTCCCCTTGTTCTGAGCTTCAAACGCTGCTGCTGCAGAAATGGAGAGCAGAACGAACGAGGATTTCAGAGCCTGCCTGCCTCCCTCCAGCTGGGATCACCACAACCACAGCCCTGCTGGCAGGAGGGCAGCAGCTACGCCAATCCTGCCCTTCCCAGCTGGATTTCTGGGGGGACAGACTGGCTGGGGGTTATCTGGGCTCTCACAAAGCACCCACTCCGCAGGGCATTCACAGAAGTGTCTGCTCAACTCTTCTGTCCTCATTTCCACCTCCAGCCTTCCAGTGGGGGGAAGGATCTTTTTTAAACATTTTAAAATGATCAAAAAGGACTCAGGCACCAGATCCAGATAAGCAAAGGCCTGAGCAGTGCCACTGAGCGGGGCTGGATGCAGGGACAGTCTGCACACTCCTGGGAGCACCCAAGCCCTGTCTCCAAAACCAGCACTAAACCAGACACGCATCTCCTTGCTTCAAGAACACAAAAACACAGCCAGTGTGGTGCCAGGCAATGCCTCTACACAGAGAGTTATAAAATAAAAGGATCAGCTTTCTGAGTCTCCCTTGTTTTGTAGTTTTGTTTCTTTTCCCTTGTGACTTTGCTGTGCTCCACTTTTCACTTCTTTAACTCGAGTCAATTTTTCCCTCAAGGTAATTTGGTATGAACAGTCATATTCCTGCAACTCCAAAAATATTTTCTTTTCTTTCTTTCAAATGTCCTTTCTTCCCTCCTTCCTGCAGACCAACTGGTTTTCCAATGGCAAGAAACTGCCAGCGCCTATTCCAGGAGAGTGGGCAACAAAAAACTGTCAGCAATAATGACTGGTGAATTTTTCAAATAATGCCTTTCCTGGACAATTATTGAACATTATCTGGAAAAATAAATCAACTGATTTTCTTTTCACCTACCTGCTTCACCCACAAACACTTCCACTGGTGTGCTGGTAGGGCTCTCACCAATGACATTATATGCTGTCATTAGCACTTCATATCTCTTGTATTTCTTCAATTCTGAAAAGGTAAAATATTACATATTAATGTTATATATTATGATTTATACTGTATTACAGCTGTCTTTTAGACTCCAACACCTCTATCTCCAGACTTGTCTCTCAGAATAGAGCAGTAGCAATAGAACACTACAATAGTGCAATGTCTACTTCAAGCCTTCCTGAATTCACACATCACAACAGTATTGGCATCATTTTGAAAGACATTTGTGATGAAATGGCAGGATTTTCCAGAGTTTCCTCACAGTGACACTCCAGTGAGAGGAATAATAATTTCTCTCTGTTTCTTATGGATAACTAACCAGAGGAACATCTCTAGGTCATTTTTAAGTACAGAAAATGGCAGGATTTGGCTTTGAATGTCACCATAAGGTCTCATTTTGACCTGCACTGGTAGGGAAGAGCCTGGCTAGCATTTACCTAATCCCTGGGATGCTGATTTAGGGGGAGCATTTGGGAACTGCACTGCTCTAGAACAGCTGAAGCAGGTGCACAGGGAGAGTGCAGTGGGGAATCTGGACCATTCCAGGTCCTCCACAGGGATCTTCTCCTCCAACGTGACCACAGCCCGACCATCAATCACAACCAGAAAGGAGAATTTGAAGGCTGGACTCCATTTGGACACCAGGCAACAAATTTCTTTGCTGACACAGAGAAACTACTCTGGCAGATGAGGCAGGAGAGTGAGAGAAGCGTGAAAAAATCTAAAAACCCCAATTGTTTGTGGGTAATTAACAGATGCAACAAGGGTGGAGCAGAATCACATCAACGTCATTGAGGGAGGCAGCGCCTGAGTAGTTTCAGATTTTGCATTTTCAGGATGAAAGAATCAATCCTAACAGATAAATTTATCATCTACAATACTTAACAGGGAAATTAGAGTAAGAGAGCAATCAATAATATAAATTGCCCTATTTAAATGAGCATTGAATTAAGACACGCATGGCCAGAGGTCCAAATTTCTCCCTTTGCCAATAATTTTCCCTGCTATCTATGAATCAGAGTCCCCTTAACACAGGGCTGACAGTGTGCCATTGGTTTGGTATGGTTCAAAAAGTCTAATTAGGCAAGTTTGTCTAATTTCAGTGTCCCAGAACTGTTTATAAGTGTTGTGCTGCAATATCTAACTGTGACTTCAGCATCATTCCCCAGTCTCTGGCATACTGTAAATTATACCTAATATAGCCCCAATTTTTTAAATGTCATGTCACTAAATTTGGATGGACTGCAAAAGATGGAGCAAGCAAATCAGAAATAACAGTGCCGAGTTCATAAACAAACAATAGCAAGATACACACGTATAGTACTGGGCAGCTTGCACAGGGAAACTGTTTTTTCTGCCATGAGAAGTCACAAGGGAGATTTTAGTGTTAACTGGATGTGGAAGAAAATGGAACACGAGAGTTCATGCATGCAACTTTCAGTGGGGATCAGGCTTCATTTTTTCTTTTTTTTAGTCCATCACAATCTGTGACTCAAAAGCCTTGGGCAAAACCTATCTAGCGAACCATCAGCACCACAAAGCAACTTGCCTTTTAACTCTGTCGAATGTTATTTTATTCATTTCCAATTGAAAACACCTCTGGAGATGCACATAAATTCATTGGGCTCTTTCTAAATTGGCCTTGTACTCCATGGAATGCCCGAGCATCACAATGCTTGAATCATAGGACTAATGATGTGATACAGCTAAACTCAGATGGACTGCAGAACATATAGCAAGTGAATCAAAATTCATTTAGCATCAGCAATGCTGGGTTGTTACAGTCACTAATGTTTTACCTTCCCAGCAGCCACATTTTTACAACAGCTACCTACTTGCATCATCGATGTATCTGGGTGTAGGGGAAGCAAAAGGCTTAAAGAAAAAGAAACTGGAGAAAGCCAGAGTCATTAATCTGTGTTGATTTCTGCTGGATCCACGGAGGAGAGCCACAGGAGTTTGCCCATGGTACATTTTGAACCATTACAAAGAGTCTCAACTGAAGGCAATGTGCACTTACGTGTTAATTCATACGTCGTTAATGCAGAGCTGCTGTTCACTGTCTTGAAGCTGCTTTGGGCTATTCAGGGTAAGCAAAGCAGAAAGCTTGTTACAGTGCAAGGAAATAGTTATTGCAAATGATGTACAGCAGAGACAGAGGCAAATGAGGCAGCACACCCATACACAGTTTAAGCTTTAGGAATATACCTTGAAGGGCAATAAAATCACATCACTCTCTCGTAACACATCGAGAGCATCTCGCCCACATGGGGCTGTTTCATTTCCTCCTCAAACAGAGAGCTCACAAATACACAACACAAAGATGTTCTGGCTTTTAGATTAAATAGAACAAATGAGTAAAAACGAAATGATTTCTAGGGGCAAAAGCTCACAGTGGTGCATTACATGCTGATTTCTCGAGATGCAAAATTCAAAACCTGAAGAGCTGCAGAGTGCTGAGCTGGAAGCTGGACCACAAAGTGAACACTTACATCAGGGCAGGACCTGTTTCTTTAAGCGTGAATTTGATTTCCCTGAAATTGATTTCACTGAAAGAATTCAAGATTCCTGCTGTGAGTGAATTGTAATAATATGCTAAGCTGTGCAAAACTGTGGGTCAGTGAGGAACAGAGGTGTTCTAAGGTGAGAGTTATGAGGAGAAAGAGGGAAATTTAGCTTAAAATACATTTGTCTCCACCCCTTGCTCTCTCTGTCTCTTGACTCCCTGGAGAGGTGCAGCTTGTTTTTTCTCCTCTACAGTAATTAGGAATATAGCTGCAGGGCCAGACAAAAAGAGGGAAAAGACAAAACTAGTTGGTTTCACAGGCTCCCCATCTTGTGAGAGCATCCAAATTCATAATTTCATAATGTACACTGTCAGTCATTCAGTTTTTTTCTGAGAAAAACCCTTCTGCATTCCTACACCTATGAGAGCTTTACATCTCTGTCCTGGTTCAAGCTGCTCAGTCTGAGAAGTCTCAATTAGCTCTGACCACATAAGTGAGGTCAGAGTTAGAGGCTTACTTTATATTTAATGCACCTACTTATCCACACCCACATTAAAATTCACTCTTGCTTTTGTAGAAATCATTTCTATGGGTTCAGGAAAGCATAGCAGATGATATAAGATATTAAAATAGTCTCACTGAACCCTATTCTGCTGCTCTTGGAGTATTATCTTATTCTGAATATTCCAGTGACATCGAAGAGGACAAAAGCTGGTCCCTACATGAGCACATCTCATTGCTGGACTTTATTTCTCAGGCTACTGAGTGTTCACATGTCTGCCTCACATCATCTTATTCTGCCTATTCTTCTCTCTGATTTCCTTTCTAGCCTTTATCTAAAAAGCCTTTCATTTTTTTCTATTATTCCTCTCCCTCACCACCTTCTTTCCATGTGAGCCATAAATCCCAGTGACTAAAATGGAAAGCAGGCACCTAAAAATTCTTGCTCATCTTTGCTATTTTCTTCTAAAATGTGGACAAGCACTTTGAAATTATAAAAATTCTATTTTAAAATTCTCCTCAGCTGTTTTCCTCATCCTGTAAAAAGAAAAACAAAACGTCAATTATAAAAACTACTGAAAAAAACCAGCAAGAAGGGAAAAAGTTGCCAGCTGAGGAAAATGAAGTGTCTCTTGTTTGAAGGCAGAACAAAGTGTACCAGGGTAATTATCAAGTGGAGGTAGGGGAAGCAGAAAATCAGAGGGTACGTGGGGGACAGACCATCAATTCCAGCATGCTGGCAGAGATCAGCACAGACCATTACAATGCTGATCACACTCAAGTCACTTGCATTTTTCAGCATCTTCAGGCTGATTGTGTAAAACCTGAATTATTCCCCGCTCTCTTAGACTTACACTTTATTTCCACGGGGTAAGAGGGGTGTGCAGTGCCTGGTGCAATGACAGATTACCACGGTGGGATATTTTAAGGTCCAAGGCTTACGTGTGAGCTCTGCTCTCAGGGCTGAGGGGTTCTGGATGGTTTTGGATTCCGTGCCAGCTCCGGTGTCGTAGTCCAGCTCGCGGTAGTAGATGCGATATCCCAGCAGGAGCCCGTTCACGCTCTCCATCCTGGGGGGCTGCAAAACACCCACGGGAAGAACAGGCTGGTTAGGATGGGCATGGACACACACATCCTGATCGCAGGACAGTCTTCGTTTGGCATTATTTTACTGAAAGACTGATGATCAAATAAAAAAGAAAACAAAAAGGAATAATAAAAATTGTTCTGGCTTTGATTAGGAAGACAAAACTAGTTATTTATAATATCTATATATATAATACATAGATATTATAAATACATATATATATAAATATATAAATATATAGATAAATATAGTATTTATCTATAATGACAACCTCATAGAGGCATTTAGAGAGAAGCTACAGTGTGATGGGCTCTGGTGTGGGCACAGAGGAAAACCAAGGGCTCCTCCATAACAGCTCAGAGGCGTTTGGCACATACAGCCATGGGATGGCTCAAATATGAGTTTTTTTCTTTCAGTATCATATTGGGAGATGCTCAAGGACAAAACATCTCAGCAAGGCTTCTCCAGCAGCCCCTCACATCCTCCTTCAGCTACGGATACACAGCTGGCACACTGGAAAGGAGATTTGTATCTGGGTGGCTTGCTTAGGTAGAGACAAAGGGATTCCTCATGTTTTGAAAAAAATTACTTTCCTGAGTCTAATGCAGGATAAGAACTGTAGAGAAGAGATGCCTTGAGCCATTTATCTTCTAAAGATTCTTTAACTGAAATTTAAGGGACTGAAAGTATAAATGAAAAGGGTTTTAATGATAATCTTGCCTTTAATCCAGAAAAATCCCTACCAGCCTTGAGAACTTTACTAAGGAAAAGCATTGTGTAAAAATTAACTTCTGGTGTGAAACACTGTCACAATAGAAGGTAATGCCTCATGTAACTTTAATGAAGAAAGTAAGGACATCTCGACAGAAATGAGGAAGATCTTTGGTAATTCTGCTTCCAGAAATGACATGAATTTTCCATTACTCCATTACAATGGCAAGAGGAGGGAGAGAACTGTCCTGTCCCAGTGCCAAGGAGCTTGCTTTGGGTGAGGGCTGAAGGAATGAAGTAGAAAGACTGCAGTTCATGGAAACCAAAAAAAGAAAATTACATGAACCAGAGCATAAGGAAACTACACCTGCTCCAGGGGGAAGCTGCCTTCTTTTGCAGCTGTCCTGCACAGAGCCTGCTGAAAGCAACCCAGACCCTCCCAAGATTTCACTTGCTCTGCCTGGGTGGAGATATCTTATTCATCATTTCATGCTCATCATGGTGCTCCATCCTCTGGCAAAGCTCTGACCACCTTTCACTGTTATTTGGGATCTGAGTGGAGAACGATGCTGTGGGTACAGGATTGTGAGGGACCTTGAGGGTCATCAGGGCTGCGAGCTCCCCATGCAGAACCCACCTGCTGAAAGCTTCTCTCACAGACAGAACAACCTCCAGAAACCAGAACAACCAGAAATGGAGCTGATTCTTCAGCCTCCCAGTATTCCTGATGGAAGCTGTTCCCAGCCTCACCACTCGGGCGGTTAGAAACATTCATTTAATTTCTAATCTAAATAATTCATAGCCAGTTTCTAACCATTTGTTCCTGTGCTAACATTGCCTTTTGGGTTAAATTGTTCTTCTCCCTGTGGGGTGTTTACTCCTGTGATGTATTTTAGAAAGGGCAATCATATTCCCTCTACGACTACATTTTACAAGGCAAATAAATCAAGCTCTCGTACAACAGCCTTTCCCAGTCTCAGGCTGAGAGCCCCTTGTCCAAGGGACTAAGAAAATAGACCAAATAAAGTGCCAGGTCCCTCCAGGGCTGCCCTGTGATGTTACTGCTCACGGACCAGCTGAAACACTCTCCTGTGCAAGAAGATGAGATGGGGTTACTGGAAATTATCAGTAACTCTCTCCTGATATTTTCTTTTTCCTTTTCCAATCTTTTGCCTTTTTGTTTTCTGTCTTACACTGAAGTTACTTTAGCCCTGATGGTGCCCTTGTAGAGAAGGGCTCCACAGCACAGCAGTGTCATTGCCTACCTATTTTGATTTTTCCTATTAATTAAGACTTTTCCTATTTTAATTACAAATAAACTTTTTTTTTTTTAAATTTAAGAGAAAAAAAAAGCTGAAGTGGAATATCCTGCAGAAGTCTAAAAGGAAAACCCTGCTGAAGCTGAGGAGGAGACTGTGACTCCCTGCTCTGCCATGTAACTGCTTTACAAGTAAAGCTTTATTTCGCATTGTGACTCAACACTGATGTTATTGTTTTCATATAAAACAATATATAAAAAGAAAACATTGCTTTCTTATGCTATCACGTGATTCTCCATCTTTTCCTTCCTTGAGATTTAGGACAGGAAAGCTCAGAAAATAAATAGCTTACAAACTGTCTCTCTTTTTGCCATGGAAATGATGATTTTTTCCTGGAAAGGGTACTCTGCTAAAAGGTCAGGTCTTCCCCTTCCTATCTGTCTTCTGTGGACAAAAGTCTGCTTTTGATGTAATGGATTATTTAGGATTTTGTAGAAAGGCCTGGGGGATCTGCTGAAATAGGTAAAATGGTTATGAGTGGCAGCCCATAATGTTGTACAGAAGTAAGAGAAACATCCTTGTGCTGTTTCTAAAGAGAAATAAATAAATAAAGACTGAAATGTAAGTTTGAGTAATTGTTATCTCTAAGGTAGAAGCAGAACAGTACATGATCCTGATGTTAAGTGTAACATCCTCCAGAACATTTGAAATAACCCTGCATTATTGATACAACAGACCTCACTGGAAATTACTTATTTTCTTCCTCCTTTAAATTTAAAAATAATGGACTGATTGGACGAAGCAGCTGAAAGCCCAGATAGTGCATCGAGAATTTGTTTTGTGAATTATTAACACAGCTCAAAGTTAAAAATTTAGCTTTGCTTGGAAATCCACTCTCCCATTTAGCTCGACTGCTGTTTTCAGTTTACATTATTTCTTAGACACTGCTGTGAAACTTCCTCGTAATTGGAGGCTATTGTGGGACTTCAAGATTTTTGTTTATTTGAAAAATATAGTACGGTTGAATTACCAGGACCTATTAATATACATGTGGTAATGACATATAATCGCCCACAACTCCCTTGAGATGGCTCTGGCACAACAACCCCATTTCACTTTCATGAAATGAAAAGCATCCAATTACCTAAACAACCACCTATTTCACATTAACTACACACCAGTAATCAGTCAGCTGGGGGAATGTTTATTTCTGTGGTCCATCGTGCCTCACATCCTCTTTGTCCTCTCTTTCTGCCCATTTTTCCCCTTTGCTGGGGGCTCTTGTTGTAAGTAGGGAGGTAGATTTGCATCTCTCCATAATTCCTCCGGCAAAACTGCTCAGCTTCTCTCCTATTTGCTCAAGATGCTGTAAGCAACTCTGCTGCTCAGAACTCTCCTGTGTGAGCTGGGCCAGGCACCCAGCAGCACAGCCAGGCAGATTTTCAAGTGCTGCTGCACACCAATAAACACACCCTCATCCATAAATTTTTCTTCCAAAAATGCAAGGAGTCCCATCTGTACTGTAAATGCATATGTACATTTTTCACTGTAATGCAATCTGTCCAAAGTCATCCTTATGATGTTTGGGGGGCATTGTCTGGGGAGCAGGGTGGGCAGAGGCTCTCCAGGATGGGTTGTGGATAATGTGCAGTGCCCCACTGGGGTCCCTCCATTAATGCCCACTCTGCAAAAAGAAACCTCAGGCACTGGATCACAAAATGTTCCTGCATCTCCCAGGAGGTCAGGATTGAGAGATAAAGGAAGGCAAGGAAATGCCAATATAAAATGCAGACTTGACACAAATACTTCCCCATCCAACCCGGAGAGACTGCAGAGAGCTCAAACTTCCTTTCTTTTCTCTGAAGAAACTCAATGTTTCCCTCTCAGAGTCAAGAGGGCATGTGGAGCTCCTCAGAGGTATGAATGGGATCTCAGGCACTGATCTCAGGCTTCTGATCATTCCAGCAGCAGGAGGAGGCTGTGCACAACGTGAGCTTTTGATTACCTGATCTTACCAACACCATCTCTGTGGAGTATTTTCTGTGTAAAGATGTACAACCATGGAGAGCAATGAAAGGGCAGAAGAATCTGACAAGAAACAATCTTGGACATGGCTACAGGCACTCCTTTACCAGTGCCCCAGTGAGGCACAAAGTGAAAGCAACTGACAGGAATCTCCATTCATCACTAAAATTTATGCTAGATCAGGTAAATAAGGAAGTAGCTGCAGTCCTTCAATGTTAGTACAATACCTCCAGCTCAAGAAAATGTCCCTGGCAATGTACCCTTAAATTCAACAAGTTAAAGCAACCAAAAAATTGTTCACAGGAACATCAGAATTTTTCATTTACTTACCTGCCACTGCACAAGGACAGAGGAAGTCGTGTGGGGAGTTACTAACACAGAGCTGGGTGGTTCATCTGGAACTAAACAAGAGAAAAAGAAAACAAAAGCAGTTACACCAAGAGGGTGGAAAAGGGACAGCTTTTCTTTCATTCAAGTTCTTTTTCCTCACTGCTGAAGGAAATCTAGCCCAGCTGCTTCATGGTGGGTCCCAAAAGCAGTGTGGTGGATGTGGATGCTGCAGCCCAGGGAGAAGCCAGGATCTCCTCTTACATCCCCTGCTCCACCTGGGGCCTTGGCAGCTTGGGAACAGCAAGAAAAGCTCAGGGCATAAACCTGGAGGAAGCTGCAGCAGCCAGCTGCTCACAGACCACCAGATGCTCATCTGTAAGGAAGTTAAACCAGTTGTGTGCTGGCTCCAAAGGGTGAGAAAACTGCACCCTGAAAAATTCAGGAGATTTTTTGCCACCTTTGGGGCAAGCCTGCCTTGAATTCAGGAGTTTGTGTCACATAACCACACATTATTTTAGTCAGGACAGCTTGATTTACCACAGGTTAACCCTTGCCTGTGCCCAAGGCCTGTGGCACTCCCAGACACCACACAGCAGCTCAAAGACACCAAGCAAAGGCTTATCAGGAGCTCACAGCTCTCCACAGTGCAATGCTCAAGTGGCAGCACTGGGGCTGCTCAGCAGAATAAATGCTCAATTTGTTGAGGAGGTGAGAAGCTTTCACAGATTTTTCCCAGCTGTGTTGTGAGGAGGCCAAGCACAGCGCTGGATCCACTGTAGCTAAATTCAAAGAGAACTTAAGATGAAATTTTAAATTCCAAACCAGTGAGTCAGTGCTGCCTCATTAGCACCTGTTACAGGCTGCACTGACCCTGCTGCTGCTGTGCAGGAAGGTGGAGAGTCAGGATGCCTTTAAGGGGCTGCTTAGCACATTGGTCAGGTATTAAATGGGTTTCTGTTTAACATCCCACATCCCTGAGCTCTGTCCTCTCTCTGGTCTTCTGATTTCAAGATCACATTCCCTGGCAAAATGGCTTTCTATTATATGCCAGTGTAATTTCTAACTCATCACTCCTTGCAGGAAATAATTCCTAGTACTCTATATATATTTATATATATACACACACATAACCATAGAATCATTTCGGTTGGCAAAGACAGCACTTCCTAGCCCACTGCTAATTCATGTCCCCAAGTGCCACATGCACATGGCTTTCAAATCCCTCCAGGGATGGGGACTCCACCACTGCCCCAGGCAGCCTTAGCCAGTGCTTGAGGAACCTTACAGTGAAAGAATTTTCCCTAATATTCAATCTAAACTTCCCCTGCTGCAACCAGGCCATTTTCTTATGCCCTACCACTTCTTACTTGGGAGAAGAGATTGACCCCCACCTCATAGCACCCACATATATATATATTTATCCATGTATGTATCCCAGGATTACCCAATTTCCCAGGGTAAAAGCAGGTACTGATGCTTTTCCTACTTTGCAGAGTTCCTTTCTCCATTCAAGACATCAGAGCTACTTCTGCATTCAGGCATTGACTTTATACAATCAAGGAATTAGAAGCTGATCTCTAAGGCTAAAAATAAAAGCCTTGTCAATGTCATTCACAGTTTATTAGTCCTGATCTGCAGGATTAAATGCTCATGTTTCCAGGAGCTTCATACTCTTTCTTACTTATACCTCAGCAATTTTGCCATTCTGCAGACTGACGTGGATTGTGAGGGGAAAACAATTGAAGAAACTTCTTCAAATGTATGCAGGGCTCTACATTTATTTTTAATGCTCTCTTGTAAATTATTCAATTTCTGCAAAGATAATGGTTAGTGAAGAGTTTGGAAGCCAATCAAATGAAGTTTAAATCCATTTTGAGACTCCTGAAAGTATGATTCATTATCAGAGGGCACAGCAGGACACTTGAAGGCTGCCTGTTAACTCAGCCGTATCTCATTGCTACCTGCGTCAACTTCCTGTGGACAAAACTGCTTTGCCTGTTGGTTTTCACTCCAGCCTCCTTGGAGAACACCCTGCAGTGGCTCCAGGAGCCCCGGGGAGCCCCCAGTGTGCCTCTCCTCCTCCTCCCTTACCATCCTGCAGGGTCGTGACCGCCTCTGTCTCCGCGCTGAAGTCGCTGTCCCCGATGTCGTTGGTGGCCTTCACTCGCAGCTTGTAGGAGGTGAAGGGGTTCAAGCTGTGGAATGGGGAAAACAAGGCTGAAAAGGGGATGCAATCTTCCTCCCTCATCACAGCTTGCCTCCACAGAGAACCTGCCCACCAGAATCACTGAGAAGTTTGTGTCCTCTCCCCATCACCTCTTCTTTGCAGTCTCCCCCATCTGCCATCAGCACCTTCCCAGGTGTCCCCTGCCCTGAGTTTCCAGACACACTCATTTATTGCTGAATAAATGAGACCACCAGAACACAGACCTGAACCTGCAGCTCATTGAGCAGCCCACAACTGGGGCTTGCTATCTGAGTTCTGCATGGCTGTGCAGAGCCTGGCTTTCAAGGTGCTCTGCTGAGATATCCTCCAAAGCCATCAGGGCCAGCCCATCTCTGAGCATGGACGGGCAGGACAGGTGGGGAGGAGGGAGGAGACGTGCCCAGGGTCAGCCAGGGCCCAGCAGGCTCTGGAATTCAGAGTGCCAGCTCCTGACTAATCCCCTACACCACACCACTTGATCAGTGCATTTTGCTCCTGCTGAATCCCAAATTAATGCCATTACTTGGATTATTTAATAAAGACTGCGACAACAGGTTCCCTGCAGCTCTTTTATCTATGTGGTGCTTTCAGATATGCAAAGAGTGATTTCCAGCTGACATAACCTTGCAAAGATGATTCTGGCTTGGCTTGGCAGGGGAGGTGAAGGGGAGGCTGCCTTTGGAGTCGCAGGCAGAGGTTTGAAATGCAGAGCTGTAACTTACAGGGGATTTCACTAATTAATTGGTAGTGTCTAACCATCCACTGGCAGATGGAACACTGACTACAAACCCAAGTTACTTGTAAGGAATGATTAAACAAGAAGGATAATGCATTCTGATGGGCAGCACTCTCACATCCATGACTCTTCTGGACTTCCACAGGAAAGCGCTTTTAGCAAGGGGGAGAGGAAATCTCTTTTAGTAGTGCCACCCTATCAGGACAGAATTACTTACCTACAGCAACTTGATTAATGTGAATCATCCTTTTTGATCTTTTGTTTTCAGTCATGCCAATGTCAAGTATAAGTGACATAGATGGTTTTCTTGTTTTTGCAGGTTTTGACTGGAAAGATCCTGGCACACAACCAGTGAGCTGCCATACACCACAGCCACTAATGCTTTTAATAACAGACCCAAAAAATCTCTATCTGAATGCTCAGAATACCTGATTCTAAAGCCTAAAGCTCACAGCCTTTTAGAAATAATCTGATTTGTACTGGCTCGTCAACAGAGGAAATGGACAGCAAAACAAGTACCTGCTCGTAGACATTCAATTACTTCTGCTGATGTTACAAGGACTTTAATTACACCAGTATTGCAGAGGATATAATGAAGCCTGAATAACAAAGTTTAAACATTCTGATGCTATCTATAAACTTCAGTATGGAAAATACAGATAAAAATGGTTCTCATTTCATCTGGAAAAGCTTATATAGAGATAATTGCAATGCAGCATTCGGAGTGGATTTTAACATCAGTCACTACTGAAAGGATTTTTAACTAGTTGTATTTTACAGAGCACTGTGTAGCTACATATGATTTAGCCTGAGTAGTGTTATCTGTGGTGTTGAGCTTCCAGGAAAGGCTTCAAAAAGATGCACTGCAGTCTAACTTTAATTAGATTTATTGCATGACCTTCAGCAAATCTCTCAACTGCTGTTCACAACACCACCTCTAAAATGGGAGCAGCGGCCTCACTTAACCTCTCTCCCCCAAAAAGAACATGAAGCTGAGCGAGGCTTGTTTTGGTTTCCTAACCAGTGGGAAAGTGTGGGAATTTCTGTGCTAGCCTGGGTTCACGTGGTACCTTTCGATCAGGCAGGATGTGGCCTCGTGGCTGATGGAGGAGGAGTAGGTTTGCCAGTCCCCGTGTGGCAGCTCCCGCACTTGGACTGTGAAGTATCGGATGGGAGATGATCCATCGCTGCCAGGGACCCAGGTCAGCACCAGGCTCCGGGAGGACACGTCAGCCTGGGGGGTCATCACCTGCCTGGGAGGTGCTGGTCGCTCTGCAATCAAACCATAATTTAGCTGCTTTGAGAGGAAATTCAAAACAATGTAAAATGAGACAGCCTGGTCAGACTTTCACAGTGGCAAAGCCGAAGGCCATTGAATGCTTGGATTTGCCACGTGATGTATACAACTATCCCATTCCTTAACCTTCTACTGCAAGGGGGAGCAGTAAAACTGATTCTTATCTGCCTGCATCAAAGGTCACCATAGGATATAAACCTTCCTCACAGCAGACCTCAAACTTGGGGGGGTCTTGACCTGGCCGGTTAAAGAAGAATCATCAGGACTGATAGCCAAGCAAAGCAAGGCAATCTTTAATGAAACTCAGCTGTGCTTCTGGCTGCAATTGCTCTTTTGACAGAATCTGTTTGTAAATCAGCTCCCTTTTTAACCTGTTCTTACTCCTTGGTACCAGGAACTCTGTTCTCTCTGTGCTATGCAGGGTCCTCTTCCCCCTGCTGAGGCAAGAGGAAGAGGTGGGCTGGAACAGGCTGTTGAGTGGCAGAGTCCAAGCACACAGAGCTGGTGCTGAATTCCTGCACCAGGCAAGGAACCAGGAGGCATCAGCCGCTCCTGGTGCTGCTGCTTCCAAACCCCAGCCTGGAACCAGCAGAGCTGGGGCTGGAGCACCTGCTGCAGGTTCCTTCCAGAGCTCCCCAACTCTTCCCTTCACACCCACTAACCTTGAACCTGCAAAGTCAAACCAGGCAGTGCTGAGGGAGATCTCTCCAGAGTAATTACCCTCACACCTCTGGGATGAGCAGGGAATGGCAATGCAGGTGTAAGCATGCCAGCCCCCAACTGTTTCATTACAGATCTCCTTTCCCGTCACCGCGTCTCCGCACTCCATCGATTTCAATAGAGAAACTCTATAGAGTGAGGAATAATTGTTTAATTGTTTATCATGAAGATTATTGATTCTGATTAAAATGTGTGGCATGTAATAAAGCAGAAATTGATTGGAGACACCGCAGTGACTTGCTTTTGAGAAGCAATTCAATTCAACTTCATCAGCACTTGTTTCCATAAACACACTGCCTGCCTGATTCCTCTCAGCTCCGTGTGGCCAGCGCTTCATTTCCCTGCCAGCCCCTACAACCATTTCCTGCATGTTTTGGCATTTCTCTGCAGCCTGCTCTCGCTGACATCAGTGCCCAAAGACTTGTAAGCTATTAGCTGGAGGAAGCCCTGGGTGCCAGCAGCCTGCGAGCAGCAGCACGACGCGAAAGGTCAGTGCCTTACACTGACAGGCAGAGACAGGGACGTGGGGTTATTCCATGCCAGGGAGGGAGAGTCATGCAGGGATTTTATACATTCTGCTGATAAGCTCTGCACTTTTGGGCAGGTCAGATCTTGCAGTCAGTCTCCCATGATTTGGCTTCTTTCTGCTGCTAATGGGAGATCTTAAAATCTCCCGTGTGGCAGGATATACTCCCTGACTGTTTGTACAAACCCATTAGTATAAAGAGTTTATTTATGGGAGTTTAGCCACAAGCAAATGCAAAGGTGAGACTGTCAGTGCAGGCTTGAAAGGCCACATGACTCTATAGACTACGTTTAATTTCTTGCTACATTTCAGTTTTTTAACTCAGTTCTGCTCTGATCACCAATGTTGACTATTCTGAAGTGTAGATTCAAAGCACTGCAGGAGAAACTCTGGAGAATACAGCCACAATATAACTTGGGATCTATAAATCACAGGCACCACTGCAAAATGTAAAGATTTACACTGGGATTAACCAAGGATTTTACAAGGGCAAGAGTGACTAATTTTGTTAATTTTCAAGAGAATTTTTGTGTCTGTCTACCTTATCAAAGTCTATGAGGATTTTAAATACATCTTTGTTAACAGGAATTAGATATCTTTTCATTCTAGAATATTTATTGTCATATATACACATTTCAGGTTAATTTATTGTTAGCAAAATAGCCGCACTGGATAAATTTCTTTATCATCCCCTTTTATAATTCTTGCAGATGTAAGAAAACACTTTGTTGTCCTTACACTTTATATGAGATCAGTAACTTGTGGTTCCCAAGCACGTAGAGACCCAGCAGAGTTGTCCATCAAAAAGAGAAAGGGATCATGTTACACAGTGATTTGGGTACTCAAGATAACCCTAAAGCATTGATAGCAACAAGGGGTCACTGTTCCCACAGTGCAGCTGGGAGTTCTGCCTTGAGCTGTTGTGCATCCTTGTGCACAGTCTGGGGAAGCTCAGCACATTTTATTGAGCAGGAGAGGCTCTGAGCTTTGAGAATTCACATTTTTTGGCATGGTGGGTTTTTGTTGGAAGCCTCTACATGTCAGGCTTTGAACCTCTCCTTTGACAGCAATCAGACAGGGTGGGAGAAACCTTGAGCTGATAAATCTCTTTGATGGACAGTACCTTTAGCAGAGGCACTTCCAATTTCCTAATACATCTCCAGAGGTTCTTTCTCTGAGGAGTGCACTGTTATGCACTGGGAAGGCTGCACATGACCTGCAGAGCTTTGCCAGAGTGAATTTTAAACCCAACCAAACAGGCCAGAAGTAGCTGAAATGCATCTCACAGGCTTTTGCTGCTGGTAGCTGAACATCAACTTCCTCTCTTCTTAGAAATGTTAAAAGAAAAATAATGAGGAAGACATTGTTGGCAAATACAATGGGAGATCATTACTTTTGCAATAAATGATGTGCAAGGTGTAGAAAGGACTTTAAACAAATGATTGCTTATCAGGAATATTTTAGGAATTAAAAGCAAATGCCATTTGTTGCATTATAGTGCACCAAGAGCAGGTCCACAAGCACACACAGAAATTCTAACAACAGTTGAAAGATGTCTGTGGAGGTCTGGCCTGGTGACCTGCTGGAGTGTGCTCTTCTCTGAACTGTGGCTTTTATAAGGCATGGGAGTTGTATGGTTCTAGATTTTGAGGGAGAATTTTACTCAAAAAATATCAATATCCAGACATTGCACAAAACCCAGTGGTGCTGGTAGAGTTACCCTGGCTTGTTTTGATTTTGCCAGCTCAAGAGACCAGATACATTCTTTGCAGTGGATCATGACCTATGTGCAAGACCAGAGAAAAAACCACACTCTGGTTCTCCACCAATATCCAGCAATATATTCTCTTTTAGCTCTGAAGTAAAAAAAAAAAAAAAAATTCATGCACAAGTAGAAAATGCAAATTTTTAAACAGAAGCTCTACAGATCAGTTCTAAAACTGGAGGAATGAGCAGTTCCTTGAGCCAAAGCATTAAAAACAAGCAGTGATGCAGAGCAGATCCTGTAATACCTTACACGTCTTTCACATTTTGGTACATTTGGTATCAGAGCATCTGGTTTCATTTACACACACATAGAAATGCCACCTTCCAGATTCCCTTCAGAGCAGAATTAGCCTGGAGAGTCAGGATGCAAACAGCCATTTAATGGCTGATGCAAGAAGCAGAAAACGTCTGGGCAATCCAGATGCAAAGGCTCTGCTGGAGCGTGTGGCAGCGAAAGGCCAGAGTAATTACAAACACATTAGGTCAGGGTTGAGGCACAATGGAGGAGCTGTGGAGAAATTCTGCAACACCACTGCCTCCCATTTTGCGTTCCCTAATCAATATAATTCATCCATCACTTACTTTCTTAAGATTGCAATCTTTCTAGAAAACGAGAGAGCTAAAAAAAAAAAAAAGAAACCCATCTGACTGCAAAAAGAGGCTGCACATGGCCAATATAGCAGCTGATGGAAAAATCAATTCCAACAGCCCGGCAGGTTAGAAGAACTGTGTCTCATAAAAGTCTGCCTTGCTTTCTCAAATCACGATGCTGCCATGGACCGGGGCAGGTTTATGGGGTGAGAAGGAGGAGGTGCAGCCTGCTATTAAAATCCCCCAAAGCGCAGTGCACGCTCCAGGGCAGGCACAGAAATTCCCTGAACCCACGGCTCGCAAGCATTACCTCGTTTCTCAGTGGTGATCACCGTGGCTTCCAGAGGCTCCCCCCAGCCCTGCCTGGTCTTGGCAGATGTCCTGAAGATGTAGGCTGACTCTGGGCTCAGGTCTGTAGCTGTGAACTGCCGGACTGTGGAGCCAACCTCCACCGTGGTGAACTTGTTGGGGCTGCTGCTGGCCAGGCGGTAGGCGACCTGGTACCCTGCAGGCAGAGAGGGGAAAAGGCTCAGCTGGCTTCTCCAGCAGGGACAAAAGAGCACCAGCACTATTAGTTTATCCTAATTGCATGCTTATCTGAAGGGAGAAAAGTAATTTACTGCCTTTGGTGTTATACAGATCTGCTTTTTGGCAGATGCCACACACCTTACAAAGGAAATCACTCACACACGAGACTCTGCTGGATACAACTGCCATGAAACTGAGCTCACTTTCCATTCCTTAGGCCAACAAGATGCAAAACCAGTTTAATCCTTTCTGAGCATTCTGGCATCTTTTAGGAAACCAAAGGAACAGAGCTGGTGCAATGTGTCACCTGACTGAGGTGTTCAAAGCAACGCTCCAATTCCAGCTTTCCAACCCACGCTCACAGGTTGTTCTGCCCTTTCCCAGTTCCAGCACTGGCTCAAATTCAAGGTTCTTCAGCTGCAGCTCTAGATTGACCAAACCAGGCAGCCTTCAAACTGCTCCAGTCAAAGCTTGCTCCTCCTTTCTGCAAGTGCTTTTCCCTCAGCAGTGAGTGCCAGAACTGCCAATAAAGCCACCCTCTGTCATTCAGCATCGCTGCCCTTGCCCAGAGCCTGAGGAAGGAGCCTGCAAGCTCTGTGGTCCTGCTTCATCCAGGCAGGTCTCAATAATCAATTTTGCTGATGCCTGTAAGCGATAACCCCCCTTCCACCCTGCCTGACAATCAGGAGCTCACAGTTTAGCCTGGGTTATTAATGATTCCGCTGTGCAAGGCGGGTTTCCAGGGTTCTTACGCACCACTAGTGACAACTGTCCCCCAAAGAGGGTCTGCCAAATGTTCAAATCTATTCTGTAAACCCAGCAGTTCAATCAGGCTCTCACTTCTGGAGCTGAATGGTAACTTCCAGTCCAGCAGCTGACTTCCAAAATCAATTAATAGCAGAACTGATGTGGGGTTTTATTGCCCGAGCTGAATGTATGATTAAATGCTCCACGGACTTACACAGCCAACAAATCCAAATCAAACCAGCTGAAAACAAAACAGTCATGGCACAGCTCTGCCAACCCTCTGCTCACCCTCTGAATGACAAAAGAGGTCTGCAGCACCTGAGCCATCTCTTTCTCATGGAATTAATATCCCAGCTAGAGTTTGAACTCCCACCACATCTTGGCTGTAACAAGACCAAGGGGAGCCAAACCTGGCATGGTTCATTTGGGAAGGCCAGTGCATGAAATCTGAGGGGCTGATCTTACCTATGGCTATTAGAGAAAACCCAATGACATTTATTTCCCACTGTGAATATGCCACAATTGCCACATTGCCACTCACAGGAAAGGCCTGGAGTTCCTGCAGCCCCTGGAATCGATGCCACTCGCGTGTGGCGCACTCCGCCACAAACAGTGGATTTTAATTGGGATACAGATGGTATTAATTTTGTTGTGCTGACTCTCACAGTGCCACTGATGATGCACCAGGGTTTCCTTGTCCTTTCTTCCCTGGCAGCTGCTTGGGGACATGGGGCAGCAGCCATGGCTGCTTCATGTGGAAGAATTTGCACTGACAGCTTGAGGAGTTACCTGGCTTTTCTGAGCACTCGTGACTTCAGCCCCAGCTGCCCCAGGCTGTGGTTGGTTTAATCCTACAGGAGCATTTCCACAGCTGCGTGGAGAGCTTTAGATTTCTTCAAAGGCTGGCAGTAATGACCTACGAGGAGTGCCTGAGGACTTTGGGCTCGTCTTGTCTGGAGGGGTGACCACAGAGCTCCCTGAGGAGGGGGTGTGGAGAGGGAGGTGCTGATCTACCAGGGTGGTAAAACAGGTGCAGAGAGGTGGTGGCTGTTCCATCCTTGGAAATACTCCAGGTCAGGTTTGACACGGCTCAGAACAACCTTTATTAGTTGAGAATGTCCCTGCCCTGCCCATGACAGGGGGGTTGGACCAGACAGCTTTCAAGGACTGCTGCTAACCCACACTATCCAGGTGCTATGATCTCCCTGTTGGGACACGTGGGAATGGCTCAAAACTGCTTCAGCCAAGGTTCAGATTGGACATGAGGAAGAATTTATTAACAGAGAAGGTGGTCAAACCCTGGAACTGCCTTCCTGGAGAGGTGGGGAGTGCCCCAAGCCTGTCTCTGTTTAAAAGCCATTTGGATGAATCTCATAATAATGCTTTAACTTGGTCAGCAGTGAACTGGTCAGGCAGCTGGACTTAATTATTGTAATAGGTGCCTTCCAACTGGAATAGTCTGTTCTGTTCCATTCTATTCTAATCAATTAAAAAGTCTCCTGATTTTTCAGTGCTCCTGAGTATGCTTAGATCCCAGCAAAGTCTTGGGGTCTTACACTTTCAACATTTCATTTTTTCACCTGCAAATTATCTCCTTTTATCCATGGGACTAGTTCTTCCATTACTGGTCCAATATATTTTAACAAAGTATTTCTGTACCCTTAATGCTGCAGTATTTTGATCTTTTTTAAAAGTCCACAGAAAGACAGAGAGCAATGGGGAGAAGGAACTGATATATATGATCTTTTTTGTTTATACTGATGTGAAGAACGTGGGAGTGAAAACCCCAGTGCAGGATCTTAACAAGGAGGAAAAAATAGTCAAAGAAAAGCACTAGGGAAATTTTTACAGAAGCAAGAAAGATGAAGGAAAAAGCAACTAAGATGGCTAAAGAAGTTTGATAAAGGGATATAAGACGCAAAGAATAAGACCTGGAGGGAAACAGAGAACATTAAAAGAATAGAAAAGTTGATTTATCTAGTTATTAAAAGATAAGTATGATATCTGGGACATATACTTGTCGAGTAATTTCCTCTCTTTTCTAAACCTTTGTAAAATATGAAGTGTATTTAAAATGTAAGGGGGGAATAGAAAGATAACTATTTACTACTAAATGGTGGCAGTCATGCTGGAAAGCAATTGCAAACACACCCAGATTAGGCAAAGGAACACATACATATCTAGGCCATTACAATATCTTACACAAGAGTGGGTCTGTGGCTAGTGAAATAATTAATTTAGCTGTGAGAAAGAGGAAATCACTTGTCACAGCCTGTCTCTGTGACAGGCTCCGCAAACTCCCTTTCCTTGCATCTTTGTGAAAAACAGCATCAGCTTTCACTGTCCCCTCCTACATCTGCTGTTGTCTCAAAGTCTGAGGAAATATCTGTCTTCCTGGGTTTACATGACCAGAGCCATCACCTTAACAGACTTCCTAAGAAACTCAAAACCTCCATAGGTCTGATTCCAAGGCAAATATCCAAGCTCTACACCTGAACTCAGCTCACTTTTCTTGCTACCTACAACCTGCCTAAGAGACACCCAGTACTTAAATCTGACCCCCTGCACCTCCTGTTAGTCAGTTTGGGACAATGAGGATCCAGACTGGCATAAAAAGCATTACTTTTACTTTTTCTGAGTGGCACAGAAGACTCAGTAACTTAAACTACAACTTGGATAATAACTAGGGCTAATGCAAGATCAAAAAGATAAAATTATTAAGTTGATGAATTTCAGCAACAAGGGATAGGAGAAGAAAGGAAATGTTAAGTGAAATCAAACGAGGCAAATCAATAGAGGTAAATGGAAAGTGTTCAAAGAGAAATTAATGTATGCTTGAGGGCTATAACAGGCAATTGCTGCAGTGGAGGAATGAGCAGCTTCCTTTCCTTGCTAGATTATGACAATAAGATGTTGCAGATATCTTAGGAAAAAAAAGTAAAAAATCAAAGGCTATGAATGAAAGTATAACCTTTAAAAGGTGATTGGAGCAAACTTTTTGGGGAAAGGAATATCTTACAGAATGTGAAATAGCTGGATGGTCAATAAGAATTCATATTATTTTCTTAACTTTTTTGCCATATAGCATTAGATCTCAAATCCCTTCTGCTATTGGGAGTGCTGCCACTCACCAGGCCAAAACAGCATTAAAAACCCTCCCGAAAAGACCAAGTCTTCAGGAGTTTATTTATTCATTGAAACTTGGCTTATTTGTCACTTCAGCATCTTTTTGAGCTTTTTGCACAAGTGCAAGCAGTTCCATGAGCTGCACACTTCCCAAACTCAATAAATGGCAGCTGCCTGTTAAACGTTGGGTCACCGCAACACAGCCGCCGGATTCCCCGAAGCAAACAGGCAGCGGGAGGGTGACAACACCCCATGAATACCAAAAAGCTTTCAAGCTCATCACCATACAAAGCCCTTCAAGAAGTGACAGCACCCGTTGGTGCAGGCCACGGTGCAGCAGAGATACAAACAATTATTAATTTGTCACAGAACTCGGGGAGAGCTGAGCGATACCGCGAGGTTACGCTCGGCGCGGTGGAGCAGCAATCCGGTTTGTTGATTTTCCTGCTTATCTGTTTTAGGGCCAGCGGGTGTGCAAATGCAGCCTGGGATCAAAATAGGAATTTGCAAACATGGATTACATCCAATTTTGGTTCTAATTCTCAACGGAGTTCTTACACTTTTTTTTTTTTTTTGCAATAAGCTCCAGGTAAATGCTAAATACGAGGATACCGTGAGGAATACTAACCAGGGCCTGGGAGGATGTGGGTTAAGCTCTCGTTTTCAGGGGGAGCTCATAGCTTGAAGTGCACAAATGCACATTAATGCCTCATTTATCTTTAATAGTATTTGAGGGAACTATGTGGGTGCTGGCTGAACTGAGTGCAGAGAGGAAGACAGAGCGAAACCTCAGATGGTTGGAGGAACATTCCCAGAAGGAAAAAGGGAAATATCTCACAGTCTTGCATGGTAAAATATTTAAACAAACAAACAAGTGGTTTTCCCTCTTGGTGCCTGCCAGTATTTCATCCTGCTAATCTCTCTCTGAAATGCTAGAACATGTTTTTATACAGATTACAAAAATGTTAGCTGCAAAGGTGCGTGTATGCTCAGAGGACAAGGCAGCCAGTGCAGGAACGTTAGTTCAAAGGCTCTGAGTACAAGCTGCTCTTGCAAAGCAAGTGGTTTTTCTTTTGAGCCCCAGGAGTGAATAGAAGGGCAGCACACAAAATTATGTTCACTTATTTTTCCCAATGACTCCACTTTGGTGCACTTGACCAGAGGGATGGAGTGGTGTTTTGGAGGTTCATTATAGTAATGAGATGTAAAAAGTGTACAGGGAAAAAATAAAAACCCCAAACTCCCCAAATTTGCAGCCTTTCCTCAGAACACTACACACAGTTTTTATCTATTTTTGAAGCACGGTTCACTTAGGAAAGATCACAGAAGTACCCAGCATGAGCAATTTTCCCTTTTTCTCTCTTTGGCAGCTAACTACTTCTTCCAGGAACCTCAGTATTTCTACCATTGAGAAAATAAAAGTGAGAACTGTGGAATAAAGACAATGGACTTCAAAGAGGTAGATGGGGCGGACTGGCAGGTAACATCCCCCTGGGAAGGAATTCTAAGGGAAAAAGGAATCCAGGTTAGCTGACCATTTTAAGAGACAAAAAATATGGTACAACTATTTCAACACAGACAAAAGATGCTAAGAGGCCAATATGTTTGCATTCAGAGCTCACTAATGACCTGAAAATCAAAAGTGAATTGGACAAAAAGTTGAAACAGGACACAGGTCTAAGGGAGTGTATAAATAGACAGCACAGGCATGTAGGGACAAAATCAGAACGGCCAAAGAGCAAAGTGAGTTATCACCTGAAGGGAAGCAAAGGCAATGAGAAAGATTTCATAAATACATTAGAAATCTGAGGGAGAGAAGGAGAACAGGTCAGCCAGCAGGAAGAAAAAAATGAGCACAAGAGAGGTGAGGCAGAGAGGGAAGGAAGGCTGGTACCTGCATTGCTGCATTTTCACACACAACAAGAAGTTGGTGCTGACAAGATCCTCCACACAAATTAAAAGTGACAACAATGTAAGTAGGGATGCAGGCTGGAATGGAGAACAGGTTAAGGAATATTTAGTTAAGCTGGATGTAATCAAGTCAGAAAGGCCTGATGAAATTTGCCCTGCAGAGATGGAGCCATCTCTGAATAATTAGCCATTCTCATCTAGGACTTGTGGACGACAGGTGACATCCCAGAACATTACAAAAGGGCAAACAGAGTACACCATCTTTTAAAAGGAGGCATGACCGACTACAGGAATTATGGACAAATCAAACTAAAGTTCAATACACAGAAAGAATCTGGAAAAAAATATGAGTCAATATACAAGCATCCATGAGGATAATAATGTGCCAGGGAACAGCCAATATCTGTTTGATTGGAGCAAATAATAAATACCAAATAATCTGTTTTCCATTTTGACAGTGTAATTGGCCAGGTGGGAAGAGTAGATATGATCCACATTGACTTTGAGTAAGGCTTTAATATGGTTGCACACAGTCCCACCAAAAGCAAACACAATAACAGAATCTAAGAAAAACATCACACATTTCAAAATGAACGGTTAAAATACAAAATGTTGTTATCAATGATTTGCTAACAACCTGGGAGGACATAGCAAGCTCTCATGAGACCTCATGAATGAGTCTGGTCCTGTTTAATACTTTCATTAATGACCTCGCTGATGGAATTGCCAATCTGCTTGCAAACTCCAAAAATGAAACCAAGCTGTGCACACTTTAGAGGACATGAGTGTCATTTAAAGAGATCTGGGTAATGAAGAGAGATGGGCTGGAATCAGTGAGATGAAATTCAATAAAGGCATCTGCAAATTATCGCACTTAAAGAGAAAAAGCCGAATGTTCTTGTGAAAGGAGGACTGGCTGACCTGGAAGTGTGCTGTGGGAAAGAGCAGGAATGAACAGTGGGGCATGAACTGACTTAGTTACAGCATCAGAGTAGTCAAGGACTGTGTGAAATATCCTGGGATGTCTTACTGGGCATGGGCTGTGAAAGACATTGGAAACAACAGTCTTCACTCCAAACATGCCAAAGATTCTTTAAGGGACAGCTTTTCCCTTTCCTTCCACCCCTGTCTGCATGATTTTATCATCACTATAACGGCAATGAGCAAGAACCAGCTGTGGAGGGGATGCACTGCACCAAGCACTCTGCAAAGACAAAATAAAGGGGAGTTCCTACTCCACTGATCTTGCAGCAACTCCAGCAAATGAGGCCGACAAAGTGCAGCAACGTGAGAGGTTGGAACACAGCTGGGGGAGCAAAATGTCTTTTGTGCTTTCTCATCACTCCTATCAAATGATTTTTTTTCTCCTTAACCACATCCTGTGACTCAAATCTCAATCTCTGCTGAGAGCAAGTTCTAGGACACACAGTTCCTTAAAAAAAGCAACAAATCAAACCCACAAGACAACCTGGAAGCCAAACTTCCTTGAGCTGCAGAGAAACCCTGCGTGGATCCATCTCTGGCAGCTCACCACTGCCAAGCTTCACACAGACTCCTCCTCGTGCTCAGAACATCCTGCAGAGTCTGCCTTTGGATGCTGTTTGATGATTTCCCTGTGTCTTCAGATGCCAGGATCACTTTGGTAAACTACACACCTGAGCAAACACTTTGAGTTCTTGACTCAGGATTTCAGTGCAATGCAGGACAAGTTCTGTATTTAAAGCAATGCCACCTCTGCAGGAACATTTGAAGCAGGCACCCTCTAGCCAGCAAGGAAGGCTTTAGGGAATATTGCTGGAAGCCAACATGTGAGCCTGAATGATGGCAGTGAAATTAGAAGCAGAAAGGCCTGGCAGACTGAGTACTAGATAAAAACAAAAGCTTTTGCTTCTGTTCTCAGAATTGAGACACAAATCTTTACTCACCAGCCAGAACTGCTGTAAAATGTGTTCAGCAGCAGCAGAAAACACTAAATTGCTTGGTAACTATGAGCTGTGTTAATTTTAGAGGCAGGAATAGATTCTTACATTGTAAAAGTCTTCACATTTTAAGTGCAACAGTGGCTGGCGCACATATTGCAAAGGCAACCCAAGAGTTATGAGAGCAGAAGGTGAGAAGGTTTCCTGAAAATTCCTGTCATGCCTTGCTGCCTCTCTTTCCTTTGATAAAAGGGCAAATAAGATTTAACTCCTCATGACCTGTCAGACATATTATCTCAAGGAAGCAATAAAATGGAAGCACACATAAAACTGAAACATTGGGCGTGTCTGGCAAAGGTGGGGAAAATCCAGGTCTCCAGGCAGTTTTCCTAACAGTCAGCCAAACAGGTTACCAACCCAAATGCAGATGGGAGGAGAGATGACACTCAGACATGGGGCCTTGAACAACACTGAATTAGGGATCAGGAAATGTGGTGGTGTTCACAGGGGTCCCTGGACGAGGGAAGAGATGAGAATCTTGACTCCATGTTTCAGAAGGCTGATTTATTATTTTATGATATATATTATATTAAAAGAAAATGATATATTAAAGCTAAACTAAAGAAAGAGAGAAAGGATTTTGTCAGAAGGCTAGAAAGGAATAGAAAGGAATGATAATAAAATCTTGTAACTGGCCAGAGAGTCAGAGACACCTGGACTGTGATTGGTCATCAAGTAGAAACAATCTACATGAAACAAATCAAAGATGCACCTGTTGCACTCCACAGCAGCAGATAATTATTGTTTACATTTCATTTCTGAGGCCTCTCAGCTTCTCAGGAGAAAAATCCCAGCAAAAGTATTCTTCAGAAAAAATGTCCATGACAAGGAAAACCCACAGCACAGAGCCCTGCAGACTGGTCCCCTCGCCACAGCCCCTCAGCTGACAGCAGCACATTCTCTTTTCTTCAGCCAGAGATTTACTTATGTGCAAGGCAAAGGAAAACCCACCAGCTGTAGCTTGCTCTGATCTCCATCCCTCCACTCCCTGGCCGGGGTTTGCTGCTCCCCCTTACCCAGAATGATCCCGTTGGGCTCCTCGGGCGGCTGCCAGACGATGCGCACGGACGTCAGCCTCACCTCGGGGAACACCATCCTCACGGGGGGCCCGGGGGCTGCAAGGCACACAGAGAGCATGGAGCAAGCACTGCACACCACAGGGAGCACAGCTGTGGCACCAAGCACTGCACAGCACAGGGACCACAGCTGTGGCACCAAGGACATTGCACACCACAGGGACCACAGCTGTGGCACCAAGGACTGCACAGCACAGGGACCACAGCTGTGGCACCAAGCACTGCACAGCACAGGAACCACAGCTGTGGCACCAAGGACTGCACACCACAGGGATCACAGCTGTGGCACCAAGCACTGCACACCACAGGGATCACAGCTTTTCTGCTCACCCCATACAGAATTAGGACCCTAGCTGTAGCTCTCCGATAGTGATTGGAAGCACCTGTGCATGTGCATAATATACTTTTATTCTACATATAAACAAACACTCTGTCCATGGATAAAGGCCTCCAACACCCTCAGACACCAAACACATTAAAGACCAGTGCACCCTACACTGTTTTTTTACTGCACAGTGAACTCTGAGCCCTACAGGGTTTTTCTCACTGCAGCATCACCACTGGTGTAACTGAGAACACACTATGAAGCAAGACACCAAGCTGCCTTTACAGAGAGTTATATAGCTGAATCCACTTCATACCTGCTGGAATTCAGTAATATCCCTTCCTTGTGTCATCAGCACCAGCTTTGAACTGCTTCCTGCCTTTACATTTGCATTTTAAACACTGAGGTGTGAGCAGGAGAACCTGAGGCAGGTGAGAGGCACATTAACACAAATGGCGCTGACCAGCCCAGGTTCAAGAGGTGAGGAGATGCTAATTCATACATTACCATCCATGAATTTTCCCCTTCAGCCCAAATTCCACCTGCATTACTCCTGGTGATACTTTTAATTAAGTTGAGCCCAGAGGAGACACAACATATTTATGTCAGGGGTATGGAGATGGAAGAACAATTAGTTTCATTTGCCAACATGCACTTAAGGAAGGAACTGCTATAATGGGGTTATCCAAAACAAACAGTTTTAAGTATTTCTCATTACAGTCTGATATGTACATTTCATTGAGTGCTTTTCTCTCCCTGCAGAGTTCTGCTAACAGTAACTTTTCTTATTTTTCCTTTCAAAGAAAAGCCAGGTCCACACACAGAGGGTATGCTGAGAAAAAGGCTAAAAAAATGTCAGGGAGTTGTTGTCCCTGTTCCTGACCCCACATGCTCCCACTCCTTCCTCCCCTGCACTGCATGGGAAATGTTTTGTTAAGCCAGAAGTCTGAATGTGTTTTCAGCCCAACCAAATTATCTTAATGAATTTACTTGTGCAAACCAATGTTTACTCCATTACTATTTTGAAAAGATTTTGATGAGAAAGAGAGAGACTTCAGAAGCCTCTCACACTGATCTCAACCTATTTATTCCTGAAAAGGTGATGAAAGTAAAAGCAGTTTTAGCATCTGCAAAGCCCAAAAATATTTCAATAATTGAGCCAAATTTCTGTACAATTCCATCAGCAGGAATACTTCCAGCAAAGCAGTGTGCTCAGGGAGTGCTTGCTTGGGTTCCTTCAGGAACTCCCTGGAAGTGCTGGAGGCAGCTGCAAAAGGAACCTGGAAGGATCACTTTCCAAGGTCAATGCCATATTCTTTTGGGGTTAAAAAACCAAAGGAGAGTGGATTACTTAAGTTGCAAATTCCACCTCCTTCCTTCAGTCCAGTCACAACCAGATTTGTTTATTGCTTTCAATTGCAGCACTTTTTTTTTTTCCCCTAGCATGATTGAACTTCAATAGGAATTTATAATTGGTCTCTAAAATTGTCTTCAATAGAAATTACCTCCACCAAGCTACAGAGTTCAATATTAGAACTTTTCTTCCTCTTCATTAGCTGCAGGGAAGGAGGGAAATAGGGGACACTGGTTTTCTGTGCTTTTGCCAGATTCTCAGCCCATGACCAATGGGATACTGCTGAGTTATATGCCAGGTTCAGCCAATGTCCTTTGGGTTCCAAGCTGAAAAAAACATTCCCAAAAATCCAAATATTTGTTGCCTACACTTGCACCACTAGAAGAAATCTGCATTATAAGGTTGGATCAAATAAGATGGTTATTTTAAACCTTTAAACTCACCATCATCCTTGGTTCTCTCAGTCACTGCTGGGGAGCTGGGGACCCCATCCCCAATGCGGGTGAATGCCAGCACCTGGAGCTCGTAGAGGACAAACTTCCTCAGGCCTGAGAGCAGCACTGACTGCGTGTGGTTCCCCCTCACTGTTTGGCTCTTGGGCTCTGCGTCCAAATCCCTTGCTTTGTAAAGGATCTGCAGGATAAACGTGGATAAGACACAGAAGTTGCATGAGGAGTGGAGAGAGGGAGATTCCTCCTTGTCACCCACTATAAAATGAGACAACATTCATCAACCACCCCTTTCAAAGCCAGCACACTTCCTGTATCTTCTCCAGCTGACTTTGAACAATAAGACTATCCAGCAGGTGAATAATACATAACAAATACAAAATCATGTCCTGGTAATGCACTGAAAATCAGATGAGCGTGAAACTCCAGTTGCATACCTTGTAGCCCAGGATGAGACCGTTCTGCTCAGACTCAGGAACTGCTGCCCAGGTCAGCAGGATCTGGGTTGAGCTCACAGCTTCAGCAGAGACATTCTCAGGAGGAGCAGAGGGAACTGGAACCACACAACATCACCAAAGAGCAGAAATAGGTCAGACATAGCAGAAAATTTTTTGCCATCTCCCTACCAGCCCAGGAATCTTCCAGGATCCCATAGAAGAGTATTCAGACCCAAAAGAGCTGGAATATGTTTTAGACAATCCCTTCTCTTCTTGTATTCATTCTACATCATCTTTATATTTCAGCCTGTCTCACAATTTCTTGCCAGTTCATCTCAGAAATGACAATGTTTGTAAAGAGCTAAATGTTTAATACTTATCAGTGTCTACAGACAGACAGTAAATATTGACAGCTATGAATAAATTTCAAATTCTATATATCTGCAGTAATTAGAACCAAGTTTAAATTCCTGGACTTCTCCAGAAGCCTATCCCCCAGTACTTCTTTACCATACCTTTTATTCTCTATGCCAAAACCCAGAACTCTCTCTGAATGTGAGTTTATCTTATAGCATGATCTGTTCTAACAAGAAGTTTTATGCCCCTGTGGCTTCCTATATTATCTGACAGGAAATTGTAACATCTTGTCTAGAGCTAGCAATGATTCCCCCCTGGATAGCACTGCACTTCAGTAAGAAGTTCTTTAACCTATGCAGCCTTTTGATGATGTGATAGCGCTCAACATTTGCAAGACATCAATTAGAGATGGATGCATTAACACCAGGAGTGTTGTCAGGGATTGATACGGTGTCAATGAGAGATGTCTATTTCATCTCTGTTGCTAAATTGGCTCTCATGAAACTGCAAACATCATTAGGACTGATGGCACAGGAACACTGTAATTTTCTCTGACTCCAGAGAAGAGCAAACTTGCATTTTCCCATGCCATTAAAACTCAAAGTGCTGCAGAACCACACAACTGCAGCCTTTTGTAGGCAAGCTTAATAGCATGTCACGTTATGCAAGCAGGATGTGAGGCTATTTTTAAGAGTTCACATTTTATGCTGCCCTTTTGCATTTTTTCCCCATGGCATTTCCAGCATCTGAAGGGTACAATCTTTTCTAAAGCCTGCTACACCTGTCAGACCTCCAGAGAACATTCACCAAGTTATGTTACACAAGCACTTGGGGACAGTACAGCTTGATTAGGGCCTGAATATATCACAAAAAGCAGCCCAAAGCTCTGCCAAAGGAAAGCTTTCCTGGCTGTCCGAGTGAAAGAACAGATCTGCTGCTTTGGAGGCGAGCTCCTGAAGCTCCTAGCAACATGAATGAGATAATGAGTATGACACCAGAATTAATAAAAATGGAAAAATCCCATCCCCAAAACGTGGTACCCCCACCCCTGTGCACTCAAGGTTAACGGCAGAGATGGTAATTTCTGAAACAATTTCCCTGATGCTAATTATTTGGGGCATAAGAAACAGAGCACCATCACATGACACTGCAGCAGACTGAAATCCAATTTTTTCCCCCCTCCAACACTGAAGTGTCTTTTATTTTTTTAAATCTTCTCCCAGATTTATCCCCCACAAGGATATAATTATGTTAAAGGAAAATAGATTGCCAGGAGCCATGAATGTCTTTGGATAGCTGCCATAACTTTATCTGTAGATCTTCACAAAGAGCTACTCCCATATGAATCACTCCTGGAGAGAGAAAGGGTGGAGGTGAGTCACAAGAAACCAGGATGTGTAGAGGAAAGAAGCCCTTTCCAGCCACATTTATTTCTGTTTTATCTGGTTTGAGGTCCTTCAAAAGAGAAAAAGTCACTTTATTTTACAAATATTTATTTTCCTCTTTGATCAGCAGCCAGGAACTCTCCTGAATCCATAGAAAGTAGAGAGGCTGTGCCCAGGCCAGCCTTGAGGGAATCCTGCCTTTGAGGTGAGGATGGTCACACTGCTGGTGGGGCACTGGACAGCTGACAAGGAGAGAAGGAGGTTCATTAGCTCAGACCTCTCTCAATTCCCAGTGACAGAGCAGCTGAATGCCCCCTCTCACAGGAAAGGAATCCAAGTCCAATGCCTGAATGGTAAAAATCCTTGTGCCCATTGAGCAAGCTTTAAATCTTCAGTCCTCACCTCAGTATCAAGAATTTGATTCTAATAAGAATTCAGGAACTGCAAGTGATTTTATGGATCTTATTGTTGCTAGCCTTTTATCAAGTAACAGACTCTGATCGACCTTTTAAGAATGAATTGAAAGGTAACCTTTATTTCTCTGACCCATCTCCTCTCTCAGGAAGCTGTGATTCAAAGAAATTATAGTTTGCTAAGACTAATTAGTGAGTGAGGCACATAATCCCTCTTTCCTCTGCAAGCTCCCTTCTCTAATGCTGGTTTCCTTAAACTGTTGCACTGAAGACTTTGTTATAAGCTCCAAAAAGCTGAGTTCTCATTAGTAACCTGCAAGAACAGCACAGAAGCCAAGCAACAGTGTCCAAAAAAATCCCAGAGCATGAACAAAATGAACCGGAAACACTGAAACTAAACGATGAGCTAATCCAGCAAAGTGCCAGCACGCAGCACTTCACAAGATCAAACGTAGGAAATCACAGAGTTACTGGCACTTTGCACTGGAATGTCAATAACAGCTCAAGTTTTTAAGGTTATCCACTTTGGCATCTAAAATCATGCATCTTCTTTCTACATCTGACACAGCCACATCTGATGTACAGCAAATTATGTCGTTTTATGTCTCTAACTGGGCCAAAAGGAGGTTTTAATAAGCTAGTCTGTATTCTGGCTTTCTAGGAAAGCTAGAGAGTGGGATGCAGTGGTTCTCTGCATTTTTGCAGCTCATTTAAGCTGCACATCCCTCACCCTTTTTGAAAGCAAAAATTAAAGTGGCACATTGTACATCTGACGTTGGCTAAGAAGTGCAAATTTCCAGCAAGGTTCACAGCAAAAGTAGCAGAGCTGCAGCACACATAAAATTAGGTACTGCAGGCCAAATCCTCAGCTTGTACAAATTCCCACAGTGACACTGGACCACATTTGAATTATCAAGAAATGCTCCATCACAGCACAGTAACTGCTCTGTGAAGGTCAGACTCCCAAGCACTGGGAGATTGATCCTTGCCATGGATGTGTGACCATGCTCCTACAGCAGCTCATCCTGTAAGACAAGTGTACACATTCATGTAGCTGAATATTAAGAGCACAAAATCCATTAAGGCACTGGGTTAGGTGTATCTGAGATGAATTTTTTTGAAAGCAACAGGGTCTGTATCTAAGAGGAAGCAGCCCTGCCAAGGTTGTTCTAATACATCAGATGCCTCTGCAATTTCTTGCTTTCTCTATATTGGACCTACTGTCGTTGTCAATTTATTGAGTGGAAACTGAGCTTGTTACTCTGCAGTTATTTTACACCGTAAAATTTAATGAGCTATTTAATTTCTAACATTACAAAAACATTTTGGATTGATAGAACCTGTCCTGTTTAAAAATCCTAATTCATCTCCCTCCACCTTCAGCTGCCTGCAGTCCTATCCCACATTTTCATTTTAGGAATTCTCAACTGTTTTTCAACCCAGTGTTACCAAAACCTACAGCATTATTTATTCCCTCATAGTTTCTTTGGTTTTCATTTGTTTTATATATTCAAGAGCTTCAGAAACCAGTGAGCACTTGTAATGACATGCCCCACTATTGTTGTTGGCATTTGTGCTCAGCTATCAGTGCTGTGATTGCACAAGCTAAAGCAAACAAATGCTCGAACAGAGCTTTATTTTCAATAAAGATTTTGGGCTCCAGTGATTGCACTGCCATCAGATACCATGACCTGGTTTAGTGCCTGGGCTCTACTCCTTATCTCCTTGGATTGCACAAAACATGGAACCAGGAGTTGTGCCAATGAAGCACCACATGATCCCGGCCAAGACACCTCTGGCCAGCTGTGTGGGATGTTTACAACCCACAGCACCAGCAAACCAACTTTCCCTAAGACTCTGTGTCTAGAAAACGGAAAAAGAAATATTTTGAAGTGCTTGGAGAACATAAGCGATAAATGGAATTTTTCTTATAGTTCCAAAGACAGACCTAAAAGTGCTTTGACCTTTCTCTCCGGCTTTAAATATCTTTTATTTGCATTTTAACCCCATTTGACTGTGCATACAGGTTAATTCCAGATTCCCTGAAGTGCTTTCATACAGTTTGCTGCTAAGCCAGCATATCTTGTATATTCTAAATCTAGGAAGATACAGCCAAAAAGTCTGAGCCCTGACTTGCTCTATGCAAGAAATCAGATGTCAGTATCAAAGCAAACACATGGAGAAAACCAAACGAGTCCTTACGGCCCAGATCACAGCTTTGTGTTATTTTGATCCCAGGTTCTGTGTGCCTCCCACAATCAGTTTCAAGTCAACCTTCTCTTAATACTCCCAGAGAAAATGCCAGATCCACGCGTAACCTCTGATCTTTAGATGCTGAGCAAGAGCGCTGCAATCCTAAGGTTTTATGAAATGACTTAATCTTAGTATTTACTACATTTCAAAAGAAGTGTTTGAAGAGCAGCGGAGAGGCGAAAGTGGAGGATGTGATATCTTTTTATTACGATACAGAACTGCTTTGTCTGGGTCGTGCTATCTCTAACTCCAGCACAAGCCTTCTTTAAAATACCTCTGGCAATCGCTTTGCAATTACTCCTTCCCAAAGAGCAACACTTCAATGGAGGGGGATGACTTTGTTTAGCTTTCTCCCTGGCTAGTTCAAAGCAGAGTTATCTGAACCAGCAGACCAAACCCTGCTGTGCCTGGTCTCGCTTCCCACCAAGGGAACACTGCGTGGTACACAGGGCACAGACATGCACACATCAGGCATGCACAGGATTAAATTCCAAAACTTCTTTAATGAAGAAAAATTGCAAAAACAACCAGGGAAAAAAATCAGCATTGAACCTTGCACAAAGAAGTCTCATAAATAGATTTATTATTAAACTATTCAACTGCATGTCATCCATTTTGTTGCTAACTTGCAACATAACTTTTCCTTTTCCATGTGCTTGTAGGGTAGGTCTGGAAATAAGTTTTGGGGAAGTCAACAGCTAGAGAGCAGCTTTTCAGTATCTGCCTTCACTGCTCTCCTGAGCTAACAGCAATTTACTGTTGCTTGAGAGTGACAGCTTCCTTCTGATATTTGAAGTCTCTGTGCTTGCCTGGACAATTCAGCTCAACAATACAGCCCTGCTGCTCCAGGTATGTGAGCAGGTTATGTCTACACAGCCTTGTACACACAATTTTGGAAGGCAGGTTTGAAAATGTGCCATCAGAAGCTCAGGTAATTATTTTATTTCTCTCTGGGTAATCAGCTCTCTAACGTGACTTGTGCCCTTTTAGAATTATTTGGTGCTTGAAATGAAATTTCAGGTAACCACAGCTGTGAGAAAATGTGCCTCAGGCTAGAAGCAGCTGGGGAAAAGGGGAGGATTAGGGAAAATAGGGTACTGGGGAGGAAGAGGAGGCATGAGAGAGAATCTCAGACAGAAAAGTCTATATATAAGCTTCTCCTTGTGCTGTCCACACTGGAGCAGAAATAGGGAGAGGTAGTTCTGCTCGCTTTAAATAAAAAAACCTGAAGGTTTGTGCATGAAAGCAAGGTAGGAATAAAAAAAAAGAAAGAAATAACCCTTCAAATATCTGTATGTCTTTTTGCCTGCAGCGCATCTCAAGATGTTTTTTTTTTAATTTAATTTCAGATTTCATGGCTCAGCAAGCAGAAAACCCCACCCAACATTGAAACACCAAACTGAAAAATTAAAATCTGAAGAAAAGTGCAGAAAGTGGTGAATTTCCTGTGCTTGGACTCACCCGACTCCCGCGTGCGGCCTCTGACGGCCTCGCTCCAGGGCCCGGCGCCGATGGCGTTGAAGGCCTGGACCTGCAGCTCGTACTCCGTCCACTCCTGCAGCTCCTCCAGCGTGCACTCCCGCGCCAGGCGGTCGGGCAGCACCTTCAGCAGCGCTGGGGCGGGCAGGTCCACGCGCCACGCCCGGATCCTGTAGCCCACCGACTCGGGGTTCCCGTTGTACTGCGTGTCGGGGAGTGGCTGCCCAGGGACAGGACACACAACAGCCCCGTCAGGCACACGGCCTGAGCTGGGAACCGACCCCAGCTGCTCCTCAGGAGAGGCACAAGGGGGATCGGTAAAATAATAGACAACAAAAAACCCCAGGACCCAACGGTGATAAAACAGCTGCATTAGCACTTTCTTAATGAGTGCCACCATGAAAAATCTCAATGGAGTGCCACAATTGTCCATGGTTTTGTCTCTAGGTTAAGGGACATAGATGAGAAACAAAGAGCATGATTATTGTTCTTCATGAAATAGTTCGGCTTGGGAACTGCTTGCCACAAGGTTCTGTTTCTGAACCCAAGGCCATAGCAAGGCAAAAATGATCAAGAGGTTGATTTTCTGGTTTATGCTTCATGATCTCTATGTTTCTGTGTTGCTTGGAATTTTTCTTTTGATTTTTTTACCTTAATTTTGAGCCAAGTAGGTTTGCTCACAAAACCAAGCCCTTTGCTGTGGGTGTATCAACAGAGATGATATGAATACAATATATTTCAGAGCTTTGTGATTAATTATGGAAATGAATGATAAATTGCTGAAGCATGTGACAAATTCATTTATCGTACATTTTTTGCCTTTTTTTTACTGCCTCTCTGCCTACTCATTTATCAGTAGAGATTCATTCTAGTATTCTAACTCCCCAAGCAATTTCAGAGATTAAAATATGAAATAATTAGCCTACTTCATGAAGTTTGGAGTTTTTCTGCTGTAAAACTAACTACACGATGCCACGGATGGCTGAGATTCAGTTCTGATTCACTGGGAAAGCTGGATACACATTAACATTTCACAGCTTAGAAGACTCTACCCTGCAGGTATGCAGGGCTAGAAGCGTGACCCTCACTCTGCAGGAAGGGAGGAATCCCCAGCTCCCAGGGGAAAACAGATTCACCTGCAGGTCTTGAAATAAAAGACATTAAACACTTTCAAATATTGATGTTGTTAAGCATGAAAAGCGTTTATCAGGTCATTTTTAGCTGTGGCTCTTGCTTCTCCTGAACCCTGCAGTTTGACTCATGGAAAACAGGCTTTCAGGCAGCACAATCAATGTTTTAAAGACTCTTAAAACAACCTGGAATTAATTTTGATGGAAGATATGTAGGCCTGGATACAGTACCAACGTGGGCATGATAGTCACACAGAAAAGCCATGACAGAGTTGTGTGGGGCCTCTCAAAGGGACTGCAATGGCTCTTCTGTGCTAGTGAGGTGACACCTTCAAGCTTCAGGTTTTGGTCTGGCAAGGTTCAGCATTAAGTGCAGTGTCCTGTTGAGAAACTCAAATTATTCCTTTCCAACAGGAGAAAAACCCTCTTGTTCCCAGACTGATTTTGACTTGCAGCCATAATGAGTTTATGCATGGAAAAGCTAACATTTGGGCGAAAGGAAACCTGTGCTTCATCAACTTCACACCACAGTAACCCCAGTGGAAAACTCTGCCTAACAGGGGTGAAGAAAAACCATTTTGGAGCAGGTTAATTGCCAAGTAAATCCCAACGTGGCAACTCTGCAGGTAACTGAGATGGGTAAAGGGGCACAGCGATGTCAGCAATTGCCGCATCTTCGCAATTAATCATTTATCTCTGCATTTTAGCGCATAATTCCACACCGATTCAGCTAAATCTAATCTTCCCACAGGGGTGCCAGCCTCGCTGCTGCTGCACCACAGCTCTGAGAACCACAGGATGCTGCCCATGGCTGGGGTGCACCTTCTGGGGACCGTTTTGTACAGAGCAAACAAGCGAGCCCTGGAAAGCAGCAAATTGGCTCGAGTGTCCCGTCCCTGCCCTACGTGTTGACCCAGACTGTGGTCCTGGAGCTCCTCAAAGCCAAGCTTTTACACACAGCCCCATTCCCCTGATGAAGTGGCAGAAACAGTGGCAGTAGGCAATTTATTTGATTAATAAGGCACTTAAGGCAAGGCTCAGATTTCCGACTAGTCTGGAAAAGGAAACAATTTGGCTGTTGCTCCTCTGCGCTGAGCGCGATGAGGAGGAGGAGGAGGAGGCGCTTTGAGGAGGGATGCCCTGGCCCTGGGGGAGCATCCCCATCTCCATCCCCATCCCCACCTCCCTCGAGCTGCTCACCACCCATCGCAGCCACAGGCTGGTCTCGCTGGCCGTGCGCACGGTGACGCTGCCGGGGGCCACGTCCGGCGGCGCCTGCAGGGTCTGGATGACCCTCGAGGGTTGGCTCAGGGGGCTGGGGCCCACCACGTTCACCTGCCGCATCCGGAACCTGCAGCAAGGGGGGAGAAAAGCAGTGAGTGCCACTGTCAGGGCTCAGGGAATGCTCCCCTGCTTCTCCAGGGAGGGAGGACGGGTGGAAAAATACGAATTAGCGGCTTTCAAAACGTTCTGCAAAGGTCGCCGCACGCTGGTCCCCCTTTGTATTCACTGCTGAATGCTTGATGGTAACTGCTTCCAGATCCTCTCAGGTATTTAAAAAATGAAAATGAGATTAGCTTAGGGTCTATTAGAAACTTAGGTATTTGTGTGAGAAATTTATGTTAATTATACCAAGCCTGATGAGCTTATGCTGGCAGTAAGTGATTTTCTCTGGTGATGCTTATACAATACATTCAGAAAGGTATTAAAATATCAAACTTCAGATAGTCTCATTCCCTGTCAATATAAAAAATATACTGGTGATAACATTTCCCCTCAATTACGCGTTGAAAGAGGCTGATTTATCCCTGTGCTGCATTTTCAGCCTTCCTGCACAAGAAAGATTAAGTTATTTAATATGGATATGCATCTTTAAAAAATACCCTGTCTGCTTGAAACCATCTCTTCTACAATAGAAATCCTTATTGGGTCACAAAAGATTTAGGGAAATCTTTTTTTTTTACAAGGAGCACCACATAATTAAGATGTGCTGTATATTTCAGATACTCTCACCCATCACAAGCAACTGGAAGCACCCAGCACTTGCACATAAATACGTGACCTGCTCATATTAAACTCTTAATTTTTGGACCTAATGACTGAGCTTGGGAAAAGGATGAGCCAGTGAACACAGCAGTGTTTATTTACCTGCTCTGATCTCCCTCCAAAGTGCACTGAAGGAAACACATTAAACAAATACTGTCCTGATTTCACCCTCAAACACTGGCCCAAAATATAGGAAAGAAGAATGGCCTGTAAAGAAGTGCTCTGATAATCAGCTCTCACCACGCATTTCCTCAGTGAGCAATGACTGAAGTGTTCAGGGGACAACAAATCCATTTGGCAACAGCTTTCTAGGTTTCAAAAATGTGTATAAAATTGGTCAAGACTGAAGCAAAACCAAAAAAGTTCCTATCTTTGCATGCAGGAGAGACAAAAAATAGGCAAAATTCAAGGAGCTGCCTTGAAATGAGAAGTCAAAGGGAAGTGGATGTGTGAAAGATTCCAGCATAAGTGGGACCATTCTAGAATTTAATGAATACAAGAGGAAAATGAGGAGATGTAAGAATAAAATAAATCAAAAAGTTTAACAATTGGGAAAAAACAATCAGCCCAGATTTCTCATATTCCTCATTATTTGCTATCCCAAAAATGTTTCTCCATGCACGTATCTGGGTGTGCAAGTTTTCCTTATTCTTCATGGACAGTGAAGGTTGAACTGTGGCACAACCAACACTTACTTGCTCATCCCTGCCTTTTCAGCTTTAGGATCTGTCTTTATGAGGAGAGCAAAATCCTCTTAACCCGAAGATAATTTTCCTAAACCTCTGCACCAGAAATCTCTACTTAAGTTCAAAAAAATTTTCGAAGACCTTTTAGTAAAACGTTTAGCTCTGGAAGATGAGGCTTAAAACACTTCAGTGGAGAGTTAGTGAGAAATTCAATATGTTCCTAGGCTTGTGACCAAGGGAGGAAAACTACATGCCAGCACTGAGTCAGTTGTAAATTACATGAGCTCTCCTTGGTTGCACCTACTCCTGGCTTACAACAGCACGTGGGTTAGTTAATAGCCCCTTCAGCCAGCACAAAATGGACAAGTTTCTAGAGTACTGATTTAACACTTGCCACTGGATTTCCTTTCCACCAGCCTCTACGTTAGCAAGCTGGATCATGAAAGTATTTTTCATTAGGGTTGAGTACCTCAAATTCTCCAGTCTTGTCTATACCACAGCATCACTTGGATTGGATTGATTTAAAAATCAATCTCGTTTAACTGGGGTGCACCCACAATGCAGAGTCACCTCAATCAGTTTAGGCATTACTTATATCTATTAAGCTTAACTTGGTAAATTCCTATAAACAAAGGTTTCATCTAACTGATGTTACCAAATTAAGTTAAATCAATAAAGAGATGCTTAAGCTGATGCAAATATGTAATTACAGGTTTGCACCAGTTTAACCACGATTGATTTGTCACTGGCTGATGTTCCACTGGTGCTCTCTTCAGGGAAGGAAGTCACAGGATAGCAGCTACTTTAAAAGCATCTCACTGAGCACTTGAATTTCCTTCTCAACTGGATTTTATGTGATTTACAATTAACAATATCAGATTGGTAATTTTAAGTATAACCTATGAACACAGCACAGCTTTTCCCTTTTGTTCAGATTATAAAGCTCAGCCAGATGTTTCTGAATAGAAAAGCTGCTTCATGCTGCTATTTACTCTTTTTCTTTTCCATGTTGCAGAGAATTACCTGCTGTTCTTACCTGTAATGAGTGTAGGGAGTGAGGTTTGGTACCTCCAGCATCTGAGCATCAGGTTCATTCTCCACCTCATGAAGAGTCACCCATTCTTCTTCATCACCCAGCACACCAACCTGTACAAGGGAGAGGTTAGAAAGAATACAAAGTAGGTTATATATATATCTGAATATATATATAAATGAATACATATAACCTCTTTCACAATGTGTGTCGTCATAGCAGTGGAAGCACAAATGCTTTTAAACACATTTTCCAGTTAATACTAATTTTTATATGACTAGTTATTTGTAAAGAGAAAAACCCAGCCAAGTTAGCAGAATTTCCTTGTACCTGATGGGACTTCACTGGATCCTGTGATAAGATCCATTGCAGAAAAAACACCATGAGAGCAATAATACCCTGTTCAATCTTCCTGCCACAATACAAAAGTATCAAGTAGTAATATAAGAGAATGAAAAATAGCCTTGATAATAACTCGCAGGAACTGATGCATACTAAGTAAGTCTCAATGGAGGCAAAATGCCATGGAAATGAAGACAGAGAAACAAGAACAAAGTCAAAGAACAAAAGTGTTTTAACCTCATCTGCTGCTCTGCACTTAGACCAGACTTTTCCATGAGCAGCCCTTTGTAGTAATTAATCACAACATGTTGCCCAACATGGGCCCTCAGCCACAGCAGAGTTAGAAGGGACTAAACACTGATGAGAATTGAGCATTGCTTTCTATGCAGCTTTCTGGAGATTAAACGAAGATGAATCAGGACTTAAAAGGAAACCAACAGGGAATGAGAGAGGCCAGAGCCTGGCCTGGAAGATGCAGCACACGTGGGCAGGGCTGTGCCTGTGCCATGGGAGGAGTGTGGAGAGGGGGAGAAGAGAAGGGCTGGATGGCTCAGCATCACTTTGGAGATTTGCAGGTGCTGAAACCCAGGGGAGCTCAGGCAAGGCCCCTGGAATAATCCCCCAGCACTGAGCATGTTCCTCTGGTATTCCAACCCCACAAAGGGTGGGTGCAGCCCAATTCCCTCACCCTGGTACCCACAGTCAGGGCTGAAGGGTGCAGAGGGCACCTGGGCAGCTCTTCCTTCAGAGTCTATTCACAGATTTAACATCCACAAAGGCATCTTATCCCTTTTTAACCTACTGACACCATCTATTCCCACAGGCTGCTGTGGCAACAATTCTAGAAGCTCACAACCCACTGTGTAAAGAGCCATTTCCTTTAATCTTTTTTAAACAGATCCCTTGCAAGTTCTGTGTGTGAGTTACAGCCACAGACACTGTCAAACACTCGACAGGCACCACAGCCCCAAGTATCTCACATACCCTGAGTACTTCAAATAGAAAATTAGGTTTCATTCACTCTTTTCTTTTTTTTTTCTCCTCTTCAGAAGAAGCAACCTGATTTATTTATAGATGTTTTAGTTCTTCACTCACCCAGGACTTGATGTGCTGCATATTTATGTTTGTGCATGAAGAAATGACACAAAGAAAATTAGGCCAGAGAAGTAAGTTCTGCATTGCACTGTGGAAAGAAGCCTCTCTAATCTTCCCAGCAGAACACTGATCCCATGGAGGATGTGGCTGGATAGGTCTTGATGGGCCTTCCAGACTTGTTGGGGGATCAAGGTCACTGCCATAGACTAAACAACATATAAAATAGATGGTAGTGAAAATTTTGTATCTTTAAAAATTCCCAGTCCTAACTAAGCTCCATAAATTGTAGTGAAGCCCATGGATGAGGAATCTGAAGGAAACAAGTTGAGATGGGTCTGCATGGTAAAACATAACATCCCTAAACTGAACCTGCAGAACAAAGAATTGAGAAAGAGATTTAAAAGAAAAAAAAAAAAGCCCTATGCAAACAAAGAAAGAATGAGAGTGTTGATTTCAGTCAAGGAAACAGAGAACACTTTTTATTAAATGAATTGTCTATTAATACTGTAGGAAGTCTATAGTAAATGCTTATTTTTGCAAATTTTGCACGTAACGGCATCACCTCCAAGTGCTGCAGTAATTGTATAGCAACAATCCACAGTGCTCTGGAGGCTGCAAATAATCTCCAGTGGTGACTAAGTTGTCTTTTTTGTATTCTAAGAGCAGTAAGAGCTTTTTAAAATATTTCTTACCTAACAAAATAATGAGAGAGAAAAAAAAAGGGCCCACAGGTTGCAATTGCTGTGCAGAGCAGGCAGGTCATTAATACACATTAAGGGCCACAAGGCCCAGCAGGGCTGACATTGTCTCAGTGAGACATTTTCTGGTGGGCTGCAAAGGTGGAAATTAAGGATCTTGTACTAGGTCCGTGTTGCTTGGAAGAAGTTCCATTTATTTATTTAATACATATATGTATGTATTCTCAGAAGTGAGCCTAAAAAGAGAACCTTCAGTGATGGACTTTATATTTTTAACTTCCCCAAAATCTATAGCAGATTCCAAGTTTCAGGCTGTGGAAGGAAAAGGAAACTATTTTTGCTGAAACACTCTGATGTCAGATCAGAGGAAACTTATCAGTTTCAAGAATCAGAGTACAAAGGGATTCCCACGGGGCAGAGAGAACCACGGGCACTGGTTGGGATAAAAGAGTCCTTTGAGGGGCAGGAGAGCCCACTCTGAGCCGCTCTGCAGAACATCAAGTGAAGTTAAAGGCTTTTCTTTCTTGTAGCTGTTTTTTTGGATAACAGTGTATGCACACTTCAGAGCAGGATGGTGTTTGTTGACAGATCACACACGCTCGTGGGTGCTTTGTTTTGGGAGGCAGATGAGGCACCAGCTGCTTTTCTGTTACCATCAGCAGAAAAACTCCTCGAGGAACAAACTCTGCACCTTCCCTGTGCCACGGGCCCACAGCCCCCAGGGACCCCAGCTCTGCCACAACAAACACACCTCTGTCCCCTGAGACACTTCACAAATGCTCAATAACCATCAGCCATCACTGCTCAGCACATATTCACTGCCATCCCTCAGCTGCTCCCAAGGCAATACCTCCAATAAAAGGCCATATTCCTTCATTATTGCAGAAATGAGACAGTGTAAAACAATATTGGGAGTGATGTCAGAGCCTTTTGCTTCTCCATGGATTAGTTTCTCCACTTCTTAAAAAGAAAACATTACATATTTTATAAAATGACTCAACATATTCTGATGGAATGCACTGCACGAGCAAAGTTGCAGAATTCTGACTTTAAAAAGAAAACCCAAAACATTCAAATTTGGCATGAAAAAATCATGTACATAAGACAGAAACGCCTCCAAAACTCCAGTTATGAAGTACTAACTGCAGGAAAGGCAAACACAATGTTCTTGTACATTACAGAGGTAGCCCTTGTCCTGCTATAGTTCAGGATGTGACAGAGTTTTCGTTTTAGAGCTCCATAACTCACACATTTGAAATCGCTCTGGGAGAAATTCGGTTCAGGCGATGTCAGCCCCGGTGCAATTTTTTTTCTTACTAAATCCTTACATCGATTCAGCCATTTTTGATTTAGAGATTGTCAAGGGCATAAAACTGTCAGAGTTTCAGACACTTTATTTACCAGCTCTGAAGTGAAAACGACACCCAGAGAATCACCTGGTGCAAAGGATGAATCCTATCTGGGTCACTGGCTTCACCCACAAAACCACACAAATTTGAGGCTAAAGTTGCAACTTCTTTCCCAACTCACAGCTTTAGAAGGCAACACAGAGATAATACTTTAAAGGTTTTACCACTTTGAAACTCTGCTCCTGCTCACCATGACATTCATACAAAAACCTTTCTAAAAACAGCAGAAAGGCTTTAAGCAAAAACTCTCTATAATAGTCCATACCCTCCTGGCTCCAGGAAATGTGATGCCTCTTCAGAAACAGCTTTCAGCCATTCTGCAGGTCTTGTGCTGCCTGCAAATAATGTTAATCACCAGAAAAACACACCTGACTGGGCAGAAGCTACCCCAGATTCTGTAATCAGCTCGATGGCGTGGACTGAGCACCCACCAAGGCACAGCCAGGGCGGGTTGAAAATGGGTCACCCTCAAGGTCCCTTCCAACCCAAACCATTCCATGATCAATTTAGACACATTTTTACTGAAAAAAAAACCCCGGGAAAAAATCCAACAAAAGAAAAAACTGGGCTGCAACTGCCAGAGAGCACAAACATGAAACTACATGAACAACAGCAGGGATTTGTAGTCATTCTTGGCTGAAAATTGCAAAAAAAAAGAAGTCAGGAATATATGCTTGAACTGCATCTGAGAGAACAGGATGGCTGGAAGGATTTCTTGAAATTTTTTGTAGGGGAACAAGTTATCTGTGAGTGTCAATGCCACAAAGCAGTGAGACTGCTGGTCCCTCTGAACAAGTGTCAGTAGAACCTTTATACTGCATTTGAGCCTCATCCCTTTAATTTATACTCTATGTAATATTAAAAAAATGTTAGAAGTATTTTTTAAACAGCATTGGTATATTTTTATATTTCTCTGTTTGGAAATCCAGTTTCTTCCAGTCCTGAGTCTAGATAAAATGATGGAAAAGAAACAATCTAGTGATTTTTAAAAAATCCCTTCAAAAGTACAGAATGTACCTTCACTAGAAACACAGAAATGGGATTTTTAACGCTTGATATTTCAGTATCTACCAACACTAAACTCTTAAAGACTTGATCTCCTCTCATGCTCATTGACATAATTGAGAATTAGTTCCACAGTGGCTCCCATGAATTTACACCCAGGAACAAAAAAGCAGAAACCAAGGCCAGATGCACAAAAATTTCACGTCAGCTGGAATTCCCAGCTGTGTTTCTCATCCAAATTGTTCATGAAGTATCAGACTTCAAAAATGGCTCTCAGCCAAACTGGAGCACTTGGAACATTTTCTAGACCTGCCCTCACCAAGGAAGCTTTCTGCCAAATAAAGGAACAAAGAAGAAAAACACGTTGGCGGCAGGTTGGTTGTGATTGTGAATACAAAGCAGCTGAATTTTGTCTGTAAGGATTCAGATGTTGAGAGAGAAAGGTAAATTCCCAGTAGAGATGGAAGAGAAGAGTCAGAATTATCAGGGATGTCCAAAGCAAAGGTGTTGCCCAGCTTACAGAGGGGGAGGGATGCAGATGAAGAGCCCAAATCACTGATTATGTTTTATAGCTGAATGTCACCCTGTCCCTTGGCAATACCATCAGCTTTAAAATCAGAGTGTGCAAAACCACCCCTTAAGTGGCTTTTAATTTAATGCCAAGGCATGAAACACTTAACACTGCTATTAAAAGCTGTACATGGGTCAATGAATGAAAGATCCAGAAGGACAAAACCCCTCCCTCCATTCCAGTATTGTACAGCCACAGCCCTCCAATCCCACACAGTCCTAAGGAACAATTATGGTTGTCCATGCCAAAATATGTTGCAACACCAGCCTGCACCCCAGCATGGACAAATCCCAGCTGAGAACAGATCACATCAAAGGCAGAAATGGACACTGGGATGGCACTGGCACCACAAAACAATTTTGCAAAAGCTCTTTGAAAGGTGGGCAGATCCAAGGCAGTTTAGATCCAAGTGGGGACAGAGGCATTCCTGCCCTAATCTCTGCTCCCAGGGCCATGTTCACACCCCCTCCCCTCACAAGGATGTTCTGATCACACACAGCCTGTGCACAGTTGATCTGTCTGAAAATCATTTGTTCCTGGCTGGATCAAAGCTCGCAGCAGCTCCAGGTCTGATCCTGTGTCAGCACAGACAGAAGGCAGGAGGAGGAAAAGTCTTGGTAGGTGGGATGGGGAGAGGGAACAGGAGCAGGACAACCAGAGCTCTGCTTTAGATTGGCTAAAAGTGCTGTGAAATTGCACTTTCAGAGAGAAAGAGTTTGAGAGGAGTGCTGGCAGAAAGGGGCTGTGAACAAAGGATTATATGCAGCTGTCATCCTGGAAACAGGATTTCCTGTATCCTGAGGACTCACCAATTTTACTGCATACCTGAACTGATTTTCATTAATCAGGTGAGCAAGAGTTTTTATTTTTTCCTGAAATCCACTAGGAGCAACATTTCTTGTTGTGCTGAAGCTGAGCAGTGAGGTTGGTGTAGCAGAAACTTGCAGGGCTGCTGTGGTTTAAAAGGAATGCCCAGATTCCTCAAGGACTTGGCTGTGCTCCTTCTTCAAAAGAAACAAATAATTCCTGGATCTGTCAGATCCAAAAACCCCTGGACTTTTCTAATGATGCATGAGATGTTGGTGAGGGTTTGTGAACAAGAAAGACTCTCTCTGCACAGCAAGGACTGTTCAAACCACTGTTTGTACCCAGGGCTCTTCAAGGATGCAGATGAACTTCATGGTAATTATCACTGCAGTTTTAAAGCATTCAAATTTGCTTCACTTCAGCAGCATTCTGTAACTCACTGAATTAACAAATTCCTACCAACATCAAATGCAGTGCTCCAGCAGGAAAATGCTCCTCAGAATGTGCTAAGCCACCATATTATTGGATTTTGGTGTTTAATTCTGTAATATGCCATAATGTGTATATAAATGGCACAAAATGTACCAACTTGTTCACAACAATCTCATTACCAAGTGAAGTGATTGTATCAACATGTCTAAGTGGTGATGGTGATTTAAGAAGTCCAACACTTGGTCTTAAAAACAGATTACAGTATTTATAAAGACCTGTGGGAGGAAAGGAAGAAGCAAAGCTCATCTGTCAGGAGAACAAATGAGGAATATATAACTCCTCCAAGGCATAATGACAGCAGAAAGAGGGATATTGTTTAAAGCTGATGGAGAAGAGAATTCATCCTATTCATATCTAGAGGCCTGGATAGAAAACCTTGATATATTCCATTACAAGATAGAAAAATACACTCAATCTCATGAATAATGGTATCTTTACTGTTCAGTGCAATTCTTTCTATACTTCTGAATCTATGAGATAATAATTCCAAACTTTTGAAAAGACACCTCACAGAACCTGAACACAAGTTTCAAATCCTTTTCAAAATAGAAAGATGGGACTAAAGCTCTGCTGTGTGTGCTGTTTATGGTGTACCTGGTGCTCTTCTGAACATAAACAAAACCCCATGTGAATTATTTAAAGGATAAGCATTCTCACATACATATATACATATTATATGTTATATATCATTTTTTTTCTGTTGTTCTTCTGAACAGAAGTCCCAGCATTCATCTGACCCTTTTCTCTCTGGTTGGCACAGACATTTCTGAACTGAGCCCCTCAAACTCCCCTGCATCCCAACTTTCTCAGAACCCTCTGGACAGCAACTCCAGCATTTACAGAGGAGCTCTGCTCCAAAGTTAAACAAAAACTGAAATCCCAAGGGTAATTAATCATTTAGGCTCATTTTAACCCCCCAGAAACTTCATTATGATAATTTTGTCAGGGACATACCTGGCCCTCCACTATCCACTTGGAGATGGAGGTTTTGCCATCGTATCCCGGGCGGAATTGAAGCGTGGCAGAGCGAGGGCTGATGTTGGAAATCACCAGGTTGGTGGGAGCACCTGGAAGTTCTGGAGAAAGAGAAAAATACACGAGAGGTAGAAACACTCTTTGTCAGCCAGTAGCACAAGCTGGCATTCAGTTTCCAAAGGAAAAGGGCTCTATTTGCCCCACTTGTGATTATTTTTATTTTTGGCAGAGTTTTACCCACAGCATTACTATTTCTGCTCTGAGCATGCACCACATTGTCACAGATCAAATGAGAAAAGAAAGAGCACATCTACAGAATTACAGGGACTGTTTTAGAGAACCTTCCCAATGAACAAACCCTGGTGTTCCTGGGGGAAGGCACTTCCCAGCTCCAGGTCTGCCAGGTCACCTAATTCCACTGAACTTCTGTTTCCCCAGAATTAAATTACAATAATGTTTATTTCCTTCTTAGAGGACATACAATTACAACTGGAAAAAACTCCACATTTTGGGTAGTGTATTTAATATTGATCTATAATATCTAGGTTTTCCAGGGCATTCCTTATGCCTCATAAAGTAGATGATTTTTTTTCAACAGCAAATAAAGAGGGTGACCTCCTACGAGGAAAAATCTGAAGCCCTAATCAGATCTTTGCCTCCCATCAGTCAAGATTACAGTGGCATTTACATTTTTAATATCATCTGAATTAACAACAAAAGCAAGTTCAGGAAAGAAATTAAATATAGAGTGTTTATAATAAATTCTCAATAGTTACCTGCATTCATAACAAATGGAAATAACTATTATAATCAGTAATTATACAGTGGAAGGTGTCCCTGCCCATGGCAGGGGGTTGGAACTAAATTATCTTTCAGGTCCCTTCCAACCCAAACCATTCTGTAATTTTATGAAAATTCTGCATTCTGTGCAACTGCAAAAGGCCAAAACTGGGCAGGGTTTTGGCATATATTTCAGATATGCACAAATATCCAGTATTTCTTGGTTCTTACTTCACATTTGTGGGAACCACAATCGATCAACTAACCCTGCCCAAGTGGGATAATGCTGTTATCTGGCAGGCACCCTGCCATCAGATATCATGGCATTGATCCAGTCTGCAGCTTGTCATAATTACCTACGATTAGGGAACAGAAGGGCAAACATACTTTAGGACACACAGAAAAGTTAAATAATACTGGGGAAGGGAAAAATTGGATTCCCTCAGTGATGAGCAATAACTGCTCCACTTTGGAAAATTCTACTTGTGTAACCTCTATATTAACTGAAACTGCTTATTTGAGGTATGAATTGGCTGTTTAGTTTGCTTTTTACACTGGTTGGGGCAGAGTGTAGAATTTTAAAAAGAAAATACAAAAAGGCTAAAAGTACGGGTGCCCAAATGGTAGCTCAGACAATGTGGGACAGAACTGGCTCCTCCCAAATATTTTTTCAGGCCAAAACTTGAAATTCTTGTAAATAAGATTTTAGTTTCACTATAGAAGTGAAACACTCATAGTTGACATAAGCTATATTACTTCCACATGGAAAATCCTTTCCCTTTTAATATCACCCAAACTCTGTTTTTTGCCCCAAAGCAACACTTTGAATTGATTCAGGCTTCATTTTGATGTCACTTTGTAAATGTCAAGAGATTCTGTATTGTATCCACTTTATTACTTTGTCCATTCCATTGTCATACCCACACTTTTTTTTTTTTTTTGGTATTTGTATTAAACATCCTCAACTTCCTGGAAATTTCAAACAGCAAATATCTTCACTTTAACATTTCAGCCTATCCCAAAAATTAAATCCAAATTACGCGGCAGAGAACTCCAGCGCTTTACAAATAAAATAACTTTTATTACCGCTGAACTGAAGTAACCTGCGACCTTTGGAACACAGAAACACCAAGAACCAGCAGGTTTGGTTTTGTTTTGTTTGCTGCAGTTTGACCGACCTGGGGGCACTCCAGAGGAGATGGTGGAGGAGGTGACCCAGCCGCTGCCCTGCGCGGTGACGGCCGCCACCTCGATGGTGTAGGTGGTGAGGGAGGACAGCCCCGTGATCTTGTACTCCAGGGTGCTGTTGGACAGGCTGCGGGCCAGGCGCGACTCGTTCCTGCCATACACCTCCCAGGAGATCTGGTACCCTGCAAAACACATCACCCACAGCTCAGGGGGGCACCAAGAACCCAGAGAATTCCTGCGTGGGCTTGTGGGCAGTGGTGGATCCTTGTGCCTTAAGCCATTCCTTGTGATCACCTTTTATAAACCCTCCTTGAAGTAATCACTGGCTAAAATACCCAAGTATTTTTAAAATGTTGTTATTTCCAATGACCCACAGCTCGGGCAGGCACCGGTAACCCAGAGAATTCCTGCATGGTCTTGTGGGCAGTGGTGGATCCTTGTGCCTTAATGCCATTCCTTGTGATCACCTTCTATAAACAGAAAAAAGCCCTCCTTGAAGTAAACACTGGCTAAAACACCCAAGTATTTTTAAAATATTGTTATTTCCCATAAACAATTGATGCAGGTACCCCACAGAGCATTCTCGTCCTGTCATGAGGACATGAGGTCTCAGCTGTCTTTTTTTCCATACTTGGTATGAAATGGCCTGGAAAACTGGAAATAACCTGACAGAAAAGTGGCCTTTAATTCTGTGAACTCTACAAAGCAAACAGGACGAAACACTAGGAAATATAACATCTACTGGAATATCTAATTTAAAATCTCCATGTGCTTAGCAGGGCTTTCTCCCTTTGCATGCTGAAGTAACCTTCAGTGCTGCCTGTCTAGAAATACTTAGAAATCTGCCAATAACAAGCAGGCAGGAACATTGTGGGAATCTTCTAGGAACTGAAAAACCTCTACTCCCCACCGCTTGTTCCTTGCAGAAATCCTTCAGCAGGGTGAATCATTATCCTTTCTTTCAAAACCATCTTGGAGCCAATGCATTGTCCAGAGCTGCACCTGCCCTGACCTCCATATTATTCTTCTATCATAACCAGACTTTCCTTTTTATCTCTTTGATAACCACTTGCCTTCCAAGAACTTTTGAAACTTTCCACTGTCTGATTTGCTCAATTTTACCTCCAAATCTGCTTGTCCTCCTCCTGCCCAGTCCCACTTTATTCTCATTCGAACCCATGTGAACCTCGCTGTGCCAGTCCTTGGAGAGCATGTCTGAAAAGTTTGCTTGATTGCCGCTTTCTTTGTGATTTGACTCAGAGGGTGAAAAAAAAAATACACACAGCTCTTGAATGCCTGTGAAATTGAAGTGAGTGAAAAGGACTAACAGAAAGGAATCCCACTGAGTGAACCAGGCACAAGGCAAACTGGCTAGAGAAACTCCCTACTGGGTTCCTGTTCCCATCATCTAAGATGAGGAATTCAGACCAGTTGGAGGGCTTGAAGGTTTTTTTAATTTTTTTTTTTTAATAAAAAGACATGATAAGCTGATTAACATATATGAATCGATGTAGCAAAATTCCTCATGGTATTAACCAGCAAGAATGAATCATCTCATGAGCCAAAAGCATGGTGAGACAAATATTTCTGCACGCGTCTGAGAGGTGTGAGACGTTCTCAGTCCTCTCTTGTGAGCTGCCATCACAGACAGGGATTCATCTTGACCTGATTTTGCATGAGAATGGGCTCAGTGTGCTCACACAGTCACTAATTATGTTTCAGGTGAGGGGGCAGTGATAAAGGGAGGTGATGCTTCAACAATTCCAGCTACACCATAAATGCTCCTCTGACTTTGCACTGCAGAGGGGAAGGGGAAAAACTCCTGAATGCTCATCTGGAACTGGTTTTAAACAATTATCTGAGTGGGAATTAATTAACTCAGTAATTTACTGATCTCTTGGAAACACTGTGGTGTTTTGATGCTCTTTGAATAGGCTTAAGAATCATTTGCCAGACCAGAGCTGATGTAGCACAGACAGGATTGTAATCTGTAGGAAGATTTTGACAAAGTTTAAGGGCTCTGTTGCCTGAATTAACAGAGGGTGAGCAGAAAGGTGGAGGCTGACTGTCCCCTGTGTTTGATGCTCAGTCAGAGGCATGAAGGAGTTGCAGACAGAAGGACCATCACAAGCACCCTTTTCTTTCAATAGCTGTGGGTGCAGCCTGTTCCAGACAATAAATAACCAGAGGAAGATAAGCAGGGGACTTTTAATGCTCCCTCTATCCATTTGTTGCTTATGGACAATAGAAATTGTCACTCAGCACACACCAGGCAATCTTCAGTGATTGAGATATCTCCTTTCCCATCTGGATAAGCTTAGGTTATACATCAAATGTTGGTGATTATTCTTTGGACATTTTATCTCTTCTCCCTTGTGACCACAGAAGAGACCCAGCTTTCCCGCCCATTAAGCACATAGTCCCTATGTATTTATTTCCTGGGGAAAGAATGAAAAATTTTCACCAAGAAAAATATCCCAAGTTTCTGTGTAGATTGAAGAAAAGGCAAAGAGGCAGTATTTACTGTCAGGGATTTCAGTCCCCAATGCATAGTTAAATTCCTGTCATATAAAAGATGAGAACAGAAAATCTGTACATACACAGCGAGCAGACACAAAGCCAAACGCAATCAGGCATAACAAAAACAGATGGAAAAAAAAAAAGTGCTGAAGGAAAGGAACAACAAGCACTGCACCCCCAAGTAGCACTGCAGCCACACTGGGTGGCAGATGGGCAGAACTCTGGGCCATGTGGCTGGTGAGAACACACTCCCTGTGTTACAGATGTGAGCCGTGCCTGGGAGCACAGCTGCATTTTCCAGAGGGATTCCCCTGGCTCCGCTGTGAGAGAGGGCAGGAAGGTGCCACAGATCCTTTCCCCACACTCTGGCACTCCACAAAACACTGCCTAACGGGAACTAATGACCAGAGGAGTTTCAGAAATAATTTTCTGTTGATGTGGAGTAAATTCTCTACACGAGAGCACTACACCCAATCACAAACTGTCCTTCCACATCCAGATCCTCATAAATCAACGTTTGCTGAGGGAACGAGGAAGATACTGAGATTTACAGCAAGAGTAATGGGCAATTTCCCAGAGCAGGTTGGCTGCTGGGCACCCCCTCTGTGCTTCCCTCCTCCCAGGGCCCCTGCAGGGAACAAGAAGGTCCAGTAAAGACATCAATGAGCAGAAATGATGAATAATTGCCTCCCTGAGCACTCAGATCTCCAAGCAGCCCTCTCTAAACCTTTGAGGTGCTCAGGGCATGAACAATTTTGCTGTTCTTCTATCCCAAATGCAATTTGCATCATTAAGGAGGTTTCTTTTTTCCTTATAGACTCTGCTGGGCATTTTCACAGTGGTGTTTTGTCATGAATGTCTTCAGGTGATTCCTTCTGAAACAATTTACCCCAAATACAACCCAGTCCATCATTTGGCTCCATCTGGTTTCAGTCCGTTCTGGGAAGTGACAGCTTGTTTTTAGCAAAGTAATTCTGCAGAGCTGCTACCTGCTGCTTAACAAGGAGCAGTATTACATCATCCTGGGTGGAGGTACCTAAATTTAAGCATTTGGGCTGGCAAGGCTTTGGCCATCCTCACTGAATCAATACTGCTCTGCTTTCAGGAGTCATTAGGTTCTATCCTCAAACCACTTAAATCAGTGCATATTTCAGGCAGGTTTCCACAGTGGAGAGGCAGGGGATGGTCTGCACAAGGACTCCACAAACAGCTCAGAGCACACAGCTACAAATGAAGCACGTCATAGATACAGAGAGGAAAACCCTATCAAAATAATTACACCTGTCAAAAAAATTACACCTCCAGACAATTACACTGATATAATATTTCAGTGGTCAAGGGTCAGAAAACCTGATATTTTAAACTCCTGAAATGCATTTTAAAAAAATGGTAATGTAATTTAAAAAAATTACACATTTTAGAACTCTAAAACCAAAATATTTTGATCCACATGAAATTATTTTCTCCCTTCCCAACTACCTCCAGTAATTTAAAATCTGGGAGTTTTTTGTGCTTCAAAACCTTGAAAACCTTTGTTAAATGGAAGGTCCATCCTGTGCAGCTGCAATAGTTTCCCATCTGAAAATAATATTGCCTCTGTTGATAAGAACTAGAGGTTTTCTCAAGTATTTATACTTTCCTTTATAAAAAACAGTGAAGTTGTTGCTGTTGTATCTAGACTGGCATACAGTAAATAGATAAATAGCTTGTCAAATGGCAGACTCATCAAAGGGAAACAAGAGAGTTCTGAGCCCTTGTGATAGTTTACAACAGATTAAATAATGACATGCAAATTTTGTCACGCAGTCCACAGCCAGACCACTTGATCACAGAGGAAGGATTCTGCTGATTTCAGGCTTGGTCTTGATTGCAAACCCCAGCAATGCCAATCCAGACTTTGCAGCTGTGAGCTCTGCATAGGGACCCCCCACCCTTGGGGCAAAGGCCAAGCACGGCCTCACAAATTTCCAAAAATTCAGTAAAGCAGGTGGAGGTCACGGAGGATTTAACAAGACCAGACGCCCTGTGGGGAGCTGATTTCTAACACAAACTGCTTTTCCAGTAAGCACAATCATGAGCTGCCAGTAATTGGAACTGTACTTTGTGTAACACTCCCTGGTGACATCTCAATTACCCAGAGGAGGGGCCAGGAAACCAGCAACAGCCCAAATTCTCCCTAAATGCTCCACTACACAGTTTTGCACTGCAGAAACACATTCCAGCCCCCACACACTGAATAAAAAAAAGAATAAAAGCAGAGATAGCAGCTGATACCTGTGATGATGCCATTCTTCTCTACAGGTTCTTGCCAGCTGACCTTGAGTGAGGTGTCCAGAATCTCAGTGAAGCTCAGGTGTCCCACAGCTCCTGGCTCTGGCAAATCAGAAAAGGAAAGCTGTTAGTGGGTGAACTCCTTAACTGGGATCAGATTCACGTGCCAGGGTTAGGGATGGAGAAATACGGCCCTGAGCCAGGGCTAAGGGAGGCTGGAAAGCTCAGTGAGAGGAGAACGCAAGGTGGGAAGAAACACTCTGGCTATCATTTTGTCAATTATTTCACCCAGTCACCATCCCAAGTGTGTGGAGATCTAACAGCATTGCTGTTTTCCCTCAAGGATACCTGTGAGGTGTTTGCCTGCCCTGTTTTGTGCAGCAACACCACCAGCAATCCCCTCACCTGGGAAAGAGCCTTTTCTCTATGCAAGGTCACAGCAAGGACAGAGTCACGAGTCACTGCTTGGATAAATTCCCTCAAAACAACTCTAAAAATGTCCAACATAATGGCAACTGTCTTCTGTAAAATGAATACAAGTGTGTGAAACTTTTTAAAGGGTTTTTATGATGTAGCTCAAGAGCTCTTAAAAATTTCAGCTCCCTAGTGTGCAATGAAAGAGCATAAAATGGAATGACTGTCAAGAATATGCCATCCTCCCTCAATTTTGATCTTCAGGGGAGACAACCTGACTGATTTTTGATCCAAATACTGTTCTGTCCTCAATCGATGCACTGGAAAAAGGAGGTTTTGTTCACTTTATATTCACTGTGCTTCTGTCATTGGATGCCTGCCCGAGCATCCTCCAGCTCCACTGACATCAGTTGGCAATTTCTTGTCTGCAATTTCATGTTTTGTTTCCTCCTCAATTTAGTCCAGCCTCTTATTCCCCTCCAGCTATGACAAAAAAAGCCCAAACCCTGCCAGTAGGTCAGCTACAACCCCATTTGCAATTCTGCAGTCCCAGGGAGGAAAATTCCCAAAGCCACTCTGCAGTACCCAGTAGTCAAAGCACACAGAAGAACTGCTGAGCCTGTAGTGATCCCAGGAATGCCTGACAAGAGCATGAATTATCACAGTTTGTGGAGCTGCAGATATTGAAACCACACACTCCCAAAGCTTTGCTCCAATCAGCCCCTGCAGTTGCAGCCCAATTTTAAAGTCATCAGGAAACACAGGTGCAGGTGACTCCAGGCCAGGTTTTATCTGACCTACAGCTTGTCAGCAAACAGATCCCTGTTTTCCTAAAGGATTGCCTAACTTTGCTATCCAGACAGAAAATGATCACCTGTGAACATGAGTGACAGGCCTTTCAAATCTTTTTTCCCATCACATAAATCCTGAAGCAACGCAGCTTCAAGGAGTTCTCTGCCAAGATGCATTGCACCATCCTGCAAGGAACTTCTCCAGCACTGTGAAAACCCAGAGAAACAATTCTGCAGGGTTTATAAATAAATAAATCAACCCTGCTCATCTCTCCTGCTGAGGCTCCTTGCAGCATGTAGCTGGACACACAAGAAATGTCTCAGATTATCTAGAAAATACAATGGCTCTCTTGGTTTATGTTTCCTGATGGAATTCTCTTGTGTTTAAATCAGCATGGGATCCCAACATTTCCCTGAGATAGCCTCAAGGAGCCAGGGCAATGACTCTGCCCCTGCTCCCACTTTGTGGAAAGTATTTAAGGTTCATTTCTGCAGCCATTCTTTCAGCAGAAATATTAAAAGTCCCTTTCCTCTTCCCAGCTGATTAATTTTTGTGAAATCCAAGGAGTTTTGTACCTTTGGTTTCTTACCCTTCTGCACTCACTGAGATCAACCATTCTACTGTGGGTTCTACTGTGCTGAGAGGGAGAAGACAGATGAACACAAACACATTTACAAATCATCAAAAGTTAAAGCTAAAGCTTTTTTCCTTAGGAAAATGGGCAGAAAAGCTGATAATGCAGCTGATAAAGCTGATAATAAGGAACCTAATGCATGTTTCTCCTTTCACCACACCTTTTGCTTTCATCCCAGACACACAAGCTGGAGTTCAGATTAGTGGCCCCCACAGATTTCTGGTCCTTAAATTCCTACCTCTGGGAAGCTGTTCTAGTACATAGAGGAGAGTAACCACACTAGGAAAAATCCATGGAAGAGTAATTTTCTCCAGGTTCCTTCAGAAGTATCTCATGAAAAATTGGATTAGCACTTTAGCCTCACTCCTGTGAATGTTAATGACAGTTGGATTCTCCTTTACGGGAACACTGACTAACCCAAAGGATCCCTATTAAGGCAGAGCAGTATTTCTAAAAACAATATCTTAATGGATGAACGAGACACTTTTTATTCTGGTTTAAACCTGCAAATGTGCAGCAGTGTTTATGATCCTCCTGAAGCACGGGCCAGAGCCAAGATCACAGTGGACACAGTCAATTTATCTTATCAGACACACATTGCACTTGTTAGGCCCAAATATGTCTTGAGAAAACAATTTTGGCCACAGAGACCAAACCTTTTTCTGATGCAGGAAATAATTTACATTCTAAACCATTCAGTTCATTTTATTTAATCCTGCCTCCAGTTTTTCAGGATGCAAGAAACTGCCTTGCTGTGCTCCTGGTTCTTTCACAGAAACACTTGCAATGTAATATAGATACAGACATTTTCAATTTATTGAGTAACAGCAGGAAACAATTGTGAATTAATCATTGACCTCTACAGGAAGTTCCAGTGCTCAGTTCCTAAGAAGATCAATTCATATTTATTTGGGTGCCTGAACATGGATTTAAGAGCACAAGGATTTGCAGACATAATGCATTATGTGTTGGCTGAACCAGACTATGAAGCTCTTAGCTAATCATCAATATAAGAAAAAACTCATCCAGATTTAGTCCATAATGAAACAAAAAAAAAAAAAAAATCAAATATTTGCCACAGGCTGAAAGAACACCCATGGAAAACTGGCTGAGATCACATGAGAAGAGATTGCTGTGAAGCCAAGGTTGAATTTTAAGCAGAGAGGTTTAAGATTGGGGTACTCACTGTCCTCCAGGGTGCGCAGGAGCTGGGGAGGGCTCCGAGGGCCATCCCCTGGCGTGGTGAAGCACAGCACTGAGGTGTAGTAGCTGGTGAATTTCTTCAGGTTGGTGATGCAGCCACTGTGGACCCCATGGAAATCCGGAGCGATGGTGACCACGGTCACACTCTCTGGAGCATCCACCGGCCACGCCAGGAGCTGGGAGATTCAAACAGGGATGAGCTCTCATTAGGAGTTGTGTCTGTTTGGAATCAAAGTTGGTTTGGCTGCCAAAACCATCTTAATCTGATTGCAAAGAAGCAAGCAATGCTGTTAAAGCACTGTCAGCTCTGATGCTGAACAGATGGATGCAGCTCTGTGACACTGGAGGGATGTCTGTAACACTCACTGCTGATGGGGATCCACCAGCACTGCAACTCTCCATGGCTGCTGCTGAGCAATGCCAAAATTATGGCAGATCATTATTCAGATGACACGAGCCTTTTGTCTCATCAGCCTGGCCAGTCTCTGCTGCTGAAAGCACGCAGAAGGAAGAGAAGGACTTTCAGTGCTACTCTGTCATAAATGCTTTATCTTGTTTTCTTAAAGATCCCACAGTCTGGGGAGGTTACTGGGATCAGAGGGAGAGAGGTGGGGTTCTCACAGCCCTTCCAGAGCTCCCCCAGCACCCCAGTGAGCAGCCCTGCCTCACAGGCTGGGAGCATTACAGCTCAGTGGACTGGGGACATCCACGCTGTGAATGATTCAAGCCGTTCTGGAACTACAGAAAGAATAGAAAAACGGTTGTAAAGATGATTACTACAATTTTCAACACCTGAGTCCCAAAAGTTAGACTCCTGAAGACATTTTCATGCATTTAAAATAGGGTGCTTGTCAGAGGAGCTCAGTCTTGCAGGTTTCATTCATCTCAGTGGATGTTCTGGGCAATCAATATCTCTGAGAGAGCAATACCTCATGTGTAGGTGCCTAAATGAGGACTTAAAAAATTCATTTTTGGCAAACGACTTTGAAATTCTGAAACAATTTTTGAAATCGCCTTAAAGGCTTAGGGGTCTAAAACTTGAAAGTGTCTATGAAATTTTTATTTTGTCCAAAAATCCTTATCATGCGGCTTACAGGAGAATGTTAAAATTCCAGGCCTGACTCAGTATCTGTTTAAATCGTGGTACCTGTATTGATTTCTGGCTCATAAACATGAATAGATACCTGAAATTAATAAGCCATATTTGACACATTCAGCCAATGTCTAGAGTCCCTGATAACCAGAAAGTACAGTTAGGGGACTATTAGGAGCAATTTTGTTAGGAATATTTCATATTTGAGAAAGTGCACTTTACAACTTATTGAGGTGCAAATAAATTTCAAAGAAAAGATAAAAATGTATAATGGCTGAAGAGGAAAGTAAGTTTATTTTCTTTTCTAAATCACCTCTGTGCATTACAATTGGCATTTATAACTTTGGAAGACTGAACTCTTGAGCGCGTGTTTGTGAGGAAATGTGTGCAGAAAACACAGGTGAACAATTCTGTCACTTAAAGGAAAAAATGGGTTTAATCCTTAAGAAAGGCAAAAGCCTGGCTTTGACTACTAGAAATTTATAAATCATACACAAAGCTACTCTAGAAATGAGTGACAGAAATGATCTCACGCAGTCTTTGTACTGCAGTTCCCAAGCCCTGGGAGAAGCAGGTTGGTAAAAGCTGTGGCAATCTACTGCAATCAAAGAAATACAAATTATGCTAATTTCAGAAGGTTTTATTGGCCACTGACAGATACAAATGACAATTTTACTTCTTTTATAGCATTGCTGAAGAAATTGAAACAAAAATGAGAGGTAGAGCTATGCAATGAGATGAAGGACCTTTACACTGAAACTCTGAATATAACAGAGAATGAAAATTTGAAATAAGACTTTTGCAAACATGGGTTCACTGTGCTTGGACCTGCAGCAGAAAATTACAGTGCACTGCAGTCCACTGAACCCCAAAAGTGCTTTTATTCTCCATAGTCTGAACAGAAGCCAAGTGCTATTTCTGTGCTGGAGTTTCAGGGTATTGTGCTGCAGCCCTGTCAGTCACTGAGCCTTGAGAGCTGATTCTATCCCTGCCAGAAGCAGACACACACATCTCCTTTTATTTATTTACTTCTTCAGCAGAGAGATTCTCAAACCACTGCTGGCCCTCATGAGAAACACATTGGTTTGGATAGAAATACCAAAATTCCCATGCATATCTCTGTCTCAATTCTCTGTCACTCTGATACATTCCTAGAGAAGGATCAAATCTTCTGAAACATCTCAAATCCATGTACAATCCCTTAATTCACAACTTGTCTTTTGAACTACAACATCCTTCTCAAATCACTCCACCCAGCACTCCAATCAATCTTGCTCCTCCCTGCTCATAGACCATACTTCCCTTTTCCTGCTCTGAGATTCCTGCAAGATTTCTCACTGTTCTCTCTATGGAGGTTTTTAAACCCTTCATTTATTATGCCCTGACTGCTGAATCACTGATGGAGGCTCTGTTGAGAACAAACCACCCTACCCAGCTCCTCAGCAAACACTCCACTGGGCAGAGGCTCTGTTAAGCACTCCAACAGATGTTGCCTGATTAATAAATTCCACATTCTCAAATCTCTCAGATCATCACGGTGGGAAAGTCAAGGCAATTATTTAGTGTGATGCCTTGGTTCCCAGTGAAATGAATGGTGATTCTGCATTAGCATAAACAGAAACCTCAAGGTTGGTTTTCAGTGCCACAATGACATGTCTCTGAGGTGACTTTCCAAACTGACATGGAATTGCTTTCTGGCTTTGGAAACTCTCCAGGAAAATGACAAAGGTATGAGGACTTCTATGCTGTGACACATTCCCTTTTCAGAACTTACATAAATTGCAAATATTAGACTCATAGAATGGTTTGGGTTGGAAGGGACCTTGAAAATCATCCAGTTCCAAACCCTGCCACGGGAAGGGACATCTTCCACTATCCCGGGCTGCTCCAAGCCCTGTTAGGAGCAACATCTGCTCACTTCTCTCTTTATCTTACAGGTGTAACACACTCCTGAAAGCACAAAGTCACTTTGGAGATTCAGAGATCATAAGGCTGAAGTTCTGGTTTACACCAGGACTGTTAATGCAGACATCATTTGAAGTGAGTACTCACCTTGTACCCTTGGTTGATGCCGTTGATGAACTGCTGGGGTGGAGGGTTCCAGAAGAACTGGATGGTCGTGGAATTCACAGCTTCAACCTGCACGTTCTGAGGTGGAGCTGTGGGCACTGCTCCCAGGAGCAGAGAGGGAACCACACAAAAACAGAGAGGAGAGGGAATGAGGGGAAAAAGAGAAAAATGAACACGGAACCCACTGAGTGTCACTTGCAAGTCACAGAGTAATAACAACCTTGAGAGAGCGATGCACTTCCTGTGCAACGGCAGCCATTTGGAAAGCTGGGTAATTGGGTTAATTCCTCATCCTGTATTGGAGCTTCCTTCAAGGGGAGGAGAAGAAATGGCTTCTGCAGCTTATTATCCTGCAGAGGAGTTTCTCAGAAAGACTTGAGCCACATTAGGATAGGTGAGCACAGCTCTTTCAGTCATCCATGAGAGCACGAAGAATGAAGAGTTTCTGAGAAAAATTTCTTGAGTCCTTTAATGCTGCTCAATTCCCCAGATCAGACAAGAAAACATGGTGTTTGCACAATTAAGGTTTTAATTGTGAATTATAATCTGGCAACAGCATCTGTTTATTATTTACTGCTGCTTAAAGAATTAGGACCAGTCGTATCACATGTAGTAAAGGTTTTTCTTGGGAATTGAGAGCTGTTCTCATTTTATCTTGATATGATATGCACTCATGTATATTGAATTGATTATATATATCCTGAGCCAATACATCCTCTAATCTACTGAAAGTTGCATAAACATTTTATGCCAAGGATTTAATTAGACAGATGTTTTCTCAATACAAAAGCAAGCACAGAACATAAAGGCATGCTGCCTTCAAACAACCAAAACCAGCACTTAAATATTTCACCATTTAATAAAATGTCTCATTCCAAGCAATTTCTTCAACTTACCGCTTTAAGATGTCATTTCTACAGTTCTCAGAGGAAAGAATATTAATAGACAGGCCTATTTTTCTGAAATTATCAAGCTTCTAGTAATTTTAAGAAGAAAACTGCTATCTGAGTACAAAAAAATGGACTGAGACACTTTAAATCCCATAAAATAAGCTTAATAATGCTTCAAAAATATCACTATTGACAGCCATGTGCATTTGTATTCTATGAAAGAGGAGCTATCCACAAGTGGTTTTGAAGCCTGGAAGCCTTTGTTCCTCCTGCTTCCAAGGAAAAGTTTCTACCAAAGCCCAATGATTTGTGCTTCTAAGGAGAATCCACGATTCCCACTGAGAAATGGTGGTTTCCTCCACACTTTTCAAAAAGAGAGCACAAACTTTTCAAGTTCCAAAGCACTTTTTGGAAGATGAGTCTTTGTGTGGAGAAGAAATGAAGAAAAGAAGTTCAAAAATGCAAAACTGCCCCTCTTCCCACCAAAAGTTATTATTTGTTTGGAAGAGACATAAAGGGGCATTATTCTTAACTAGTGCTGACAATATAGTAAGACAGGACAGTGCACACTTACCAGAGATGTGCACAGCCCAGAAAAATCAACACAGAAAAATGGAGAAATCCTCAAGGATGTCAGGTCTGAAATGACAAGAACATCCACTCCCATGCCCTCTGTCACTAAAATTCCCTGAAGATTCTGCCATGGCTCCACAACCTTGCTCTGCAGCTTTTTAAACCTCAGTAGCTGCGTATTAGTCAGAACCTTCTTGCCCTAATTTAAAACTTGATGTGACAATTTATGAACTATGCATAATTATTGAGTTCTGGAAGCAGAGTTTATCTGATAGTACTCTAAATTTTCATTAGAATCTAGGCCCTATTTCCTGCCATGTATCATAATTCCCTGTGTGCTTTTGGAAGGTTATACTATTATCTGAATGACCTGTAGACATCATAAAGTTTTTCTAGTTAAGAGATTCACCAAATCATCCTGAGATACAGTCATAAATATTAAAGTCACTCTAGAGTCATAATGAGTTGCTTTGGCTACAGTCCCCCACTAAATGCATTTTTTTCTTATTCATATTTTTGAAGAAACTGTTTATTATGAGAGCCACTGCTTTTGTGTGCAGTACCTCGTATAATTAATGGTTAACATGCATAATTTCTTTTTTAAAGTCCAAATTTTTACTTTCCTGCACATTTGCATATTCAGGTATTGTAACTGTCAGAGATTGTTATTGAAGAAGAAAATTGTGTTACAAGTCTTCATGTTAGTTTTTTATTAGAAATTCACCAGTATATTACTGATGGATTCATCTCCTCCTGTCAGTAAAGCCAAATCAGCTGAGCACCACCAAGCTCCAAGTTTTCATTTGTGGTGCTCACAGTTCCCAAAAAAGCTCAGGCAAACACTTGAGGATAGGCTTACTACAGTTTTAGGAATGTGGATAACCCAATGCATTAGTTATTTCTTTTAAAAAGGGAAATATTTTTTGTTCATTAGGAGATAAATTTCTGAAACAAGAATATATGGTCATAGCAGAGAAAATACCTGCTGGAATATGAAAAGTGGAAAAAATTATGAACAGAAAACAGAAAATCTTCAGAATGCTGGAAATCGTGATTTATATCATATTTCCTCCTTGGTTATCTTTATTGAAAAATCAACATCTGCATCTCAATTAATACATTTAAAAGATGGAAAGAACATGGGCCATCTGATTTGCATAAGCTTAATTATACTGCAGAAGGCATAATGTAATATATTTTTATATTTTTAATCAGTAAAATATTGGCATTGTAATCTCAAATTTACTTCAAAGTGCCAGTATAATATTCTCCTTTTATGTCCTGATATTAAAGGCTTCCTTGGGTATCTGAGCAGTTCTGCATTTTAAAAAGAAAAGGAGTTTGAGGGAAGCTAAATCAGAATTGACCTTCTGGTCACTTCAAAACTCAAATACTTTTCCAAGATCATGGAGAACAACTTCCTGAAGCTTTGGCTGTCTGCACAAGGGATTTTCTAATTTAGTGGTAGATACCTGTCCTCTTCCTACAAATTTGTTGTCAAGCTGTACAGAAGCTGCCAATGTCAAACAGGTGTTTCAAGAGTAATCCCCAAGTATTTACACTCCCAGCTTTTAAACCTGCACTTCATCATGTCTGCAAGTATTCCAAAGCCATCTCACACTGGAGATCCATCTGGGAGTCATCTCAGAGCTGCAGATCAAATTGGTCAGACACAACCAACTGTTACTTTGCTCCTGATAAAGTTCATGTGCTTGGAAATCTGCAGAGAGCTCAGCCCCCGGGACTGTGGGTTAATGTACAGCATTCCAAGCAGAAAAGGTCAGGGAAGCACTCTAGATAAAAACCATTAAAAGGGTTTCACTGACAAGATAATTGAGAGGAGACAAGGCACTGAGGTTAAGCATGTGTACATGGAATTATTCTGTCTCTGGCCATGTGCAAACAGCATGGAAATCCCGTGGAGTTTCTGACTGCCAGACTCCTGCTCCTAAATATAGATCTTCAGCACAGGCTTGGAAAAAAGGCTCCTCTGGAGCTCCTGACCTTTGAGGTGGCAGCTTGCCTGTCTCAGGCTGGTGGAACGGCAGGTTTTCCTCTAGGTGAGGATTTAGATGTTCCTTTAATGCACCAGCCTCAGTGCTGAGCAGCACATCCCATGGGAGCAGTGGGGATGTGGAGCTCTAATTCCTCCTGGGAAGCCTCTTCCCTCTGCTCCCTGCTGGTGTCCTGGGCTGTGCTCTGAACTGCAGTGGGTGCCTAGGAAAAGTGGTCTGTGTAACACTACACATCTGAACATCTGAATTCTGAAATTCAGCAGTGTGAGATTTGGCACTAACTGATGAGTTTGGGTTCTTGTATCTGGGAAATGCCTCCTTCCTTTCCTGCATGGCTCCCACACAGGCACGATTTTATTTCTTTATTAACAGCTGGGGGCCTCTCTGAAACAACTGCTAATTCCATCACCTTGTGAAATAATTTAAAAATGAAATAAAAGCAGTAGATGGCAAATGACATCTAAGCAAGATAAAACCCCCCGGCCACTAAAACTCCAACTTGCTTCTGCACAGGAGCAGCTGGGCCCAAACAGCCATGTGTGCTCCAAGGCTATTGGAAGTTTCCCAAAGGAAACGACAGAGGATCTTTAAGGTGTTTTTGCTAAGAAAACCCGAGGGAAGACTATGGAAAATATCTTTTCACTGAGCTAAAGTAAATGGTTGTAGAGGATATTCTGCAGTCAGGGATTCCTTTTTCAAGATTATTTCCTACATAAAGCAGGAAGCTTTCAGTTAACTGGGTTTCCTCTGGCTCTTCCACACATTTCTCTGATTCATCTCTAAGTGCCTGAGGAGGAAGCTGCTTTGGACCTGGCTGAACAGACTCCTCTTGCTTTTATTCTTTCCACACCATCAAGACTCACTAGTCTGGTACCTTTTACTCAGGAAGGGCTTTTGCTCAGACCTTCTTGGCCTGGCAGGGTGTCCATGCACAACAAAGAAGGGAAAATAAAACAACATTCAAATACATGTTGAGATCTGTGAACTTTGGGACATAAGACTGGCTTTTGAGATATGCATCAAAAGAAAGACATGGCACTTAAAGCAGAAACAGAAGTGGTTAATGTCAATGGAGAGGCTAATGGAAGAAATGTCTCTACTTGTAAACCTTGCCCTGCCTAAATCTAAGACATGGTGGGAGTTTTTCAAAGAGAGAGTTCAGAGATATTCACAGTGGTGAGATAAAAGGGACAGACCCAAAGTAAGGGGTGGAAGTTGCTGCTTTAGCAAATCAACCTGCAAAAGAAGGCAAAGATGCCCAACAGTACAGAGCAGAGACAATATTGTAACCACACAAAGATGTTTATACCTTCACAAAGCTGTTCTTACATGAAAAGGTATTGGGAAACTTCAGGTTTTCATATGGCAATGAGAAGTCCTGCAGGACAATGCTTAAATAAGTAAAATTGCCCTTTGCAGAAGGCTGGCAAAAATCCCTGTGAAAAGTAACATCAAAGCAAGGAACAGCTGGAGAAACTCTGATGAAGAAAGACCTATATATACAGAGCATCAAAGGATTAGGCTGAATATCACTCTGAAAAGACTTTCAAGATTTTAGAGACAGTCAACCTGTCTGACCCTTGTGCTGGGATGTTCAGGGCTCTGCCTGTAAGTCCTCCTGACATTTTATCTCACTGACATGCACCAGTTTCCTCCCAGTTCAGACCCATCAGCACCTCATGAGCTTGGCTGTGTTTTGGAAGTTGGCAATTTTTGAGGAGCTTGGAGCAGCTGATTAGTTTTCAGTGGCTAAAGCAATGCCAGAGGACTAATAAGGGATTAATAGACTAGCTCCTGGTATAAATCCACAGCTTATATGGCCAGTCAATAGCCCCTATGACAAAGGTGCCAATATGCTGATGTGCTCCTGCCAATGGGCTGATCTGCTCCCGGGGTTCATTTCCTCCCAGGCTCTGCCTGCCCTGCACATTGATGAGTGTGAGGGATTTTTCATCTGCAGACAGGTTCTTGCCAGCACAGCTCACATCATTTAATGCATGTCACAGCAGAGGCAGTGGTGGTGTGGTACTAGGAAAGGGGGATGGATGGGAGTGTGTGTCTTTGACATTTATCTCTGCTCATATTAAAATCAGAATATGATTTACAAGGCAGTTTTACACATGGCTTTTTCTTACTCCTGCTAGTTTGGTTTAGGAAAAACATTCTGGAGCAAGAAACAGTCACGAGATTTCCCTGTCTTTTCTCAACTACAATAAACATAAAGGAGCAGAGATTTGGACCGTAGCACATTACATATGGAGACTGGATATTAATCCAGTTTCAAATTGTATTTATACCAGCCAGTCTCCCTTTCCAGCTCTAGGTGCAAAAAGGTTGCAAGATCTTTTTAAAACAGGACATGTCCTTTTGATAAACCCAGCAATGTTCACCAGGAAGTGGCAGCACCCTTGAGGCATTATTAACAGCTATTAGCAAATACCAGTATGAAATAAATCAGAAATATCCAGTTTTTCTTCTATGTCTACCCAGCACTGAGGAATTACATGAAGCCAAAGAGGCCATTGCAGGTTGGCCTGAAGTCTAAACACTCTTGCTGATTAACACGAATGCAGGACTGACTACACCTAATTTATAACAGAGGATTTATACCCTTATAAATGACAACAGACAGCCAATCAATAAAGGATGATAATAACTGCACATAATATCAAGGGAAATTAGAGTCAATTACAGGGTTTAAGAAAAAAGAGTGTGAAGTCCAAATCCGGGCCTTAATAGATGGAAGGTTAAGGTGCTATGATAGCTTAAAATGTGCAAATAAACAGGGTAATGAATTACAAGCATAATCACAAAAGGGATTCAAATTCTGTGGGCAAACCAATTCTCTGCAGAGCTTGGGTGTTTAAGTGGGATAGAAAACATTAATCCTGGCTGAACGAGAAGACTTCAAGAAAAACATTTCAAGGTCTGCTATAAATACTTCTAGAATGAGGTTGAGTGTGCCTAGGCTCCTCTGAACTATGAGACTTTACATGCCCTAAGACAAAATATAGATAGTTCATTCCCCAGTTGTTGTGGTTAATTAGTGTTGCATATGAATAATCTGTTCTTAAAGATCTCCCTACACCTCAAACTGTATCTAATCATGTTATAACCTACTCCTAGTAACAATTAACAAACAGCTACATCTTCTTCCCTGATTGAAAATTAACTGATGCACTGTAAATCTGCTAGTTTTTAAAACAGTATAATTGTTTTATGACCAGCAAAGTAGAGCCCATGTACTGTCCAGTGCTCAGCATCCAGCACAACCCTGCAATTATGGGAATATATGGAAGCCTTAAGGACCTGGCACTTAATTATCCTACAGATTTTTATACCAATCTAGAGGTGTAAACATGCCTTACACTGGCTGTAAAAAGTAATTACATATCCTTTTGTTGGTGTAATTTATACTCTTCTTAAAGCACTTAGAAAAGTGTGGAGGAGCTGTAGCATAAAAATCAGGGCTTTAAAGATCATTTTATCTTCCCCTTTGAAAGTATCTGCACCATTCCTGAAATGCTTCAGAAATGCTTTCTCCACAGGTTGTATTTCTTTCCCTACACTTTCCTTGCAATTTATTCCATATTTCTAAAACAAGGTATTCTGTGATTATCAGAACTAATGCAGCTGGTTCACTCTATCTCCTATAATGCATATGCAGCATCTTGCATGCCTTGGCCATGATACAACCAACTCCCTGCTATATTTTCTCTAACTCTCCTGGCAGGGTAACCTCAGCCCCTGCCTGTCACAGGTCCCATAAATCCATTCCCCAGGACCCCAGCTCTCATCAGCATTTCTATTTATTACTTCTGCTGCAGCTGACTCTGACCTGCAAGCGTGCCAACACATCATCACGAGGGTCAACAAAACAGATAATTTTTTACTTCACTCCCAGCTTTTCCTACAACAGAGATAGAGCAAAGACTTGGCTCTGATCAGGCACTTGAAATTTGCAGGTGCTCCTGCTCCAAGCTGTCTATCACATTTGACTGAAGTGACCACTGATTTCCCAGGCTCCAAGGTGGGATTGCCAGCAGCACATCCCCTGAGGAAGCTGTGGGGCGATCAAGGAGATCCTGCTGGATTTGCTCACCTCCCTGCAGTGTGTACTCTGTCACGGGCCTGCTGAAGGCTCCCAGCCCAGCTCCATTGTAGGATGCCACCTGGATTTCATACTGGGTCCAAATGATGAGGTCTTTGACCAAGCAGTAGTTGATTTCTGCACTGGTGATGTTTTTGTACTGGTACTCTCCCGGGAGGCCGGCCAGGCGATACCTGCCATATGGGGAGAAGAATTAGCTGGTTAATGAGATGCTATCAATTAGAGAAAATATCCTGGCTGGCAAAATAGCTTCCTTTGTGAACAGGCAATATGCAAAGTTTTACAGCAGAATTTTACCAAGAATAATGAAAAATAATCAGGAGGAACATAGCAACTGCAGATAAGACCATATCATGTTTGACTGCTATAGTATTTATAATCTGATCGCACTGAGATTACAGGCTCAGGGCTAAACAAAATGGGTATTTTATCCTGTTTTATGGTTGCAGAAAAATTACAGCTTTTTAAATGTGCCTTGTCTAGTAAAAGCTGTGATTTAGTACAAAAAATAGCCCAGATGTGATTTTTATCAGAGTGCTGCTGTAAATCAGCCTGAGAAATTGTTTTTTTCCCTTCACTTCTGAAATCTGAAAAGTAAGAGCTCAGAGGGCTCTGACCTCCTGGGATCTCAGCCACTGGCACCCCTGGCTTCCACCAGAATTTACTTCAGAGAATAATTAAAATAAGGATTGAACACAGTTGAGACTGAAGGGTTGGGTAAGCCCTGGAGTTCCAGGAGAAGGGCTGCATCAAACACAGGTGGGTGATAAATATCCTGAAACTCTTTCTGCTGAGACACAAGCAGCTGAAACACTAAATATATTTTCTCATGTAAAAACTGTATTCCAGAAAACAGAACCCCTTTGATGTGTCTCTTCAGGCCAACAAACTACAGAGAAAAACTAAATTATAGAAAACAAACAAACCTTGCAAATCTGTGAATGTGAATAATACTGTTTGTTTTCCTTCCTTTAGGAAAGTGGTACAGTGGATGCTCACAATATGCTAATTCACAAAAAATCAAAAAACTAGAGGCCAAATAAGGGACACAAGGCATTACTATTCCAGGAACAAGATAAATATGGAAACATTTGTATTTTTATTCACCACACAACTTTTATACACTCTTACCCATCCTTTGCTTCACTGCAATCACCAAAAGTTTATTGACACAGAACAATTTCATTGACATCTTACAGACACATTTTAAATTCATCTAATAAAATTGCTGCAATGTTTATGACTAGACAACTTCATGTGTTCAGCCAGACATTTTTGTTCTAAAATCTTCCTATAAAGAGATCACTTAATCACTGACATCTCTATTTTCTGCTGCTTGCCTGACCATCTCTAGCACACTTAATATTTGTAATACTACACTGGTGTGATTCCATTTATGAAATATAAATGGAAATAAAGAAATAGCAGCCCTCAGCTGAGTTTATTGAATGTCTTGCTCCCCTTTCTCTCTCTCCCTCTCCTGTGCAGGGTGTGTGCTCCCTGGCAAGTCAGTTCTTAGTGCAGCAATGCTGTCTCCTGCCCAGCAGACAAGGTGCAAGTGCTCCTGTGATTTAATCTGTTATGCTGTTAGCATGGCAGACCCCTAAATGCAATATTGGCAGTGAGAAAAAGGGCAGAGGAAGGAGGCCAGTTCAGAAATGTCATGTCTTCATGATTTTTCTCACCATGGACTTTGATGGATACTCCACATGACTTGTGCAGTGCACCTTCACTTTTAAAGATCAGGTGTTCCATCAGTTTAGCATCTTGCGTGTCTTGAGCTTTGGGTCTATGGATGGCTGGTGCTTTTCACTCTGCTATCCCCTGATTCTGCAGAAATCAGTGCAGGAACACTGTTCTTCAGTGCATATTGCTGTGACCACACAATTCAAATGGGAGGAACAGCCTGGTTTATTGCCTGGGCTTGTGCTTTTAAGTGATAATCTTAAATTCCTGTTGGATAAATGGTTTCTCTGCTCTGCTGTCAAGACAAAGCAGGAAGACACCAAAAATGCTCACAGATTAAGCACAATGAATATGAGCACTATTAAAATGGACAGAGATGTTCTAGCAGGGTCAGGGATCAATTATGCAGATAAATACTGTAGAAGTTACCAAAGTTAAACATTATTGGAAATGCTATATGGAGAAAACAGCACAGATTGCCAGAAGGAGGAGCCTATGGGATTGCTTTTTAAAGCACATTAAGTGCCAGAGAGACATGGCACTAAAAGCAGAAACAGAAGTGGTTAATGTCAATGGAGAGGCTAATGGAAGAAATGTCTCTACTTGTAAACCTTGCCCATGACTTAATGCTGAGACTGGGAATAACTGAGGAACTCACCCTACCACCGGGGTAGGGTTTGAAGGCAAGAATTGCATAAAGAATGTTTGCACCCTTGGCAGATGGGAACCCAAGGCTCAGGACAAGGGTCTATCTGCAGGCAAAGGTTAAAGCACCTCTCCCCACTGATGGCTGACAGAACATTTTAAACTGAGCCCAGCCCTAAAACCCTGCACCAGCAGCACAAGGGGCTCCCCTCTGCTGAGGGGCTCTGTGCAGGTGACAGGGAGATGAACACACTCAACTCTGCCTGCAGACACAGAGGAACTTCCCAGGGCTATTTTGGGAGCTCACCAACACTCTTAACATGACAAAAGCCTTTCCATCCATGCCAGCAAAAGTAGGAGCACAGCTTGAACTGGATGTTGGCATTTAAACTGCAGCATTTAGTTATCTTTTACAGTTCTGGAGGACACTGTATTAAAAATGTCAGCAGCCTGCCTACAGGAGGCTGTAACCATCACTTGGAAATATGTCAGGGGCTGGGAGTTTTCCACAAAAAATGCCTCCCTCACTAGAGGTGTGGCCCTAGCTGGCTGCTAGCACTGCAGGGTGTGGAGGATGCCAAATGAGCAGTAATCTAGTGGAATGGGATAGGAGTGAATACTGAGTCCCAAAAAATCACCTGAGGGAAATCTCTGCAAAGTTTCTCAAGTGGCAGCATCCTTTCTAACACAATGAATCCTGGGTAAGCTGCCAGACTGGATGGGCACAGGATTCCCAGTTACCTGCCTTAATGTGTTTCTCATTAATAAATACAAACAGGGGCTGAAAGGACCTTACTCAATTGGCTGATTTTCAAAACCAAGCCAAGGTCTGCCATGAAGCATCTGACCTGTCATTCCCTCTCTCCATTTTGTTTGGCACAAAATTGAAGTTTATTGATTCTTTTGCTGCTCCTCCATAGGCAGGAGCCCTGTTGTGTCTTTGATAAATTTAATTAACCTTTTGAGCAGGGAGCTGAGCCTGTAATAAGCAAATATACATCTGCATAGGCTGCACTGTACCAGCCTCCCATGTGAACGCTTGCATTACTTAGAGCTTCACTTCCCTTTGAAAATGGAATAAAAGGATTTTGTGAGCCTCCACAGGTCCTTTGGAACACTCAGACTCTGTAGGACAGACAGGCCAGAATTTAAGTGGCTGCACCCTTGTGACTCCTTGAAGAGTTGTTTTCTCATATTTGACAAACCAGAGCAGCCTGAACATCTGCACACAATAACTAATGTCTTTAATTCAGTAGAGATAGCTTTTATTGCACTCTTAAGTCACACCATTTGAACTCCCCTGTGCATACCTGGATTTCCCAGGTTAAGGAAGGACTTACCTCAGGATGTAGCCATGAAGAACCCCATTGTGCTCACTCTCAGGAGGAGGCTGCCACTGGACCATGATGGACTGATTGGTTCTCCCACTGGCCACAATGTTTTTAGGGGGAGCACTGGGGGGCTCCTCAGGTAGCATCAACCTAAGTACAAAAGAATGTGATGGACATGAGTGTTCAAAGAAATCAAAAAGAAGAGTCTATTTCCTGTATCCCTTCCAAGTGAACACTCTTTTATTACAGTCTGATGACTGGAAAGAAATATAATGCTGATCAAACTGCTGAAGACATGCATGAAATAGTTACAACAAATCAACATAATAGGAAATCAGTTAAGCAAGCAACAAGACAGACAGCTGAGGTAACCCTATTCTCTTGGAATCACCCAGGCTGCTACAACTCTTTAAAAAGATTACAAGCCTGAATGAGTAAGAGCTCAGGTCCAGTGTCTGTGACTCCTTCCAAATTGTTTCTTTCAGCTCTTTCAATATTTTTCATATCAAACTCCTACATTTTGAAAAAGCCATTTAGAGTTCAGCTGTTCTGCAATTCAAGCTTGCAGCAAGCTTTGGTTCACAGAAGAAGGGGGATGCATTTGAAACTGAATATGATGAAGCCATCCCTCTCTGTCACATCTGGGTAAATTCCAGCAGTGACATTGCCATGACAGGGTGAGAGCTGTGCTCCTGCCCGGCCTAACTGCTGGGGCTTAGCATAAGAGCAAAATGTAATTTCCAACTGATACTCTGGAGTATGAGGACACTTCTTTCACGTTGGGCTGAGCTCCTGCATCCCCCAAATGCCATCATCCCCAACTCCTGCCATCTACAGGGCACTCTCCAGAGACCTGGGAAGTGGCAACTTCTCCATCTCCCAATCGTTGTGCAAAAGATTATTTTATTCCTTGACTCCCAAGCAGCATTTTCCCCTCCCCAGGTCTTTGTCCCTTCAGCACACAGACAGGGGCTGTCATTACCTGCTGGTCTCGGTGCTGTAGCGCCCCTTGCCCACCTGGTTGACCGCACACACCCTGAACTGGTAGGTCCTGGCTGGGGTGAGGCCACTCACAGTGACCCCGGTCATCTTCGGGTCAAGGTTGGACAGGTGAACCTTCCAGGGAGAATCTGTTGGGAAAATTAGCATGGGAAAAAAAGGAAAAAAAGATGAAAGTGCCTGTCAAAAGCCCTGCAGAAGTGAGAAAACGCCTCTGACTGCTCAGAGCTCCTGGTGTTTGCTTCCCTCAGAGGAACTTTGGGAAGAAGTTTCTTTTCAGCAGAAGAAACCTTCCTGTCAGCCCACACGGTTATGCAGATTGCACATTTGTCTACTGGAAAGTGATGCTGCACATGTCATGGCATAATAAATAAAAACTATATTCATTAACATTTTAATAAAAGAGGAAACAAGCATGATAAAGACAGATGGGCTGTGTATTTCACAACCCATCTGTTTGGCAGGCCATCACACCACCACACCCATGAGTGGCTCTGGTGGAAGGATTCTAATGAAATTCACAGTCAGTTTGGAATATCTTCCTACCCAGCTTGCAAGCAGGTGTAGAAGCGTGACTCCCTCTGCCAAATCAGCCCTTTGCTGCAAGACCTGAGAAAGCTTCAGCTGCTGATTCTACATGTCTGCAGTCCTATTTTTTTTTTCCTAGTGATATTATTCAGCATGGAATCTAATTGTCCTAGGAAGATTCCCTGGTAGAAAGCCCTGGCAGCATTCTAAACCCCTTGCTGTCAGTTCACATTCTTGCCATATCAAGCTCCTCTGATGCCTAAATTACATTTGCAAGTTTTTAAAGAGGTCAGAAATGAAACATGTTGAAAATTAAATATTCTGACTTTTTCTCTCCGTAGCCTGGTGTCAAATATTCTCCCTGATGTCATGACTGAAATAGTCAGGGAGAGGTGACATTTGGTCTGCGTTGCAACAGTACAGTGACGGAATCAGCCAATTTGAAGATTTGTTCAGTTTTTAAATAATACCAGCTGTTTTCATGCTCCCTGCTCAAAATTACTAACACTTCTGGAAATTGCTGAGGAGCTCGCTGTGGATTTTGGCAACGTTATCTGCGCATGTTGCTCATCAGAAGTGCATCGTGGCTCCTGGCAGGTCACCTCAACGTCTGCCTGAAAATGGAGATGAGATGTCCCAAACGTGGAAGGCTGCTAAACTTCACACCAAGACAGAAGCCACTCATTTTGTGCTTTTCTGGCAGATTCCTTAGCAAGTTTAAGCCCTCTAGGGTGTGATGCCAGTTGGGCTATAAACACTGCATCTTCAAATTACTCCAAATGTATTTATTCCAGTAAGGGCCTTGCCAGAACAAAGTCTTTTTTAACAGGAAAACTGACACAGCAGAATACTGGGAATGCTGGAGAGGGACATTTGCACAGCAGTGAAGCTCTGTCCTTGCCAATTGTTGATTTACCAACAGCCACTTTGGCTGCAAGATCTTGACGCCAATTTATCTTAGCTGAACATTGGATTTCTTTTAGAGAGCCCTTAGAGGAAGCACACCTGTGCCATCTAGAAAAGTGTTGCTTAGGAGATTTTTGCACCTTAGTTCCTTCTGAATTTTCACAGGCTTCCCTTGAGACTTCCCCAACAGCCTTGTTACAGCCAGAGTGCACAGCAACAAATCAAGGGAGGCTGGAGTTAAGGTATGGCTGACCTAGTGCACTGCCTGAAGGAACTTCCTGAGGAAAATGGAAGAGGGGAGTGAAATACCCTTGCATGAGCTACTTGGGCAGTGGTCCGTTTCCTAGAGCATTTCATTTGTTTACTGCCAGTGTAAACACCACCTGAGAGTGCTTAACCCAAGCAGCTCAATGTAGTGAGCAGTTTGATTCAACAACAGGCCCTATTAATCTCCTCAGCACCTTGGGGCTTTGCTCTGTTTATATGCTGCATCTGTAGAATACTTTATTAATTCTTTTTCCTCTCCTGGTGGAAGATAAAAGATCTGGCAGGAAGAGAGATTAAACTGGAAACTAATATAAACGAAGCCTATTCATCTCCTGGGCACTCTGATTCAGAGAGGAGGGCGGTTCAGGGAGCATTTGCTCACTCCTGGAGCACTGGATACACTGAGTCTGCAGAGTATCTTTAAAATTTAAATGTCAAGTCTTTTTTTTTTTTTTTTTTAATCAATAAACAAAACACAGCAAAAAAATGGATCTCCCTCTTTAGATGCACACAACCAACCCCAGGATTGTGCAGAAGCTCTTTTCACTGTGGAGAAGAGCAATTCTGACAAGGGAAACATGCCATAAAATTTTTAACAGCGCCTCTCCTGTCCTCCAGGGATGGCTGTCACTCACCTGTCCCAGGAAGCCTGGAGAAGCTCCATGGTGACAAAAGACTTGCCAGGTCAAACTATTAAAAAGGTCTCTGTTAGACTGAACAGACTCTGCTAATCCTTCATTTAACTTAAGCTGCCCAGAACATACTCTGGGCTCTGCTGCTCTTCCCCTGTAATTGCTGCTGTCTGAACAACTTCCATGTTGAGCTGTCTGTCGTCTTACAAATATTGGCCATTCTGAATTAACTCTGATTGCCTCTCCAGCTTAATTTATTGGAAATGAAGAATCTCACAGGCTGTTCTCTGGTTTACAATGTCATTTTGGGGTTTTAGAAATGACATTTTTTTCCTGTCATGAATTTTTGGATGCGCTTGTGACGCATTCAATAACTCTGGCTATGTGCCAGGAGGCATTTCTTCTCTATTTCCCTGTCTACCCTACAGTTCATGCATTAATTGCAATTTCCCCAAAAATCATTTCTAATTTGATGTTACCGATCAGATCTACTGCAGAAAGCTGATTTTTGCAGGTCTGGAACACATTTCCATCTCTTTCCTTCTCCAGGGGGTTTCGCATAGATGGCAACATAGGAATTTGCTGTACTGCTGGAATACACTGAATTAATCTTTCAAACCTTTGTAGTGATATGATATTGCACAAAATCCAAATGCAAGCTAAATGGTTCACCCTTTGTTTGGTAAGACCTATACAAGGTCTAGCAGTGGCCTGAAAAAAAGTATCTTTTAAAACGATCATATCTAGATCTGAATCACAATCATAATGACAATGCAGTTTTACTTAGATTTTTGCAAAGATTTATCAATGGGTTCAATATTTGCCATTTGAATATTCCTACCAAATTCAGGGTGACAACTCATAGGTTTTATTAAGCATGTACAGATGCATTCCACAGGAGCTTTTATTATCTCCTCATTGGCACAACGTGATGATTCTGAGTTATATCATCACCTTACACAGCACAGATATCCCAGAATACAATAAAACAAAAATGGGCTTTTATCTTAATTGTTCTCAGCAGAATTTTACAAGTCTTAATTCATTTCTTCAGTTAAAAGACTATTCAGAATATTTTTTTGATTAATTCCTCCAGTCGAAACCTCTTTGGAATAAAATAAGCATATCCCCTCCTAACTCCATGAAGACACTTCATTGGAATTCTGAGGTAAATTGCAATGGGGCTAAACAGGTCATGAAACATCCAAAATTATATTAGTGCAAATGACAGCAATGCATGGTACTATTTATTTGAAAATCCTATTTCAAATCAAGGTTCACATTCTTGGCTCTGTGTGGGCAGGAATACTTAATGACTGTGTTTCCTTGGAACTGTGTTTTTCAAATTAGATTATAAATTTGCCCCCAAATGTTTAAGGCCATATGTCTCAAGTCACCCACAGACACAGTCTACTGTGAATACTTGTATTTTGAGAATTATTGCATTGTGCCAAATACATTAATTTTAAAAATTAGGTGGCTAGAGTCGTTCATATTCCCAGCAATTTATGTGCACGATCTGCCACTGTTTTCTTCCCTCTAATTAAAATGAGGGTTTTGTATCTCTTTACTGAATTGATATTAATGAAAAGGAGTTCTAATCCATGCCAGGTGGAGTGACACGCCTCCCTCTAATGCAGCTGGTAATTAAACCCCTGAAATTTATACTCGTTATTTTGAATCCTCTTCAGCTATTTCTCTGCAGCAGACACTGTTATGTTTTCATTGATGGTAAGTGCTTCAAAACTTACCATGGGTCCTAAAGCTGTGAGAAAGTTATCCAAAACAAAACAGCTAAAAAAAGCAACAAGGCTACTTTTCAGCACCTATAACCAAAACACAAACTCCAAACATTCAAACTCCACAGAACTAAGAACAAAAGCTGCACAGCGTTGCTGACTGGAAAATAAAATCTAATTCTGGTGTCCCTCCTTCACATCTGAAAGTGAAGGGGGACTGGGATGGGAGGCACATTGCTCTGCTGTGACAGTGACAGAGCTCATGGAGGGTGTTCCCTGTCCCCCTGACAGTCACTCCTTCTGCAGCACAAACCCCAAACAGAAACTGTCTTTGAAAAGCAAAGAGAGTTTCTGCAGAGTCATATCAGGCCAAGCTCTACCTACACAACATCCAATGCCATCTTTGTGCACAAACAGTGCTTGGGATGGCTGGGAACAAAGGGAAGGTGATGGTTTCCAGAGGAGCAGGAGGTCTGGAGAAGCTAAATATTAACCACACACTGCTGAGATCAAAATAGCCCTGAAAAACAAACACTTCAGGAAAACAGAAACCAAAACAAGCCAGTGTCAGTGTGCAGACATTTCAGTCAGTGTTCCAAACCAAAGCCACTGCTGACATTGCTGTACTGCTCTGTGTATATGGAACCAGAGAGCACAGCAACAGTGGAATATCCAAGGGCTCAGATTCTTCCCTGTTCTGCTTCTGTGGGCACTCATTTACACATTGCACATAAAACCAAAGTCAATAAAGACAAAAATTTAAAGGACAGCAAGACCTAGGATATATCTGGGAGTTAAGATGCTCAGTTCATAACACAGCTGGCCTGTTTGCAGCTCTGAGCTGTGGCAGGACACAAACCTGTGCTGTGGGACAATGAGACCCTCTCAGTGGCAGACTGCAATGACAGCAGCCAAAAGCATTTGATCTATCACAGAGCGAGCAGTGGTTCACAAGACCCTGTGTGTTCTCAGGGACTGTGTGTATGCTTTCCAGAGAACTACTGTTGATTTTGGCTAAGCCTTCGACAAATTTCAGTGAATTAATTCTAAAATGATGGCACATCTACCCCATTCCTATACAACTGCAAAGCATCCTTGGTAGAAAGGACTTGAAGACCTTCCAAACTCCTCCATGACAAAAGAAAGATGATGGAAAGAGATGATCTTCATGGTCCCTTCCAAATGAAACAATTCCATAATTCCTCTGGCACTGAATGAGCTGCCTTTTCTTTTAGGGACTTGTCCCAGTCAATGCAGGATCCAAGTGCACATGTTCTGCCACCTCTGTGCTGTCTCTGTGTAAATACAGCTCTAGGACCTTTCTGTCACATTCCCAGACTGGGACTTCACTAATTTGTCATCAACAAAGCCACTGGGAAACAAGAAGCAGAAGGGAAACACCCTTGGGCAAAAGATCAGGGAGGGAAAAGAAGAAAACCAGGCAGTTACTGGCCTGTAGCTATGGGAGGGAAGGAGAGTGAAAATAAAAAGGAAGGTGGTGGTAAAAAGGTTGAGGAAGAGTGTGAGTGCAGGATTGTGGATTTTCTTACTGATTTGTTACAAAAAGATCCAGAGTCTTTGATTGAAAAGAACTATTTTAAGGGCAGCAGTCCTGAGCACGACTTTGCATTTCTGCTAGGACTAGAAACCTGCACTTAGCTTAACAGTTGTCAAGATCATTGGTTCTGGGACCTCCACATCTGAGAAGTTATGCACTCCAGCCTGCAAAGCAAAAGCCTTGTATGTGATCTGAAGCTCAAGCTTCCCCCTCAAGCTCTCAGTGTGGCAAAACAAACTGCTGCTCTCCAGATAATCAGAAATCAGAACTGTTTCACATTCAGTTATGCAGTGACTAATTTCAACATGTCACAAAAAGTGATGCTCTTAATTTTTTCATCAAGAATCAATTGTTCAGCTTGGATTTCCAGCTCCTAGGGTGATAGAGATTAGAAAGTATTGCCAAGGTGACCGATTTCCATATACCCTCATCTTTCCATCAGCTCCTAAAGAGGCATTAGCAATGTCCCTGAATAACCTTGCAGACTGAGAGCCTGGTGTACAGCATGATAAAACTGGCAAGTGGCAATTCCCAATGCCCAGGTTTGTAATGCAGGAAGTCAGATACTTGGATTGCACTCAAACATCCTCAACCACCTACCTAATGCAAGGGTGTAAAATGATAATCTACAGAAAGCAGAGAAAATATATGAGCCCACAGAGAGGTAAGACAGCAGTTCCTCTTGACATCCAAGTTTGTTCCTTTGACAGACCATCAGTTCCTTAAATTATCCCCATCTCTGCATCTTTTAGGTGAAATTTGGGCTCTAAATGCCCTAAGAAATCCATGAAACTGAAGGAAAAGCCACGGGAAGGAACAAACTGACTGCTGCTGTACTGAGGAATGAGCTGTTGTACCTCAAGTCTGTCTGGCAACACCAGAGGTGGAATTTCTAAGCCCTGTAAATCAATCCCTCCATCTCAGCCCTCTCTGTCACTCCACTCTTTCAGCGTGCAAACACCTGAGTGTCAAACCCCTTTGTGCAGGCTGAAGCAAACTGCAGCAGCACTTTGTCAGCAGCTCTGGGGAGAGGGGATGGTTAAGGACACCATGGGGCAGAGAAGTATTTGACTTACTGTTCTCAGAGAGCTCCACCACGTAGTAGAGCACGGGGCTGTTGCCGTCGAAGGGGCGCACCCAGGAGAGCACCACGCTGCGGCTGTAGGAGGAGTTGAGCGTGGCCACCAGGTTCTGAGGGGAGTGAGGCAGCTCTCTGCAGAGGAAAAGGGTGAGAGAAGGGGAAAAAAAAAATAAACCAGCACAGAAAAATTAATCTATATTTCATTCAGCTCCAGTCTTACAGGCAGTTAAAGGCAGGCGACATCAGCCCCGTGTGATGATGGATATAAAACCACCAGCAGCTATTGTACAATTAAATAAGTGAAAGACATCAAAGAATTCTTCACAATTTTATCCTTTTTTTGGGGAAAATAATAAAAATTATGCTGAAAGTCCCAAGGCTGATGGATAGAACAGCTAATGGACATGCTGCTAAATGTGGCAAAAAGCCAAATTTCATCCTGTTTTTGACTGAGCAAGTTGGTCAATAAATTTCCTCTCTCACTTTTTCTCCCGTCTTACAATGATGTCCTACAATGTGACAGCAGTGATACGTATAAACAGTAAAACACATGGGAGATATGATTTAACATGGAATTTTTCATACTCAAGGAAGCAGAAGACATTGACACTATCCACACAGAGCGACTAATCAAAATTACCATATGTATTCTTAGGCTACAGAACAGCTTGATTTACTCATGGATTCAGGCTTATCCTGTCATGGGTAGAATCCTTCCTCCCTATAATAAGGATTTTTTTGGAAGCACCCAACCAGAAAATGCAGTGAAAATGCCTGCAGAAACCCCATGGAAATACAACATAAAACATTTCAAAACCAAAAATAAAACAGCATCTCAATTAAAATGTGTAATTTCTACACATAAAGGAAATTTGTGGAAAAACATTTCATTTGTACCCATTGGCTGAAAGTGGGAGCTGCATGGTGAAGTGAGAACACTAAATTCTGCTGCAACCCTTAAATGCTGATGCATTTTAAGAGACAAAAGCCCTTCAGCATTATACTTAAGCATGATTTTTACTCCTTATCATCCTGATTCCTAAAGAGAACGAGGATTTCAGAGTGAAGGAAAAGCAGGGAGGGCCAGTTTTACCCATTCAATCTGCCTTTCTCCTCAGGAAGGCTGAGGGTGACCCTTCCACAGCTCAGGCCAGAGCAGAAAGCCACGAGGGCACTCACATGCTTAAATTAAAAATGCAGCAATTCCTGCTTGTGATGTATTTTGCCACTGAAGGCTCAGAGTTATTTAAAAACCGCAACTCCTCAGCCACTCACCAAAATAAATACAGGCTCTGGCTCCAAGCCAGAACAATAAATATGTCCTGGATTTCTGTTTCTACTGGAAGATTGAGGAACATATGGAGAGCCAGACAATAGTTTTATTATTTTTCTGTTAAGCCGCGAATGCTTTTGTTTACGCGTTTCTGATGGATACACACTGTGGAGTTAGCACCAAAAAAAAAAATAAAATTTGCTGGAAGAGCCAAAGAGTGGCAAGAAAAACACACAGCTAATGAGGCACCAGAAGCAGAAGGCACTTCCCTGCCCACCTCTCTCCAGGCAAGAGGGGTTGATATTTCCTAAGGCTAAACCTGAGACTCAAAGCCTTGTCTCATCTCATTTGACTTTAAATGCAGAACCAAATTAGCAGCACGGTGACCCCAGGCTCTTTCTGTAGTAAACATGGAATGACACCTCAGGGTGTGATTCAGATCTCAACTTCATTAAATTGCTTGCTTGAGATGCCTTGATGGTGAGGAGTTTAAGTTGACTGTTCTCACTCCTTTCTGGGCGTGCACTGACAGCTCAGACATGGCCACTTTAAGGGCTAAAACAAACATCAGGCACAGCAAGGATCACGTGCGGGCCCAAAGGGAGTAGATTTTGAACAGAGCACTGTGAAATTTTGGATAAACACATTTAGGGAAGAGGGGGGACCTGGAAACAAAGCAGGAGGGAGCTGACCTGGGAGACAGAGTGTGGCTGTCACTGGGAAGCGTGGGGGTGTAAGATACGGCCATTTACCCAGGGACTACAAGAGTGTGCTGCTTAATTTTGAATGAAACATTAAATTATAATAAACATTAAACCTCCACCACAATTTATCATTATGTCCTAGGCAAGCTGGTTGGAAAAGTTTTTGTGATTAAGCTGGCAAAGGTAATTACTGAAGGGAAGAGTGAAACGTCTTGTTGCTACATGGCTCACTCAAGTCCCAGTCCCCGCTTCATTTATCACCAGTCCCTGTGGGGAAGAGCTCAGGAGGGGCTGTGGCTCCAGCTCCTCCTGGATGGCCACAGAAGCAGCAGTGTGGGAGGAATGGCTGAGGGGGAGCTCACAGCAGATTATCCCCATGTGTCTGATTTTCTGGGCAGCCAATGAGCACTCCTTGTATATATTATAGGTATTTTCAAGGTGTGCATTTGCTACTCTTGATGTCCCATACATTAGAAGGGCTCAATTAGCTCACTTGAAGACAGAGACTACACAATTAAGAAAGACTTAAAGCTCAGTCTCTTTTTCCAAGCGCACAAGATTCAGAAGACTTTTGAAAAAGTTTCCCTTTTATTCCCCATTTGCGCTGTTTTTTAAATGCACAGACTGAGTTAAAACCTGAGGTTTTGTTTGCTTAGGATTTGGGTTTAGTAGCTTTTTCTCTCAGATTGACAAGGACAATCAGCAGCAGCACAAGGGAAATGGGCACTTTCTGTTCAGACAGAGATTGAGTAGCGTGAGCTGCTGCCTCCATCCAGGACACCCCATCCACAAATATCACAAATATTGGGTTTGTCTTTACCCAAACGTGTCCACACTGAGCAGAAACAGATGGTGCTCACAGATTTAAACCCCTCAAGGCTGACAGAACAAGTGCCTAAGAAACACACCTGGACAGAAATGAATATTTAAAGCTACAAAGGCATTTCAGCACAGGAGTGTACCTCTCTCATTGCAGTATGCAAAAGCAGAGATTAAAAAGTAGTAATTTCTACTTGAGCATGCACTTACACTTTGTCTCCTTCTTATTTGCTACCACATACCCTGTGGAAGGGATGATAAATGAGACCTGTACCGCCATCATGAATATTCATGTTCCCCAAAGAGATCATTGCTTCTATTTTTCCTTTAAGAGGATTACTTTTCCTTGCTTCCAACACCCAAGAAATTATTGCAGAGCATTCTAATTTCAACCCCTTCTCAGGGTGAGGAGGACCTCAGACTAGGACAGGTCAGCACCAAGAAAGTGGATGAGGTTTAGAGCAAGAACACCCAGAGCACTGAACAGACCTTGACCAGACATGCAAAGTGTAATTCCATCATTAACTTTCTTTTGTTCACTGAAGCCCCAACAGGAAATATATGAAAGTTTTTCAATACAGAATATCTTAAAACCTCATTTTTCTAATGCTGAAGAGTTGCATGGAGGCAAGTTTCCATAACTTATATTATGTGATAGCAAAATATGTGCATGGACACTTTAAAATCTGTAATTGATAGATAACCCCAGGGTTAATGGCATTGCCACCAAGGTGACCTGAGGGAACTCTGACAAAGCAATTAAAGTAGTGCATTTGCAAGAAAAGAACATGAAGTCATTGTGACAATCTGGGAGAGAAATATTAGCCAGTTGCAGATGATACATGCTCAAAACAGAAACCCTAATGTTTTGAGTCAGCTCATCACTGCCAGAGGGCAGCTGAAAAATTCACTCAGCAAACACACAGAATGTTTTATAAAATTAGGTAAAAGCAGACTATTTGCAAAGAAAAATAAACCAGACACGGTTTGGAGAGACTTCTGAGAAAAATGGTCCAACAGCAGGTAATTAGAGAGACTGTGACTGAAGAGGGGATTACTAAAAAGGCACAGGAGATTAAACAAGTTTTCTTGTCAGTCTCTGAAAAGCCCTGCTCCTATTTTCTAATGGACTCCCTCAGTCAGGTCCAGCAGGCAGGGGCTGCTCAGGAGCAGCTGGTTCATCTGCCAGGGCTGATAACAGCACAGGGCTGAGGCAGGAAGGGAATGCAGTACTCAGCCCTGATGGCTCTGCTCCGAAAAGTTTATCATGGTTTAAATTAACAAACGTGGCAACTGTTGCTCAGGACTTTGCAGTTTCTCTTGCAAAAGAATCCTCTCCAATTCCTGCAAGGCAGCCCTGAGTTTTGAGGCTCTCTGTCTCTCATAGGTCTGTAACACGGGGAATTTTTGGAATTAAAGGGTTGCTGAGTTCCAGGGTGCACAGATTTATTTCCCATTTCAATCTGCTCAGATCTGGAGATGACTTGGGAAAGAGGTTTGAATTTTATGCTTTCTTTCTGCTCAGAACACCTACATTCCTGCTATACCTTCAATGACAAACAGACACAATGGCTTTTATTTCCAAATGCATTTCTGGGAGATATTTCTCCTTTGAGTATCAAGTGCACTCAGACTCAGCAGTGAACCTTGAGTCTTGGATGACATCTCAATAGAGAGCTTGGAAAAATAAATAGAAGCCTTCTTTCCAGCGAGGAAGGAATAATATATTTTCAGGTTTGACATTCCTTCTGCTTTCTCTCCCTGGAGAAAGGAGAAGAGATGGGCAATTGGAACCAAGGGATGTGGGATCTGTATCAAGTTACATTTGTAATTGGACATCCTTTTTATCACTTACCCTGCATTTGTCACACCAATTTTAATTTTAGCAATAATTTTTATAGGATGTATTGGGAAGAAATTGGAAGAAGTGGCAATTATAAATAGTCCAGTAAAAAGGGTATCCAAATTCATGGATAGATGGCTGACAAAGGCAATACTCTGCATTCCTGGCAACCCACTGGGGTTTTTTATAAGTGGTTAGCTCCCCTCTCCTGCTTTTGAAGAAGACAGAACAATAATAGCTTTTTCTCTGATGAAAGGGAACAGAAAGGAGATGAACTTGCTGCCAGGAATAAATTGCCTATTTTTGTATTACATTGTCCTTCCCATATATTTTGCATAGAAAAAGAGCCTAAAAGATTTTACTATATGTTGTGACATAACAGAGGCTTGTAGAGGGCTTTGATTTTCCAACAATGCAGCATTACCATACTTTGCAGTCACATTCATACAACAAAGAGATCCTCTAGCTCGGGCTGCAGACAGGCTGATATTGAGCAGTGGGTATCATCAGGCACAGATAGTGGTAATTCCGCATATTTTATACATCCTGAGAATCCTCAGGATACTTTGAGCTGGAATCAGCACAGTTTCCCATCAGGTGAGTGATACATGGTGATAACTCAGCTTTTGCAGCTTTAGAAACAAGCCTTTTTTCCTCTGTATGTATTTCAGGCTAGTGTTTACAGGACTATAAAGTAAGCTAAATGAAGCTGGGATGTTTCATAACATGCAATTACTTTCAGGATCAAACTCTGTGACTTGCAGGGATGCAAGAGAAGCGGGGGGCTCATCACCAAATGTTTCTGATATGCAGCCGAGAAATTCTACCAGGAGAAAAACAAAGTCAGTGTAAAATTAAAATCTATCTCTTGCAGAATAGAAACATCACTCGCAAATGTTTTACCTCATGCAAATCAAATCAAGTGATGTACATGGAGAATAAACACATTTAGAGAGAAGACAAATGAATGAATAGAGTATCTTGACTAGCAATTAGTTTCTGTGCCCAAGTACCATCAGTGCAAAATTGATGAGCAAGGTAACCTTTGGCTGCACTTTAGCAAGTTCTTCATTAGTTTTCTGGCTTTCCTTTGCAAATATTTTATTTCTTCTTTCATGCTGAGGGAGATGATCCATCCTGTCTGCAGCACCAATGTCTCTGTGCCGTGCTATCCACACAGTTTCTTCCAGCAAGGAGCACAACCTTTGTACCTGACCCAGCCTGACTTCCAGCAAGGGCAGGCAAAGGAAGAGAGAGTTTTCTTTCCTTCTTTTCAGAGATTTGGGAACTGGAACACTCAGAGATTAAATAGCTGAATCAGTTTGAACAGAAATCAGTAACAAAATTATTTGTGCCTTTGATAATTCCTCTTGATGGGCACAGAGGTGGAGAAAGAAGATGCTGGTTCCTGGAGGGGGAAAAGGTGAGGAGAGATTTGGAGTTGTCAGGCAAGGCTGTGTGGGACACAGTTATCCATTGGTGGCTGCTCCAGTCTGTAACTGGTTGAGAGGCCTCCTTTGAACATTTGTCTGCCATTAGTGCTACTCAAGGCACTGAAGTGTAAGTGCTCATCGATGGGAATGTGCATGCCCTGTTTGTTAATGCTCTGCAAGGGGGAATTATCCAGGAGAACAGGGAATGTTACAGATCTGTCATTCCTATACAAGCGGGAATTTAATTTAAGCTTTACTTCAGACATTTCCTTTCCACATATTTTCTTCTTCATTTCACTCCTGTTGTATCGTGTATCTCTCTTCCTCGCAGATCTGTGCTGCTGAGCCAAACGATAATGATGAAAGCTGCAAGGAAACGCAATGTTTTCTGGCAGTATTGCACTACCTGCAGCCCTGCTTTGAAATGAAATGTCACAATTCAAGGTATTATTGAGTGACTTATCAGTTACTTGACTCCTCTGAAAGAGTGGGTCTGATAGATTCCTTTAATTCCTCCAGGAAAAACAGGAGATGGGCAATCAGCAGCAGAACATCAAAGGAAGTAGAGAGGCAGGATTTAGAGGCAGTCCCAGTGCATGGAGAGCCAGCCAGCACAGCTGGAACAGCTGGGGTGCCTCAGCAGGGCACACAGGATGAGCCTCTCCCAGCCAACTTCTAACCCAGATTTTGTGGACCACAAAAGAAGCTCCTCAGTGGTCAGTAGGGAACTGCAAGTAAATCCAATTCCTGTGCTGTGCTGGGCAGCTTTTGCTATTCAGCATTACGAGTCTGTCCTGCTACTGAAGTGTTTAGCACATATTTATCGCTTTGTTTCAAAGTCCAAGCTTTAACATTCTTTTCAGTCCTTACTCTGCCCTCCATTGAAAAACCGCCTCAGAGAAGAGCGAGCGTGGTTATGTAGCTGAAATATATTCTGAATTGTCTTCTGCTCTTGGATTCCAACCAGCAGTAAAATGCACTGCGGGAGGAGAGCTGAGGAGTGCTTAATTAGAAAAAGAATGTATGACCGCTCTTGGAAAATGGGCATCTGATGGAGCCTTGGCACTGTCAGAATGATGCTGTATCAAACAGCCCTCTGCACAGCAAATCTCAGAGGTGAACTCATTACACTGCCAACCACACAATTGCCATCTTCTCAGAGACATCAGGCATGACCAGCAGAAACAGATGCAATTTTAGTTGAATTAAAGCGTGCGTACTACTCGAGCAAATAAATAAATAAATAACTGTACATAAAACATTACCTTCTTTTTTTTTTCATTTGATCTGCTCTACACATGTACCAAACCCACAGCTGTTGCTTTTACTGATAAAAATAAAATGGAAGTGCACTTCACCCCAGTGGAATGACAGAAATAGAAAATATGGAACCATGTAATGACATTTTTATAATCCTTTTCCAGAGCAGAATGGCACTTTAAACATTTTTTTGTTTTTAAAGATCCATAGGAATAAAGAAAGTGATACATAAAAATATTTTTTTTCCTGAAAAATGATGTATAAAGAGAATGCAAGAGTAAGCAATGCCCATCCAGGGAGCAGCTATTCTGATAAATGTTGAACAGAGAAAAACTACTAAAAGGAAGAAAACATTTTCTTGTTTTCAAACTTTAGCATCACAGCACAGCACTTGGGCTTTATGGGGAAGCCCTATAGCATGGGGTGAGAGAAGGATCCAGGTTTAAATTAATTTCCCTTAAAAAAAAACCCCACACCAAAAAATCAGAACTGCTGACTCTCCATAACACCTGGAGTGAAATGTTAGAAAAACACCTGAGGGTGTCTGAAAGGCAGTGTAGGGAGTATTTAAGCTGGAGCACTCACATCACTTCCAGCCGCGCTGCCCTGGAGTTGTTCCCTCCGGAAGAAATGACCTCACAGGTGTAATCCCCGATGTCCCCCGACCACGTCTGGCTGATCAGGAGGGTCCCATCCTTCTCCACTGTGATCCTGGAACTGCTGGATGGGTTTATTACAGCACTGTCCTTCTTCCAAAGGTACCTGAGTGTTGCAATACCTCAGTTATTGATCACTCGTAAGAACACCAGAACAGATTTATTTGAACTTTGCTGGAAGGGATCAGCTCCTGTCATCACGTGTTAAAAATGACAGGCCCCTGCAGCTACTTTCAAGAGCAGTGGTTTTTACAAATTTAAGTTTTAGGTCAAGCGATCAGAATGAAAAATGGAATTCCATCTGAGATATTATGTATTTTACAAGGAATAGATGAAGCACTCATACACATCCAAGTTCTTAAGTTCACCCCCATCAGAACATTAACTCTGCAGTTAATGGTGGGTGCTGGCCAGCTCAGTAACATTGGACTGCCAGCATCAGAAACTTGTTGAAGGTTTGCAAGAGCTCACATATCAAAAACCCCTCCCAACACATCACAGAGGTGTGGAGAGCCACAGACACAATTCCCTCTAACTGAAATTTTTATACCCGTATATCTCTTTCCAAAGTTCCTTCTGCAGCTCACCCTTCAAGCACTCTCCAAGCTCTTCCTTGCATTTTATTTCATTTATGTTGCTTTCAGACTACATTAATTTTTATGGCAAATTTATTTTCAAGTTTTGAGTTTTGCCTAAATGCTCTAATGCAAATTTTAATAGTCCAGACAAATTCTGGTTTCCTTTACATGGTTAGAACAGACTATAAGCCCAAGTTATTGAGTTGTTTCCACAAACATGGGCATCTCTGGTGTGGCTTTTATGCACCCCAGAGTAAACACTTCTGAAATCCTATTCCTTCTCTTTGGCTTTTACTCTCATTAAGTATCAGCCTCTGACAAGTTGGTTTTATTGATAGTGTATTAACCTTGACAGTAAAATCATGGAAGGCTATATTGAAGTCATGAAGTGGAACATAGCTCATTGTAAATAATACATAAGGCTGAAATGGAAGATGGGATTTATATGATTAATGATATAGTGTACAACCTTATAATGCAGTAATCAGGGGTTTGGTGTGAAAATCTGGGGTCCAGAAACTTTTCACCTAGTGCTATCCATACAGCTTATAAAATTAAACTGGGATAAACCACACAAAGGAGAAGTGCCAGCACCAACCTGATTGAGATTCTGGGGTCGTGCGTGGCCTCGCAGCGCAGGGTGGCCGTGGTTCCTTTGATCACCGTGCTGTCCTCGGGAGGGCGGACGATGGAAGTGCGATCTGAAAGGAGCACAGCTCAGGTGAAATCAGAGCCTTTAGCCTCGGCTATTCACTCCGAGAGCAGCCACCGAGCCTTTGTCATTCAAAGCAAGAGGGACACTGCTCTTCAGCCCTCTGCTGTGAAGGTTCCCCTCCCTCTACAGACATTGTGACACGATGTGGGTACAGCATCTCAGGGCATGAGTTCAGCCCGGTGGAGAACAATGGTAAAAGTCTCCAAACTCTCCCTTGGCTTGTGCAAGTGTCTGTGGCAGCTCCCTAAAATATCAATGAGTGCGTGGCAGCAAACACTGAGTCAGGAAACGAGCCATGCTCAAAAACACAAACAAGACCCAAGGAAAATCTGCACAAAGGAAAATGCACTTGTAAAGTATTGAGAAAGAGGTAAATTTAAACCTACAACCTCATCAACTCCAGGGCAGTGGAGGAGCTCCTGGAAGAAAAATCTTCCATATCAGAAAGATGTTGTTTACTCAAATGTTTCAGAACATTCTTACTCAAGCCCCTCCTACAGGCTCAGAACACAATAATTGCTGTAACTACAGCAACCAGATCCGGTGTGAAAGATCCCCATTATTTGTCACACACAGGAGGAGCAGCAGAGAGCATCAGCTGAGGCAGGGAGACAACCAGGATGAGCTTGGAAGATATGTGGATAATGTTAACAAGTCCCAAGTCCCTACAGAGATAATCAGCATCTACTGAGATATCTCATACATGCACAAGGAGGGACCATCAGCAAGATCAAAAGCTGACTCTAAATAGCATGGAATTTTTAGCATTACTCCTGATGCACATATGTAAGACTTCTGGCTTTATAATGATGCTGTTGCTACACAAAAATCAGGTTATATTCACTTTTCTTCCCCTCATGCAGTACAGGAATGAACAGGAACTATCTTTAATACCTGTAAGAACCATGGCTTTGAGAATTAATAGGAAAGATCTCCTTTAATTGATCCATACACCTGGATATCATTCAGTTTACAGCATCCTGAAATTCCTACCACCTAGATATTGTCAATAAGACATAAACACGATGGCCACATGACACAAAAACATTACAGTTACTGCCAGGAATGTTTTCAGGTATTCCTAATTTCAAAAGGAAAAATGTGGCTGATTTAGCTTGCAGAGTTTGGGGATTAATAAATGCCAAATATGCACCACACATCAGCAGCACAATCAGTACTTCAAGTGCTGGAGAGCAGAGAAACCACAACATTTCTTTATTAATCCTCATCATCTTCATTATTTTCAGTTGCTCTTAGTCCCTGCTCAGGGATCATTATTTTGTACCTTGAGTAGTAAAAACCATGTTATACTTCAATTGAACTCACTTAGGAGTTACACAGGTGAACCTCTCGCATCAGACTCACTTCCTCAACAGAAGAAATATAAATATACAGAGATCAAGGGAAAAAGGTGAATAACAAAATAATTTCATAGGATGCCCTGTCCCACACCAGTCTGTAGTGTGAGGGATTAGGTGAAATCTGCTGCACTTTGATTTGGCTTCCAACAGCACCCAGAGCCACAAAAAGTACAAAAGTGTGAGGAAAATCCTATCTGTTTTGACTGTGGCCACTGCCTCAGTACCAGCACAGACTGCTCTGTGCTACCTGCAGACTCCTGGAGGCAGAAACCACCTGAAACCAGCCAAATCTACGAGTTAAAAGCTCAGACTTGCAATGCGAGACACCAAAGCAAAACCTGACTAAAACTGTAATTGTGATTGAAGCTCTATTTAAATACACTTCCTTTCACAAAATAGAGATTTATAGGCATAATTCTCCAAACAAAAAGGGTATTTGTGATAGGCTTCCTAAAATAGACACATTATTCCTATTAAATCATACAAGTAACGCTATTAACGAGAAAAGCATAATTACTAATGAAAATTTCCTGAGCCTACAACAAAAACTGATTAATACTTGATTAAAGTTAGACTTTAAACAAAGCATTATCCTTACTCCACACTGTCAGCATCACAAAAGCATTCAGAGCTCCTTCAGAGTTGGCTGCACAGCAAGTGTAATTGCCAGCATCCTGCAGGAACACGGGCGTTATCTGGAGCCCTCCAGACTCGAGGAGAACGAAGCGAGGAATCTGCACTGAGCCACTGGCTAAGATCTGCTCTCCTGAAACACACGGGGAGCAGCATGGTTAGTGTCAGGCAGATCAGGGATCTGCAATTCCAGCTCTCCCAAAATGTTACATCCTGTCCAGGCCAGCGGCCCATGATGAACCCGCTGCTCACGGGACCAGGGGAAGGGAGAGAGAGGCACTGAATGGATCTACAGGATCTCAGTAACAGGAATGGACAGGAAAATGTGGGTTACAGCTCTTCTACCTGTTAATAACTGGCTACCTTTCTTCCAGGAGATGGCAGGTCGTGGAGCCCCTGAAACCTCACAGGTCAGAACTGCAGTCATCCCCTCAGTGACCGTGGTGTCCTCTGGGGGCTGGATAAAGGTTGGCTTGATGTCTGGAATAAAAAATTCAAACAAACTCAATGCCTCACCTCTCAGAAAGATCCTTTAACTGTTACCGTGGATTACTTTACATCCACTTTTATAGAGCTGATCATGGACAAGGACATGACAATAAGACATGAAAACCTTTCAGCAGTGACTGTAACCTTTTCTTATTCATCTCCCAGGAATTGCCTAATCCTGTTTATTACCTACACAGAAAATAAAAATCTATCAGTGCTTGTACCTGTACAAGTAAGATAAGTTAAAGAAAAAGGAAGATAAAGCTCAAAATGAGTGTTTGGGGGGAACTTGAGAAATCTAGATAAACAAAACTATTTTCCTTCATCTTCATAACAGAATTCTTTAAGATGAAAAGCAACTTGAGAGAGGCATTAACTTTGAAACTTAAATGTCAGCCAAAAGAATTTAGAACCTGAGCCTTATCCAAGACATTTTCTAAGTTTCTTTCTCTCTTATTTTCCCCCAGTTGCATTTTATTGCAGTTTTTTCCCTGCAGTTTCCTAGATCTATATTGAACTGGGGCTGATTTATTTTCGTAGGCCAGTAGGAATTCTGGTCAGTATGTGCAAAGTGCTCCTGGGCTAAAAATCAGCTTCCTGAAGGGAAGTTTAATATTACAGAAATGACTGTTAATAATCACTGTTAAAAGACTACTAGGATTTGTAATTCTTCCATAGAGAAGCATGCACTTCATTAACAAAACCATTTAATCTGACTTTTTTGGCCAAAAAAGACTTTTAACTTGAACTTTCTTTCTTTCCCCTGACCAAATGCAGTTGCAGACAAAGGCAAATAAAATGATAGCATGCACAATCATGAAGCAGTAGCTCAAGTTCAGAATGGAATTACATTAGAGTGGAAATTGGAAGGAAACGAAGGAAAGATAAATGCATTTCACGATTAATTTTTTTCTTTTCACTAAGATCTCTTTTTGCCATGTGAAATAGGGGAGTTCACCTCAAGCCAAGCTCTCCTGATGTCATGGAGAGATTTCCAGATGATTCAGCACATTGTGCTGTGCACAGGGGCACTTTGGGGTTCCTTACAGCTGGAGCATCTACGCTTGACAGGAATTCAGAGTTCCGCGGGTTGAACTAAGGCAGCTCTGAGAAATGTGGTGGCTGTGGGGTCACCTACAGGAATGACCCCCCTGCACCCTGTGCCAGCAGTCCCCACTCACTGGTGACATCCAGGTAGGTGTAGGTGTGGATCTCCCCAGCCTGGTTGCTGGCGAAGCACTGGAAGATGCCGGCGTCCTGCGGCCGCAGCGCGTGGATGCGCAGCCCCCCGCTCAGCAGCACCTTGTACCGCGGGTTCTCCAGCCTGCTCAGGGGCACCGAGTCCTTGTACCACACCAGGGTGGGGATGGGCACACCTGTCAAGCAAAAACAAATCACTGTTAGCCTCTGCAGAGCGTGTTTTAGGCCGTATCCTTGTTTTCCTGTCTTTCTATGCCAATTATTTGTATTTTTTCCAGGCTGCTTTAGATAAGTGGAGGCTGCATCGCACATTATCAATGGTTGTAACACATTGCACGACATGAGGGAATAAAACCAGCAAATACTAAGGGGGAATGTTGAGAAAACATGTTATCAAATTACTTTCTTCACCCAATCATATTTCATGCTCCTACAAAATAAGATTTGGAGCAATTTCACGTTGAAAGCCAGAATCATGCTCCTTAAACAGCAGCAGTGTGGCAACACAGCCAGTCTGTAAGACTGTTCCATCCCAAATAAGATTCCTCTGTGCTTCTGTAGCTAAGATAGCTGGAATACAAAGGAAATGGCAAATTAAACATGAAAACTGAAGTGCTCACATGGCTGTACTTGAGTCCCAATTTAGCAGCATAGTTTAAGCCAGTGTACAAACAACATATTGTCAACAATAGGATGGCTTTAAATTACTATTATTTTTATTCAGGCTCAAGCTTCACCTGCTATTTGAAAAAAAGCAGGCATAAAGAGAAATAAAATTCCTAGCTAGATAAAAGTTACAGTCCCATTTATTCCTGTTTTCTTTCATGTGCATGTTCTACAAACCCTGACACAGTTATTTCACACATATTTTTGTTGCTGTCATGTCCCCGTCACCTGGGATGAAGTGGCTGTAAATTTATTATACACAAATAGTGTAGGATTCACTTTTCTTCAAGAGATGTCAGGGGCCTAGAAGAGTCTTAGACAGCTGTTCCCATCCTGCTGCTCATATCAGACAGCATTTTATGTTTACATCCCAGAAATCCCCACTCGCTCAAATGCTGGGGATTTGGTGCAGAGATCAGAAGTGAGGCAGGTATTTTATTACATAATTAGTTAATCACTGAATAATTAAGATTAGAAAAGACCTCCAAGATCACCACCTCCCTGAGCACCTCTTTCCAATACCTGACAGCCCTTCCTGTGAATAAATGCTTCCTGATGTCCAGCTGACGCTTCCCTGGCACAGTTTAACACCATTTCCTCTCATCCTGCCCACTGCTCCCAGGACAGCCCGACCCCCATCTTGCTACAGGAGGGGAATTGTGCAGAGCCAGAAGGTCCCTCCTGCTCCTCCTTTCCTCCAGCCTGAGCTCCCTCAGCTTTCTCAGCCTCTCCTTATAGGATTTACACTCCAGACCTTTCTGCTCCTTCCCCTGGACATGCTCCAGCCCCTCAATGTCCTTCCAGAACTGGGCACAGCACTTGGGGTGTTTTTGAACACTTTTCACTTAAAACCTCAGGCCAACACAATTTCTTGTAATAAGATAAGAGACTGCAAACTTAAATTCATGGGTGGGTGAAATTTGCCCAAATAGAGAAGTGGTGTCACTGAAGCATGGAGGATGGGATGTCACTGATGAACTGAGCATCTGCAGACAATGAATTTCACTGCAATGCTGGCAGCCACTTGATGTTCCGAGAGCTAAAGTGCCATGGGAAGATCTATATAATCATCATTATCATTTTTAAACTCCCAAAGTTAAATACTACTGTGTTCTGCTTCCATTCACATCTTCTCTGAGTGTACTTATTCTCTTTATACAGACAAAACTGTATTAACTCTGGAAGGAATGTACAAACAATGTATGGAAATGACTGAAAAACAACATCCAATTGCTGTTGTTACTTTTATAAACACGTATCATTTACTTCAATCACCTCTGATGCTTTTGTTCTGCTGATAAAATAAAATGTACTCATGATGCAGATAATCATCTCAGGAAGAAACCCACTATGTAGAAGTGCATTGTCTGATAGAGAATAGACGTGATGTAGGAGCTGGCAATAGGCATAATTTAAATTTCATACAACAGCCCATATACAGAATTAGCGTAAATTTCAATGTTCACAATTCTCGGTGAGAGTGTTATTCATCTCTTGAAAATCCTCCTGGGCAAATACAAATTATCACTGAGTAATGAAGAAACAGATGATGCAAAATGGAATAGTTCTCCTGATGCTGAGAAGCTCGGAAATGATTTCAAGTTTAAATAATAGCAACTCCATTTTCCCACACATTAGACTTGATAGGCACCAAGGAAATAATGAAATCCTGCATTCAGAACACTGAAACCTTTAACACTGGTGTCATTCCATAAATCCCATTCTACTAACAGTATTGGCAAACCTTCTAATCCTATAATCACTGTGAGATACACCTTCCTATCACCAACTCAGCTGACAAACTGAATATTACCATCTCTATTTCTCTACTTTTCAGTTACGGGTATCTTCCTCCACTCAAAGTTATGAGTCTGAATAATAGGATCTTATCTGAGCACTCTGATGCCTGTCAGCAGCATTCATCTGGGCTTTAGTGATCTTCCCAGAGAGATTTGTCTTCCAACTTGTACACACATCCTCGTCTAATTTTGCTACCTGTTTGGCTGTAAAAAATGGTTAAACCCAGCTTTTCTCATCTTCTACCCACCCCACAACCTTTCCTCCCCACACAAAGGAATTTTGTTCTTTTTCTTCTCTAAACATCTTCTGGTGAAAAAATTATGAAGAGAAGAAAACCCTTTAAAGACCTTTTGCACTCTACCTTTCCAAGCAGCATTGGCCTGATCCGGCTGCTCAGGAGGTGAGAGTGGCCTAAAAAACTGGCAGAAATAAATAAAATAACCTTATTTCTCAGTTGTGTGCAGCACTATTCATTTTTCACAGACAAATTAATCTAGTGTCAGGGGGGAGAAGGGAAGGCAGGAAACAGAGACGCTGGTTCTGGCTTTGCCACTTCTTCTGTAACCTTGGGCAAATAACTTATGGAACCTGAGGCTCAGCTCCTCCATCTGTGAAACAGCTGCTTGACTCTCTGCCAAATTTCACTTAAGAACCTCGATGAAAGACTCAGAATATTCACTGTGTCATCTTTGTTATTTATTTTTAACTGCCTCCTCTAGATCCCAGTGAGCTCCTGAGGAACCCCCAAAGCATCTCTTCCATCTCCTTCTCTAAACACGCAGAACTGAAGTCCAATTAACTGTGCTCCCCAGACAGCACCACCGCTGCCTGCAGCTCCAAACTTTCCACAAGCAAATCAGAAAGAGCATTTAAAGGAAACCCATTGAACATTCAGGCAGCATCAGCCACTGCTGGAAGATAAACAGCAGGGCCTGGTTCCTGTGGCCTGATACCCTGAAACTCCATTACAGGGAGCAGGGAGCTGCAAGCTGCAAGTTGCAATTTTATTTACAGTTAATCTCTGCTTATACTGTGAAATTAATCTGTCTCTCACACATCCATAGTGCACGAAGTCTTGGCAAATGGGCTTTGTGCACACAACCTGATGGGGCTAGGGGAAATACAATCTGTCTTCCATTTACAGCAAAGGTAGAGGGCAGCTCTGCAGTTTCCCCAGTGCTTTGTTCTCCCAGCTCGGAGCAGGAGGCAGCAATCTTCATTTACCCTCTTTTTAAGTGCTGGCAATTGCTAGATTTCTGTAATAATGGATCAAAATTCCCTCTATGTTTAATTCTAGTACCTGCTCCTTATATGTGTTACAGATACTCAACAAAATAATCCACAAGGAAGCAGGTTTTCATGCCCCTCACCACATTTATCATCAAATCAGATGTGCACAACAAGAGTTGAACATAAATAATTAATTTTGTCTAATAAGGGTTCCCATATCTCCAGTGAGAATGGTTATGAGTGTCCCATTAACCTCCTTGGGAACTAAATTGCTCAAAGAAAAAGTGAGGATAGAAGGAAGAAGGTCTCCCTGATTCCCCCAGGTTTTGGGTTGGTTTGTCTTTTTTTTTTTTTTTTTTTAATTCATGAAATCTATTTGAGACAGCAGATGGGTTCCTGGGGAACTCCACTGACAGCAGGTCCTGCTGTGTTTTGCTTAAAAAGCTATTAATGAACAAGAAGACATTGTCTCTTATCATCTGATAGCTTCATTTCCATAAGAGCTTTTTGTAAGAGATCTCATCACAGGCTTCTGAAATTCCAAACCAGCCACACACACACTTGCTTATCACACAGTTTGCAAAGACTCCTAGAAAAGCAGTGCTGACTCTTTCCCACATAAAACACAAGGAAAAATGCTTAAATCACAGTGGCAATAACACAATCATGCAGTAAAAATGTCTTTATTGGCTGTGATTTGGAGGAAGACACCACACAAATAAGCTGTTACATTAGGTCTGGGTGCTTTTTTAATCAAGGATGTGATCTTTCTCCCTAAGGACCTCATGGCTTTTTATGTGTGCTGCTTCTTAAACTCAGCACCAGGGAAAGTGAAACAACAAAATATTCAGTCCCTCGCCAGGGTCACATAGAAATTTGGTGACTTTGAGAAACCTGCTCTAAACATATAATGACAACATCTTCTACCTTACCAGAGTGCTGAAATAGGTGGGAATTGCATTTCTGTGGAACTTGAAACATTATTTTAGTCAGGTGGAACTCTAAACTTTTGAAGCCTTTTATATTATTAAACCACCTACCAATTAAAATCTGCCTGTAATAGTCCTGCAGATTTCATAACTACATTCAGATGTCAGAGTTACTGACATTTCTATTCACTATAAAAGCTCCCTAACTTTTAGAAGAAAGGGCATTGTGACTGTTGAAAATAAGAACTGTTTGCATTGCAAATGATGGGTTCCATAACCGTGCTGTCCCCTCAACCCATTTTCTGGCTCAAGATATTTAAATCTCTTCTCTAATGACTCAGAAGCACAGGCAGGATCCCAGAGCCACAGGAGCAGGACTTGTGCTCCCCACAGACAAACATCAACATGCCAGCATTATTCCAAATTAACCTTAATTACAGGAAATACCCAATTTTCCAAAGGGAAAGGCCAACCCTCTTTGTTGTATATGGGACCTGTGATAATCAGTAATAAAACAGAGACTTCTAAACATTAAAAACAAAGATGGTCTGTGTAAGATGATTTCTTCCAAACTGGACACACACATGCCATCAATCCAGGTTTGAACACTTTTGTGCACTCACCCATGGCCTGGCACAGGATGTCCACGTCCTTCTCCACCTCAGCCAAAATCACATTCTGGGGTTCAGCCGTGAAATACGGAGGTTCTTGGGGAAAGGAAACAAAAGTCAACAAGCAAAGCCACAGCAAAGTGAAAAACAGGCACTCATTAAAAAAATATTCATCACAGAATCTCTCCACAGGTGGTGCATCTGATGTAAGGGGTTACAAACAGATTTTTTTTTGTCTCTATTTGGAGGTGGGGTTTTTTTTGGTAGTAAAAGCACCATAAAATTAAGGTCTGACAATGTTTGCTATGCTGAACATGAATTTCAGAGTGGAGTCAATGGAAGGTAAAGATTTAGGGGTTTGCACTGCAAATTAATACCTGGAGCAGGGGCTACTTTTCATTTTATAGGACTGAATCATTGAACGTGTTAATTTTTTGCTTAGAAAGGCCCTCCCAAGAGGTTTATAAAGGTTTATATTTACAATGTACATTTTATAGGATAGTTTGCTTCAGTATCTAGACTGCATTTCACCTCAGCAAGGCATGAAGTATGTCAAATAAAGTGCCATGGCATGTCACAGAGTTGACATTAGAGGACAAGTGCAGCATAATTAAAAGAAATTCCTCTCAACTGTTTTATTTCGAGAAAGCAAACAGATTTAATGCCTTAATTGAAGTTATAGTAATAATCATAAAAATCCCCACTTTATCATTAGGGCTAAAGAAAAGATATTAGATGTTTAATTAAACAAAGACCAGACTGCAGAAATTGCAGAGTATGCTGGCATGTAACTCTTTCTTCTATGCAGCATAAAATTGAAGAGCATCATGTCAAAGTCCCAGAGGCACTAAGGTTGCAGTCATTATCATGGTAACTAAAGACTGTCATAGTTTGTTCAATGCAATTATCATCTGAGTACTGGTTTTGGAAGGATTTTACTTGATTATAAATGCAGTTCTTCTGCAGCATAACGAAACTTACTGCTAAGTTTTAGGAAATACAGAAAGGCAATGTAAGTAGCTTGTGAAACTGAGTTATTTGTATTTCTGTTTTAGGAAATTGAGTATGTTTTAAAATACATAAGAAGCTGCAAGATCCAAGGTCATTTGAGCTGACCTGCTCTCAAATCTCTTCACCAAACATGACTGGAAAAACGAAGTTATGTTATTGCTAGGGCATCACATTTTAGCAAATAAAATGAAAACCATATAAATTTATCCTGCAAAATCTTGTTGCTACCTGCAGTATGGCAAACGTGGCTGTCACACTGTGGGGTGACATCAGGAGGCACCAGGTTAGAACAGAACCTCCCCTTTCCCAGCAGATCTTCCCTCTCACTACAATAAAATACTTGCTTGGGTGTACAGAACTGGGGTCTTGTCTGAGCACCAATGGATATTACAATTCTGTATTCATTCCAAATAAAGCCAATCAATATTAGTCTTCAGCATGCCATGCAGGGGAGGAGGGGAGGTTGCAAACAGCTTGGAATAGTTGTTTACCCAGCAAAACCAATAAAAACAAGCAACCTGATTTATTATATTCTAATAATATACATGTGTTAACATTATTGATCCTCACTGCCTAAATATAAAGCTATTAATAAACATGCATAATAAGCTGTGATTTATTGCATATGATCTCATGCGTTAATCTCAACAACAAATTGAGAAGCTGAACATTTAATTGAAATTCACTGATGGCACACACTTTGACATGTTTGATCAGCTAAGTTGCTGAGTCCTCTGCAATTCATCTAAGTCCATGTTTTCACTCTGAGCACTCTCCTTCCTCTCACACCATCCTCCAAGCCCTGCCTGGTGTTTTCCTTGTGCTCCATTTCTCTGGATGTTACTTTTGAATTTCCAAACCTTCAGCCCAGTGTCCTTATCTGTGCTCTGTGTCCACATGTCCATCTCTCAAAATAAAATTTGAATCTTTCATTCTAGGGCAATTTGATGCAATTGTGGGGTGAGGACAAAGCAACACTGGGCCAGGAAGGCATCTAGACACATATCCACAAATCCAGACATTTCCTTCTAAGTCTGGGCTTCTTCTGTGAATGTCTCTCCAGTTATTGAAGTTTATAATTTGCTTAGGGAGGTCCTGACTGCACCTTTCCTTTTATAAAGGATTCTGCCCTTAACAGGCCAATCTCTAAACTTGGCAACCTTCAGCCACCAGCTCTCAAACTTTCTCCTGGATCAGCAACATACTCACACACCAGTGATAAATTTGCAGATTTATCTTCACTGTGGGCCTGCAGTCCAGCTGCAAAGAACTTGATGTGACCTCAAAGACACTGGTGGTTCCATGACCTCTGTTTATGTGCGGCTGCACAGCTCCTGCAGTTCCACCTGGCATATTTACACTGCTGTCTTTCCCAGTGTCCCTCCCAAAATCCCAACCTGCAACCTGTGCTCCTTCCTTTAAATCCCACACAGGCTGTTTGACACCCTTTGTGACATTTAGGGATGCTTGGGGGAGCAGGTATCAAGCACTGAATTATGTGACAAAGAGCCTGAAGTCAGTGACAACTGTCACTTAGCAAACAGGATGTGATGGTATAAAAAGAAGACTCACATCAGTTTTTCTGAGAGAAGCAGCGAGAAACAGAAGCAGACAAGACAGAAAAAGATCAGGAGCAGCAGAAAGATGCAATCTAAAGGCCACAGGCAGATCCCAGAGGACTTTTGGTGCCAAGAGATTTGATTTCTAGTCTTGAAGCCCAGACTCACCTTTTCCCCCAGACTAAAGGCTGCTGAACTCTGTTCACAGCAGCTGGAGGCATTGCCAAATGCTGCACCTGACACAGACACAGCAGCTGCCCACAGACAAGTCAGATCCCATTCTTGAAAGATAAGCACTGATACAGAAAAACTTCCATGAGCAACTCTGCAGTTTATGGCCTGTACTGACAAAAACTGACAAGCCTGGGTGGGATGACAAGGCTGATTGATAAGGGATTTCTGATTGATAAGGAATTTCTGGAAGATCCAGAATAGCACATGGGCACCAGAGCTGTGGTAAAGTCTAACATACCTGGAAAATCAGCCTTGCAAGGAATGAGGGAATTCCAGGAATATTGGTGTAGGGATAAACTAAGGGGTTTTGAAGCAAATAAGAGTGATTTCACACAGCACCTCATCATGGCTGGGGTTGGAAATGACCCCTGGAAATTACCCAGACCAGTCCCCCTGCTAAAGCTGGTTCATCCAGGGCAGGCTGCAGGTGTGTTTTTACCACCTCCAGAGAATGACACTCCACAACCTCTCTGAGAAGCCTCATCCAGTGCTCTGTCACCCTCCAAGTAAAGAAATCTGAGTTTTCCATGCAGCTTTTCCACACCCTTGTGCCATTCACCAGCAGCACGGATGCTCTAAAGGTCCTGTGGAGTCAACAGAGCTCAGGCTGTGGAGTAAACAGCTCCATTTACAGGTGCTGAGCAACTGAAACCTCAGCTCCTCACTTTTCAGAGGTGTCAGATGTATCATCAGCATGTCAGGTTTTGTGCCCAAGGGCCTGAATGCCCAGCATTAACTGCAAGGGAGAAATTCAGAGTATCTGAATTTGGGTTGTACTGCACCTGGTGAATGACTGTCAGAAAGAGGCCATAAAAATGCAGCACTATTTATAGGGGTCAGATGGCATTCTGAGGGGGCATTCTGGGTGGCTGTATAGATGACTCCACTGCATATTTATAAGGCTTGGTTTGAATCACACTGTATGAATTTAACATTTATTGTTGTAGGCAATAATCATGTGTTGAAATTTAATATGTGTGGTGAAATTATAACGTCTTCCAAAGAATATAATGTGCTAGACACAAGTCCCCACACACTGCAATTTTTAGGAATAACAGTAATTTGCCAGTTTCAGGTCAAACATTTAAATTTTTTGGAAATTATAGAATCACAACAGTTAGAAGAGGACAGGAGCCATTACTCCAAGTTCACCCTGCTGGCATTGCGGTGTGTGGCAATGAGAGGGGTCACAGCTCACATTAGGCTGAAAGAAACAGATACTGCATTGTTCAAATATTGTATTGGTGTTTGACTGATCTTCACTAAAATGTCAAGTACAAGCAAGGGGGGAAAGAGTATTTGAATATAAATGGGTGTTTTTAATAGTTGTTGAGGGTTTTGGAGGTTTTTTTTCCACTCCAGACATCACTGGAAAGATGTGTCTCAGAAAAGCCCTTGGGAGCCTGCAAAATTTGATCCTGTTCTAACTTCCACCGTGCAGAGTTACATGGTCACTGATTTTAACATTCAAAAGATAGCAGTCAGCATCCATTACATACCCTTCAAGCTGCACTGGAGATGTGTGACCTAATCCTAGATACACACATGAAAGTCAGAAAGAACAGAGAAAGCCCCAGGGGCTCCTCCAAAGCTGAAATTCCTGAATCTCTCAGAAACTCAGGGCTGCATATTTAAAAGGAAAATTGAACCTTCAACATGGAAGCCTTCCTCCAGCATTACCATAAACTAATTTATTTGGTGAATATCTTCTAAAAGAAGAGGAACTGGAAGCCTGACAGCCCCTTGTAGGTATAAAGTCTGTAACTCCAGACAGAAGATCAGACTGGCCATGCTGGGAGAGAAGCCCCATTGTGGATGCAGGTACAGCAGGCTCCTTGGAGCAGGAAGTTTCTTTGCATGAATATCAGGTTAAAACAGCGAGAGATGAAAAGATCCATGTGGTTTCTTGCTACCCCTACTGTGAGCTGCAGTCTGTGTGTTCTGAAAAAACAGCCCAGGGAACACATGTCCTGTCTGCAGGGCTGAAAGGAGGAAGAACTTGTTGGGAATATCAGAGACAGAGCTGGGCTGCCCAGAAGTCCCACTGCTTCTAGGTCCTGTTGCATTTAGGCCCAAGGCAGAACGTCTGTGTTCATCTCAGAACCTCTGAGCCTTGACAAATCAAAAGCTGCAAATATTTCTTTCCTTTGAGCCCAAACTGTGATTAGGCAAGTCCAAAGACATTTCGTATTATAGTTTTCCTGAAAACTTATTATTTTCTTACACAGTAGATGAACACAGTCATCAGGATCTTCCCCTTAAGCACCACACATGAAAAATTATTTCCAGTCTTTCAAAGAAGGCATCTGCAGTGTTTCAAAGTGTCTAAGCTGGAGCCACGAGAGCTGCTGCTGTTTCCAGAGGTCTGAGCACGAGGCACTGAGGTGCTCGTAGCTACAGAGGGAAATAACTTCTGCTCTGGCAGTTCTGTACACACAGTGCAAATTCCTGAGCAGCAGAAAGGCACAAAGGAGACCCTTCAGACCCTTCATCTGGACACTCCTGGAGAACAGGGAGGAAGGAACAGCCCCAGAGGCCATGTCAGAGCCCAGCCAGGTGGGCCCTTAGGCCACCACTGGAATTTGTCTGTATTCCTGAATCCTGTGGTCTCACAGACTTGAATTCTCCCAAGATGAGAATAAGATGTCTTTTAATGTAGATCTCTGGGCACAGAACACTCTCCAAAAGAAGGGGAGCCCTCTGACTCTGTTTTATTCATTTGTATTCCTTTGGACAGACCAACAAGGCCTCAACCCTCAGTTCTGCACAACCACTCATCATGCCAGGCCCTTTTTTCAAATTGTTTTGCTCATTTTTTTTCAGGTTTTACTGTCTGACTACATTTAATTTAAAGAGCAGTTTGGATTTCATACAGTGGAAGAGTTTGGTTCCCCATTTTTTAAAACTCCTAAAATTCATAATTTCCCGTAGAACAGTCATTTAAGAAATGACTATTGCCATTTGTCACTAAAACTTGCAGAAGTGGAGCAAAAGAATTTAAGATTATCTCAGCTTTCAAATTGGTTTGTTCATGGGAAGACTCTTTAAATTACTTAATCTTCAAACTGTTAGTGATAAAACAAATGTGCTCTTATCTAATCTGCAACAAATCTTTCCCAAACTGTTACTCTGCCAAGCGAGGAACATGATACCCTTTAAAAATTTATAACAACTGCAGCTAATAAAACCAAGGTTTGGAACCACCTCAGTTTATCTTTTCTGGAACAATATGAAGATGTCAGGGAGCTCTTTGCCATGCTCAGAAGAAAAGTGCAGCAGCACACAGCTAGAGGATTTTCTTCTTGTTTATGCAGTACTACTCTAATACATTGGAGATTCAGGCTTTTCCAATAGTATTGTGATTTTAATTTACAGACTGAGATATATTCTCAGAAATATCCAGAAAAACTTCTGAGATAATACTGTAGGTCACAAATAATAATTTGTTGAGTAGGTGCCTTTGTGCTCAGTTCCACTGCCTTCTAATAGGGCTCTGGTTGCCATCTGAGCCACACTCAAACTGTGTTACTTCTCTTAGCTGGGAAAGTCAAGGACTGATATATTTGGAAAAAAGCTTTGATTAACTCACTGTGACATCTTTGATGCATCTTTTCATTGCTACCCCTGTTCTACCTGTTAATCACAAAATATTTTTCTCTCTTGATCCACAGAAGTTCTCACAGCCATGCTATTGAGGGGCTGCATTTGATTTCTTTCATTCTGCAAACAAACCTCTTCTTTTAAGCTAATTTCCTTTTTCTGTTAGTTGAGACCCCTCATTAAGTCCACGCTGTGTTATTCTCCCAAGAAGTACAGCTCATTATCAGCTCCCAATCTACACATCCACACTACAAATATTTTATGCATGCAAATGGACAAGCATTCCTGATTCTCTCTAAGTACTGCCCCCATGGACTAGGAGAGATACACTGCAGAAAGCCTAAGGTTTGAATCTTGTCTGCACTTTCCTCTAGAACCCGTCCCTTGACTAATTAAATGACAGCCAGATCCATCCAAGAATTCTAAAGCTGAATATAAGTTATGCATTAACTACTAATCCTTTGATTTGGCTCCCTGTTTAGAATTAGAGATCCATCCTGCAAGCTCAAGAAACTCATAAATAAAGAAATCTATCAGGCTTTGCTGACATGTTGAGTAAACACCTGCATCTGAAGTGTCGTGTTCCATCAGAAGGAAATAAAAGTAATTGGTAACCAATTTGTTTCTGCTTTCTTTCATCTGCTTGTTCTTATCTACAGACCTTTTCATAACTTGATTCCCTGACAGCCTCCTAAAACTGGATAGGAAATAAATAAAACATTTAAAAATAAGAGAGCAGGTAAGCTACTAAAGCACTGCTGGTTTAATATGATTCCTCAGTGATTATTTTTCAGTTTTATTGTAACTGTATTTAAAAATCTTTTCGATTAACCAAGAGGCTGCCTTAAGTATTGCATTAGGCTGGATCTGACATCACAGCAACAAAGGCAAACCAGCTACAATAAAATCTTATGAATAAGAAAGAGTTTGAACAAAACCTATAAATAAGTAAATCCATCTCTGCTCCTTAAATAGAAGGTAATAACTCCAAGGAACAGAGGGCAAGGAAAGAGACTGGAACCAAACTTTGTCCAGCAGGTAATAAATATAACAGACACACAGTGCTCTAAATGAATCTGGAATGGAGCTTTGCAGAGGGAAGAGCTGCTTTCTCACTTAACAGCAGCTACTACAAATTGCTTTAGCAGAATACAAATCATACAGCAGTCTTTGAAATTGTATTTTCAGAAGGCTCGAAGATGTAAAGAATCGTGGGCTGCATTCCCTCTGCAAAGCTCCAGGAGTGCACGTGCCTGAACCCGGAGCAACACTGACACTGCTGGCACTGCCAGGGCTCCAACCTGCCCAGGACACTCCCACAGATAAAAGCTTGACTTCACACAATCATGTCTGGCTGAAAACATCTCAGTGTCCCCAGTCTAAACCACCTCTTTCAGTCTAAAAGTCCTAAACCACGCCGCACTGTGTGCACTGTGTTAATGTGCACAATTTCATCAGACATGCCAGGAGCTGCCATTTCCAAATTCCAACCTCCTCCCTACAGCAACACTCAGAGAGGAGGTGGTGGTGGAAACAGGAGGGAAAGGGCAGCAATGTCCCCTTTGAAAGAATGAATTCCAAAGTTTCCCTGGATGCTGGAGGTCCAGCAAACAGAGCTGCTTTAATGGCTTTTGCTTCCCTGTCCTGTTGCCTCAGCAATGCTCTGTGCCTGCAGAATGTCCTTGGCCCCCGACCGGCACCCGCAGCACACGAGCACAGGAGTGCTCCTAAAAGCCTTCTTGCAAAAATACAGGCACTTGACATATGAAAACTGGATGTATGCAAGGCAGGAGTTAATCAGGATTTAATGCACCTAAAAGCCAAGATAGGGAAGCTGCCCATTAAGGATTTTACTACTGTATTTCTCAAAATTCCCATTAAATGTATAGTTTCGCAGGGGATTTACAATCGCAGCAGTGTTTAAAAAAATCTATTTGATGAATTTATATTAGCAGGGAAGAACGGCTGAATTAATTTGGAAGATAACCCTCCTTCACCTCCTTTGTTCTGTTCTCTGAAGAAAGGTTCAAATGTAAGGTCAATGAAATATTAAGATATCAATTTTATTTCCTATTATACCTTAGCCCAGAGCCTTTTTTACTAAAAAACACATTGCCTCGAGAATTACCCAAGATAGAAAGGAAAGCTTTAGCTCTTGCTGGCTCCTCTGTGCTCTCTCTGAGTTTGGCTTCACAGAAGTACATCCCCACATCAGCAGAGGTTGGGTTGGTGATAGTGAGGCGTCTCCCAAAGCTGCTGATGCCACTGGTGATCTTGATCCCATTTCTCTTCCAGGTCACGCTCAGCCTCTCAAGAGGTCTGCCAAAAAATACAAGAATAAAATCATAAAACATATATACTACAGAATAACCTCTGTGTGCATACATATATATGTTTATACACATGAGGAATCTAATATTACAGATTATAAAACTTCTTTAAGTCTTCCTCTATCCCCAAAACACACTGTTAAAAAGTAAATACATGTATAACTTCTACACATCAAGGACTACAGACTACTCAAGTGGCATTATGCAAGTACAGCTAATTGATACAGCAATAGAACTTAAGTGCTAATAATTTGATTTCTCCAAGCAAAAGGAGTAAATACTGCTATGGGAATCAGCTGCATGGGAAGTGCTTTCATTACAACTCAATTACCAAAACAATATTAATCATATCAAGAACATCTCTGCCCTCAGAGGGGAAAGTAAATCAGTTGGTCTTATCACCCAAGGACTTCAACTATTCACTTCCACTGAAATTCAAAGCTATTCAAGGCCAGCTAGATAGAAACACAGGAGGAATGCTGTGAATTCTGTATTACAGTGCATTATGAACAGTTGAGCAATAATCACTGCAAAATGAGAGTGTCTGAAAAAATGACTTCATAGGAGATCCTCACTGAATTTATTTACTAGGAAGCACCAACTGTTTAACAGCATCACCTCTGCTGTTGATAGGCAACAGCTGAACTATTATTAACCCTCACCATAATTTTTTCCTTAAGATAATGTCTGCTGCTTGAACAGCATTTCTTTTCCTTTCCATGTGAGGACCAGGTGGGAAAGCACCCCTGCCTGACCCTCATTTGGCCAGAAAAATCAATAGGCTTAATTCAGTAATGTTGGACAAACAAGATCACTCATACAGTTGCTCTGAAGAGGAAGCATCCTGCTTCAATCTCCAAATTATTAACAATAAAAAAATGAAAACAACATTTTAGAGAGGACAGAGTCCCAGCGAGAGCTGTGGAGGGGTTCCCGTACCTGGCGTTGGCCACGCACTCCAGGGTGGCCTCGCTGCTGCCCGCCACCACGCTGGTGTTGTGGGGACGGATGACCATGGCGGGAGCCGCGCTGTCCGAGGGGCTGCTGGCACCT